AGTAATATTTATAGTCAATGATTGAGATTGAGAATTGTATAACAAGCCAAAGTAATATGAATTACTCGCGACACTGCGCCTGATGTCACAACGAACGATGATACAATTGATAAGAAACTTTTCTGATATTAAAAAAATCAAATTTATCGTAACTCCTCAGTAGGAAATATTCAATAATTTGGCTGATAACTTTCAAATGAAACAAGCATGCGATGAAAATACTTGCTGAAATATAACGATTCTCAATATATTATCAAGTATTATGCCTTGTATAAATATTTTGAATTTCCTGAACGCAAATATTTTGGCAACTAAACGTGATTTAGAGAAACAATATGTTATAGTTATAATAACTAACTTTGTTTATACTTTCCCCGTCGTATTTTCAAAACTGGTCAAGACAGGAAAGACGATATCCAAACTTTATTATCCATTAGTTTGATGTAACAAAAACATAGTCTAGCAGTCTAGTGGTAAACATTTTAAGTTATTTTTTGTTATTTTGTTTCAAATTTTCACAAAACGCGAAGAAACTCGTGGTATCACGTCTTCCTACGAGGAAACCAACAGACTATATATATATTTCATGTTTTCAAAACAAATAAATACAATCAGTAGGTAGTCATTCTTTTCATCATGATCTCACTAGGCCATGCATGAAATAACTTTTTTATACTTTTTAGTTGTAAAATATCTCAAGAGTCAACATGTAGAACATCTGTATATCCATAATAAAGATACGTGTGTCAAGTATTAGGTAGCTACATCTACTCTTTGCATCATGCTATATTCATGAAAGACGAATATCTCTCATTATATCTGACGCAAACTCTCTTGCAAAATTGGTCTAGACGCAAAAAATTATCCCACTAATACAAAAACCGATCCATCTTAAGCGCAGACATCAATGTATTCAACTTTTTTTTTCTTCAGACTGTATGAGAAAGCTGTGGCTATAGTCTTGATCCATATTGGTCAATGGGGCATCCGCGCACTCAATCATCGTCAAGATACACACAAAGAGCTTACTTTGATGTGTGAGAATATCCATCGAACACCTGGTTTGACTCTAAATTGAAATTTAAACATTGATCGTGCAGTTATAGCCTAGCTGGGTATTTATTGCCGTCACGACGCCATGGTGGCATATCGTTGAGTGTAATTAGAACGATTTTACACGACGATGTGTCGCAATTATACAACTGATTAAAGCAGGTGTCTTAATTGCTTTTATAGGATAGCACGTCCAAGAGGCGAGTTTGTACAAAAGGGCACAAAGTCAATCATAAGAAACTAAATCCTTGCATTACTGCAAGATCCTAGGCCTTTGAGAACTTTTACCTTAATTGAACTTGTTCAACTAAAAAATAGTACATAAATTGGACGTTTGAAAACGTGTTGTTTGAGGACAGCTGAATATAAATTCATTTCTATTTCTAGTGGCTTTAGCTATAGTCATAAGTACGCGATGTACAAATTACTTGGCGTGTCGGAGAGTATACTTGAAGTACTTGGAGTTTCTAACTTTATATTTATATGTATATTGTATAAAGCATATAACAAATATATATTCGAAAAAATATTTACGAAAATTTATCTAATCTGTGAGCATACATGCCTTTCATAGTAAAATTAAACAGTCTTATTCAGATGACCAGCGTGTCTCATAGATCAATATTCAATGGCAATACATTGTTTCTGTGACAACGATGTTTGAGAACGATGTGGAGCAATACACCCTACTGTTCTAGATTTAACCTCCTGTTGTTTCAAATAATCTCATACTGCTTATAATTTGCATGTCTATTCTTTACAATATATTGATATATTGTAAAATGTAGGGAGAGCTAGGGAAGTCAAGGCCATAACAAATGACAATGGCTGAAGGAAATGACAAGGATATAGCCCTCGTAAAGAGCTCTGTTGGCAATCATTTCCAGAACGTTCCATCATAACTGCAGCTAATATCCTAGTCTTCTATTTGGGGATCATTTAATTGTTCATGCAGTGTCAGTCTTTCTATTTTACCTCTCCTCTCACGTCTATGCATAATCCATTATCTACATTATTATACTCGTTAAATTTTGGAACATATATCCAAAATATTACATGTTTTAAATATCAATATTATTATTCCGGATTTACGATAGTCTATGTACAAGTTCTAACTTTTTCTTTTGTGTAATTTCTGGAAAGCATATCCATTCAACAAGAACTGATTTCTATATTTAAACCCAGTACTTCATCTTCATGCATGGACATGCTTTGCAAAGATTTTTTAACAACAGCCCATAAAAGACGATGAATTGTACAAGTTTGTTTTTATTGTTTAAAGAAATAAATATCTTTGTACCACATGCAATATTTTCAAAACAGTCATCGCAACAACGGATATATCAATCCTCCTTGTTTTCAACAATACCCGCCATATTGAATGGATGAAAGTGATCATAAATTTTACCTTAGTTACAGCTCGTCCCCAGGAGAGCCCTGGGAAAAAAATTACTCGTTAGATGCGCTTAGACATACAAAATAGGAACAAAAATAGTTGAAAAAATATGAAATAGATTGCAGCACTTGGATTTCAATATAACTGCTTCTCATCTTTCACCCGATCCATAAAATGTCACGAGCGTTATAGTTATCATGAAAGGATTTTATGTGTCCGACGAATTCATAGCGTCTAATATTTCAAATTGATTTGATGATTTCCTTCGACGAAATATAACACAAACAAAACGGAGTAATTCAGAAATAGGAAACCACACTGTTCTTTTTTTAGAGAACTACCTCGCCGAAAAATTGACAAAAGCAATTACTGATGACCTTAAGATAAACTTCCAGAGACGTTTGATGAAAATGACCTGCCTATAGATTATTTGAAGGAGCGTTTGTCCTTCCTGCTTAATGACAGACAAAGACTAATATGGCGTCAACACCACTTTAGCAGGCAGCGGACAGCAATAACATAGTTAAACTTTGCATGTTTAAAAAAAGTACTTTTAGGAACAATATTTTTTGTTTACAAAATTTGAGCGAAATGTTATGCAAATGTTGCAACTTCAGTTAATAATATTATTTTTTCATCAAGGCAAGCGTTTGTTTTAGTTAGATCAAATGGACATCGTTGTTCGCACTATTTGTTTAATATATACTTAGAAAATAAGAAAATTTTGTTTTGCATGCAAACTGCCAATCCATTGCTATAGTCACATGAAGCGATGACAACTTTATGTCCTGTTGATGACGCTTCTTCAGTCAGAGTTTATGGAACGATACAACAATGATATAGGTCAGAAATGCTGAGACAATATATATACATATACTTATATAAAGCACTTGACTAAAATTAAAGACATGATCCCCAACACGGAGATGATGCAGACAGTTGTAACAACAATTTCTTATCACTTGTATTTCCCACGTAAGACACACTGGAATTCGTAACTTGCATCCTTTAACGGATAACTCAAATTCCATACAGAGTCATAAAGCATTCTAAAATAACCGCATATAACTGCTACCTCACACATAGATAATTTATCGCATTTTTAACTTGAATATAAGGAAACCTCTCTTACTGCAAAACAGTTATTTCCTTCAATGAAAAATATATTCGATATATTCATGGTGCGATGAGGCGGGGTGCAAATTTTCTGATCATTTCCATCCAGAGAAACTACGATACCTCCACAGGGTCCTTAGGAAGCTAAGACTTAACGAGACAGTTTCCAGAAACAGTTTTCTATATATACGATCAAGATATCACATTGTTCAATAATCATATAATTATGAGACTGAGCACAAAATATTTTAGTGCATGATTGACTGGGACTCAGCTTGGTGTGTGGATCAAAACCGATTTCATTTTATTGTTATTTATGAACACTTCACGAACAAAAATAAACAGCAGTTTAGTGTAAGCATCACACAAACATCGTCGCACTCTCGTCAAACTTTCAATCGATGTTTTAAATTGATCCCGCAGAGATATTATTATTTTTGACACCGTGCAATTAAGACCTCAGAAATATAACCACACATTTCCTAGCGCTCATAAAACTCCAATATTATAAATTTCACGTCTTTATTTACATAAATCCATGTAAAGGAAAAATACACAACTCAGTATCCTAGTTTAATCTTAAGATTGATAATTATTCAAATTTCACAAAAAAATCTCCATATTCGTGAATATAATTTACTTAAATTTACGTGCCTTTCAAATGCGGCCTTACTTTTTTTCCCGTGAATTTAAAAATTTACTGCGTGTAGAAACATTCATTGACAATCAACTGGACAAACAAACCAAAGGACGGCCAGTTTCAACTGAAATTTCTCTTACAGGCAAATAAATGCAAGGATCTGACAATTTCTGAAAAGCAGCTTTTGCAGCTTAAACTCTAAGCGATTTGTCATTTAAATTCAAGAGACGCTGACAGTGATACAACGCATTTACTAACTGAAGAAGTTGAGGTAAAATTTCAAAATATATGGCAAATGCTGCAGGTTATGTGTTGGAGAATGAATTATTATCGCTCGGTTAAAGATTGTGGATATCATCGTCTATTGACACAACAAAATTTATGCCAGGCTTTTTTGGAAGAGTTGGATATATGCATGTGTCCTAAACCCTTTGTCACTGAACAATCATTATTCAGGTAACAAAAATGAAATTTTAGAGATACGAGCTTTGTTCCGAGGTCAGTTGCCGACATTCTTCAAAACGAAAAATAATCTTTCCGTGTCGGCCACGCGTCAAGTAGTAAGAACTGGTGACATTTCATGTGCGCGGGAAATATCAATAATAGAATTTTCATTGAATGAAACAATTAACGTGAACTTCCATAGCTAGTGACCAGCTGTAGTCTTTATAGGTGGCCTTAACGTTGACAAGCAAAGACAAAATATGCGGCCCAATTGGCGTTCAATATGCTCGCATCTAATTGGTCGAGACTGGACAATGGCTAGCGTGATATCGGGTATTTATAGCCCGGCTGTGGTTGCAGTGAAACTAGTCGCTGTTCCAAGCTACACATACATCACTCATCACACAATCTGAATTCACAAACTTACTTGGATGATGGGACCAAGCGAACAAGAACTGGAACATGATCCAGAGATTTCTGAGCAAACTATGGACATAAAAACAGATGAAACAGAAACGAAAGAAACTGATAAACACAAGGACCCGAACGTAAAACCTCCATATTCATACGTCGCTTTAATAGCTATGGCAATCAGAGAGTCCCCTGAAAAGAGACTCACACTGAACGGTATATATCAATTTATTATTTCAAAGTTCCCATTTTATGAGAAGAATAAAAAGGGTTGGCAGAACTCTATCAGACATAATCTCAGTCTAAACGAGTGTTTTATAAAAGTACCCCGTGAAGGAGGCGGTGAAAGGAAGGGGAATTATTGGACTCTGGATCCTTCAAGCGAAGATATGTTTGAGAAAGGAAACTTTCGACGAAGAAGACGAATGAAACGACCTTATAGACAACCAAGCCTAGCGCAAAATTCCACATTTCCTTTCGGTGACCCAAATCCTTACGGGCCGCCAAGCTATCATGGAATCGCACCAAAGTGGTCTCCATACGGCCAGCCACAATTGAGTCAGAGCACTTGGCGAGGAACAGCACAAGGAGTACCTTACCCTCAAGCAGCGAGGATTCCAAGTAGTTCATTGCTATCTCCATATATGAATATCCCTTCCATTGCCGGAGTTCCTGTAAGTAACTACACAACTGCTTCACCGTATTCAACTCACATGCAAAGCCAAATGAACGAACAACATAGCTACATGCCATTAACTAACATGCCCAGCTGTAGAAGAGAGCACGAACATTCTCCAGCGTCTCATTATCCATACTAATTGCAACATTTTTAAACTCTACGAATTTTGCCTATCGTTCCGCATGAAGAGAGTAATAATATATAATGACTGTCGTTCGCTATTGTTTTAGTTTATTAACGTACATGAATACAGATTCATTCATTTCCTATCGGAGTATATCCCTATGATAGCTATACTAATATTTGTCTATTTACCAAAGAAATTATCAATCCATTAAACCTGGTGAAACTACAACACACAGACTTGCGGCTTTTCACTCCTAATCCGCAATGGAATCCAAAATCGTTTCCCTTGGCATTAAATCTGACTCAACAAGAGATCTTCAGATAGGAAAATGAGCGAAGATGTATGTCTTGTTTAGTCCCCCATAGGCGTTAAACGCTTCTTTGGTCTTCAAATTGTTTGAAAACAAATGTTTGTATTATTTAAATTCATTGCACAGGCTATTTTGTCTAATTCGCCTCGTATGGAAATGTCAGCTGAGCGTCTTGGACATTAAACTTGCTCAAAGGGGCCACTGAACTTTGAGTTAATATTTGGGGAATTTAGTTCGAGTGAGAACAATTTAGAATTATCACAAATATATAGATAGTTATATATTCATTGCAAAGTTTTAATTTAAAAACGCCCAATGTACATAAAGATCATATTCCTTTCACATTCATAAATAAAGAGAAATTTTTCGTTAAAACTTGTTTAATTTGTCTTCATTTCTTGAAGTACTTAGATGAGGGTTTTGAAACGTTTTGTCATCGGCAGTCACGAGAAGAGAAGAGTGCATTGTATCCAAGTCGGAATAATTATAATATAACATGATTGTCTTGCAAAACATAATACAAGTTTCAGCATGAGGCCGAAAGCAATTCATCTACGGAATTTTAGCTTGAAAATTCACCCCAACTTCTCTCTCTCTCTCTAACTTATATATATACTTCGTATTTTTTAATCCAAATTCGCGTCTAAGAAACTCAATAAAAAATTAAAGCAAAATTTTCGCTTAAAGTTCACGCAATCATGTTTTAGCAATTTGCATAAATTTAATTAAACGAATAATTGACTTGGTATAAGATAGATTTTTTATTCATCGTCTTTGAAATGTTGAATAAACCTGCCTTAAGAGACGACTACCTGTGGAAGAGCTTTATGCTGTTCATGGGCGGATCTGTTTTTACTTCTGAAATGTAAACTAATTTCAATGTTAAAACTTGTTTTGACAAATAAATTACACTCATTCAATTGGTTATTGTTGGCAGAGACGTGAATTGTTTCATATTTCATCGTTCTTTGTACTTGAGATTTTCATTGAGTTGTGAAATTACTACATTCCCACAAATCATTCGCTTTAACAACTAGTATAGCTTTAATTTAAATCTGCTTTAATCTTAAGAGCAATGTAAAAGATACCCATGGATTAATATTGTCTTGCGGTGAACAAATTACATGAAAATATTTTACAGACATAACGAACGGAGCATGGCGTGCTATCTCCGTCGTCTCTCGTTTAAAGTAGAATAACATGGCGTCGTCGCGTCAACCTCTGTAATTACTGCAGTTGAACAGGAGTTGATTTTATTGGCGAGCGCTGTCAACAATTGGGAATGATACAAGCAACAAAAGCTTGCCAATGCTATTTATTAATATTGTTTAGATAAGGATTTTCAATATAAACAACTGAATCAAATGAAAGAGAGCTATATGGCAACTTTTTGACAACTTCATCAAACTTTGCTCCCTACGGGAGCCGGGAAGTTTACCCGGGCGTTTTCGAATACTTGCGCTGAGTATTTTCCTGTAAAATGAGCTGGGAAAAACTGAACCACTTTTGCGTGATCTGTGTTGTATGATTTTAGAGAGATTTTTATCAGTCATTCAGCTGTTTTCCGAGCAGTAAATGTTCTAGTAACGCTAGTCTGAACAGGTGAAAAAAAATATCACTCCGATAAGCTACGCAAACAAACAAATCGTAGTCGGGCTGTGCGTGCATCGGAAATTGCCCTAACGTTGTACATATCATACAAGACAATTTATAGTGGCAATCAATGTCGAATACTAGATTTAGTGTCTGCGTGATTTTCCGTAACCCTCGCCTGAAGGCGCCCATAAATATACAGTCAGTGTATATCTAAATTTGTTTTATTTATTAAACAGTAATTTCTCTTGGGAAAATATTTTGCATGTTTTCAATTATTCTAATATTCTTAAAAATCAAAACTAACACAAAGCAAACATAACGTGCGATAAAAAACCAATTGCTGTGCGTTTCAGCCTAGTGGCCGGCTGGGAAGAATTGCAAAACTATTAAAGATGATTGCTTTTGAGCGTTTGTGGATTAGAACAACTGGTTCTTGCGGCTGTAGTTATTAAATATTTAACGCTGGGAATTAAGTGGGGTTGAATGTCAACCTTAATTCCTAATGAAAACTAACTGAACCCAAAATGTAAATAACATGTTCGAAACATGGAAAACATTTTGTTAAATTTTACATTAAAAGTATATAAATAGTTCATAAAATAACACGCGAGATATTCTTTCATCATTATTGACACGACGCGAGAATGAAAACCAAAACAAATTATAATTTAAGATTTGAGAGTCTTTCTCTTAAGTACGCTGAGAAACTGAGCCTGATCGTACCCAAACTGAGCCTGAGAATGAACACTTTACATGCTTTATTTTGCCTGACGTTGTGATGTGTTGAAATGATAAATACGCGCGCTCTATATGAACCGTCCCCTGATATTGGAGTTGCGCTCTAGAGGAGAGCTATAGTGAGACAATGATTCGTCAATTTTTTTCGAGTTTGGAAATCTGCTATAGAAGAAATAACTGAATGTCTTATATGCGTGTTCCATGCATTGAATTTCATAACTCTCCAATTCCACTGCATCTTTAAGAACTTAGAAATAAAAAGCTCAACGAAATGAAATATAAAAACCATTTTTAGAATTGCTATTAAATTATCTTATACACACGCACAAGTCCTTGTCGTAGGTACGTCGTACTTCATATGTTAAGATGTTTTGAAAACAATTGAAATATTTTCGTCAATATTTGCCAAGTATTTACATTGATTTGAGATAACAAAACATCATTTGAAGTAAAACCTAGTATTCTGCCTACAACACGTGAAACGGAAGGATGCGGCTGTTTCCAAACAGAGTAATAACGGATGACTGAAATTTCATCGCTGGTAATACAAACATGAAGAAATTTGAGGTGGACGTTTATCATCAAAACAGCAGAGGCGATTTGCTAGCATTATCAGTAATTAAACTTTATTTTTTGGGGCTGACATTATTTACTTCAAAACATGAAAAGTGTCAGACTGCTTTGTGTTACCATGACTAATTTCTACCGCGATGCCTGTGTGATCTTAACTTGGGAGACCCGTTCGTTTGGTTTTTGTGGTTTTAGTAATATTGACAGGCCAGGGTCAGAAGAAAATTCGAGACTTTGATTTGTTTTAAAAACACCACAAATCTAGTTAAAGTTGTTTTTCAAATATATTTCCGTGAATTAACATTCACGCTTCCCCACGCTGTTTGCGAAAGATAGTTATCAGTAAACCACGAGTTCGTCTATCTTTTTTCAAAATTGTAACGTCTCATCTTCCATTCATTATCATTTGTCAATATTATTCAACCACGATAACAGTACTGCAGTAATTCATTTCAGGCTATCTCAATCATATCTATACAACACTAATTCAGTGACTGTGTCTGTGTACACACAACTGCATTTATATCGAACAAATGCTCGATTTTTCCTTTTACCAGCCGCGATCAAATGAATACTTCATCTAAAAACAGATCCTGGATACCAATGTGGCTGACCATAAACATTGGAGAAAATATTACTTTGATCTTCACTCTGATCTTATTCACACACTTTTCCTATAACTTATTGCTTATACGTGCTCCTACGGCTACGATGCGATCAGTATATACAGTCTGCCGCCATGTTGGATGGCTTATCATGCAACTCTTCTGAAAACAAAGTATATAAACCGCAGAGTTGTATATAGTCTCAGTTGCATTTTACTCAGTTTAAATAACCCTAATTCTCAATTGCCGCACAACTAAAGTGGCAGAAGGCTTACATGACGTCACTCGCAAGATCTCTGGCAAATATTGCCGCGAAAGCGATACAAAAAGGCCTCGGTCAAAGTCGAAGGTTGACCCACAAAACAATCGCAAAAAGCGCGCTTCGGTTACCGAGAAACAAGACAACAAACTAAACCAAGACGATATCTTCTGTTTCTCATAACTTTGACACTTTATATACAAATGTTTCAATGTTCTCTGGTTTTGACCTTCAAGATTCTTCGTATCTGCATGGGGCCAGTTGTACCGAAGGTGTACAGCGCTATCCACATTCACTAGGCCGCTCTAAAATTGATCGCAGTTTTGTACAGGTCTGATTAATGGCCACTGTTCTTAAAGTTGAGTTTTTGTTTATTTATAGTTCTCTGTTAATAGCGCTATATCCAAGCTTGGTACAACCACCCACTGTTTTAATGATGTATAGCCATAGGTTGATCCCAATAACTGCAAGTGGTAGTCAACTTAGTTAAAAACTGTGAATTTTTCATCAGATAAAATGGTCACGTATTTATTGTATAATTCTGTGTGGTTAACCATTTCACATCAACGAGAGTGTTCAGTGTCATTTCGTCCTTATCGGAGCTATTTTAAAATTGAGTACCACATGCAGTATATTTTATGTTCAAAACATTTGGAGCCCTATATGAAAATACATAGTATTCTCAGACTGTGATTTCAATATTACAGTTCTAGTATATGTTGCCTTTGGACTAGAAATACATGAATCTGTATTTGAGAATAAGGCTTGGCAGCCTGCATGCATGGCGATATTCAATTTACAGGTAAGCTGGAGCTTTGTCTGATTCCCAAAGTTGGCCCGGGTAGACTCCACAGGATTGAATTCAACACGATGTCAACTGTCAAGTGATGCTCCTTGTTTTTTCAACGATCAGCCAATCTCAATACCCAACGTCGTTGCACGAACCGTGCTGTTCCTCTCTTGAGATATGCGCTCACAAAACTATCAATTCAGTCCGCTGATCTTCTCATCCTTCTGGTCACAAGTAGATAACCAAACTTTATAAAATACGACAAAGCTACTTCTCACATGCCAATGTTGTTCTCACGAGTCATCTAAAGATTGAATCTCGCCCATGTTCACCCGTTCTGCGGCGGCGTTCACGCTAAATCCCAGAATACTCGGGTCGACCTTCTGCATACGTTGCTTCTTCTTTTTCTTCGCCTTGCCGCTATTGCTCTCGGGTTCATTTCGTGAACCTCCGGCAGCACCTCGGGCAACGACTGCACTGCTCGTGGGTTGTTTAGCTGATGTCGATTTCGTTGGCACATGTTTCCACTCGGAACTTCGGCGTCTTTCAATAAATTCTTTTGCGAAAGACTTGGCTTCATTGTTGTCCCCAATATATTCTCTCACGTATGTATGCACCTGTTGACCGCACAACAAATATTGTAAGTATTCAAGTATTGCACGAATTCCACTGTCGAAAACTCACCTCGTACGGAGATTCTAAATCTTGAAGAAAAGCTATAAACGTTGGAACTAAATGAAGAATATTACATTGTTAGTTAGTTCAGAGGCAAAACTAAGAACTGAAAATACATTTCATGCAATTAAACCGAGTTTACGCCATTAAATGCAAGGTTTCTGTTCAGCGTTTTTGGAACTCCAGGCTCAAACCCACTGCTTTGCAACAGCAAACTACCCAAATTACTTCAGCGTCGTGTCGCTCTAAAACACCCCAAAAAATGAGCAATTTCAACTCTTACTATCAACACCAGTTGCAATGCCGCGCAAGCTCTCATTACACCACTCTGTAAATGGATCACTGTTCGTTGGCTGTTGCTGAAATATTTTTCGTACGCTTTCCTAAAAGAAAGAAATATTTAGTCAAGTAAATAACGACTTTAACTGTGAAATTTTCAAAGGAATAACGACAATTAATGACAAATCTACACGAGCAATACCTCTTCTTTTGATGATTTTTTGCTGGATTTCTTTCCATTCGTCACAGGTTTTGTTGCACTAGTACAAAAATAAGTTCAATCAGTTCAATAATAATTTTCATTGAAATATTGCACAGACTTTCTTCTAGTCTCTCTTGCAAGTGTAGACTATATTGCCAGCGGCAGTGAAAGCATAGTCTATCGTATCACCTTTGTTTGACTTGTTTTGCTACGTCATTTTTTACTGTCTGTGCTTGGCTCTTTCCAGTGCTTTGTTTTCCTACACTCATTACTTCATTCCAGAACCCAGGCTCTTGCTCTTTCTCTCGTTCATTGTGGTTCCCAGTCCATACATTATTGTTTCCGGCCGTCGTGGCCCAAGCAGACGAGGCTTGTGGTGGCTAAAATAGAGAAATAAGTGTTACAATTTGTAATGGAAACGACTCTCGTAATCACAATGTATGTCATTTTTTTCGGTGCTGGCGACGTTATCTTGTTTTCCATCATTATCTTTGATGGCCCAGACACTATAAAATACCAGGTTAAAAGGTAAAAGAAGTCATGTAAACCTGAGAACGAGACGCTTGCTTATTCTTTTTTGGAGCTTGTCGTGCTTGCTCGTCCTGGATTGCCTTTAAGGACTTTACATTACTTGACGGTTGTAATCTGAGAACAACACAATATTCTACTCTTCAATACACATCTCAACACAAGTATAGATATCACAGCTCATAAAGAAGACGCGATAGTTCAGATCTTAAATTTAATATTATATTTCTTCCATGCAGGGGGAGAATTCATCCAACATTTGAACATACTTTTCAGAGGACCAACCAAGGCTCGCTTCTGATTGCAACTGACGCTGTTTCGCCTCCAACTCCTTCATTTTTTCCTCATGTGCCTTGCGGTTTTTCTCTTCTTGTTGTTGTATTTCAAACAAAGACATTGCTGCTGTATTGTGAGCTCCCCAACTCCGGGATGATCCGTTTACCTAAAGAGGAACATGATTTATAATGAACTCCACAACCCAAGTCAAAAGAAGTACAATCATTTCCACACATTTCTGTCTTGATTGATTTCCTTTTTATATCTTGATTTATCTTCCTGCTCGTCCCATTCTGCTTCCAGTTGTTTTTGACTATCTTGTGGTTCATGTCTTGTTTCCTGAACAAACGATGAAATATGACGGAATAAGAGAGGAAAAAAGCAAGAAATTATTTCAGATTTCAACAAACCTCATCTTTCACATCCTGTGCTACGCCCTTGTTCTTTTTCACTGTCTCTTCATGTTTCCGTCTTTCAGATTTCTAATCGAAACGCAAAAGAATGTATTCAAGGTTATTGCCTAGTCTAGTGTTTAGCTGCACTCTAGTGAAGTCTTCATACGCTATTTCCGTCAGAAATGTCATGAATTTCATCAGACGTAACCGATAAAAGTTATATTTATTTTAAAACTGAATCAGATTATTCGCCATTTTATCACCATGCTGACTGTGTACAAACCTTTTTTCTCTTCTCATTTTCTCCATTTCTCTTTGAAGCTTCTTTTGATATTTCTTCAGCCTCGTCTTCTCGTCGTTTCTCTTGTCTTTCTTTGCCTTTTTTCTTCTGCGATTCTGCTAAGAGCTATACTCAGAAATATAATTTAAAAAAATTAGAAAACGTTGAGTCGTTCAGTTCTTGTTTCCTCAAGACTTCCGCGATAGCGCGAGGATCTGGGAATCTTCCATGACTGGTCAAGAAGGTATGGGAAAGTCATCCATTTACAAACATAACACAAAAAGAACAAAATTCTTAACCTGTTCTTCTTTTAGGGCTTTTAGTCTCTTTTCTGCCTCTTCGCGTTTCCGTCTTTCCGCCTCGGCTTTCTAGAGAACAGAGGAGTAGAAAGATACAGGATTTGCAAGTGAGTGACAACACTGGGAGAGGAAGCCGTCTGTGATGAATAATGTTGATGAAGATATCAGTGATTCATGTCTGAAATGAAAGAAGAAACGGAACCTGTAGTTCTTGTTGTCTTTGCTCTTCTTCGATAATTTGTTGTCTTAATTTTTCTTCCTCTTGTTTCTTAGCCAGTTGTCTCCTTTCTTCATCTTCTTTTTGTCTCAACATCTCCGCTTCTTTCTTTTCTGCTTCCAGCTAAATTATGATAAATAGCTCACGTGTTTTAGCACTAGTATTGAAGAAGGAAGTTTTCCCTACTCCCAGCTGAATGAATGAATCATAATAAAGAAGGTAAATACTCCAGAACAAACCCTTTCTCTCGCTTTTTCTCGCTCAAATTCTTCATTCCGCTCCCTTCTTCGTCTTTCCTCGTTTGGAGCAGGAGATGTTTCTCTGAAGATAATAAATATCAAATGAAATGCTATCGATCCTCCGTCAGGAGTCGACCCTAGGCCTTTGCGATGGCGGTACAATGCCTTAATGCCACCGAGCTACAGATGTAGTTCACCTTTGTGGTTCGTTCCATGATGCATTTCCTGACTGAGACCATGTATCTAAACACGAAAAAACTTAGTTCTCCAAGACCATCATTCAACCATCCAATATTATTATACCGCATGCAGAAAGAACATTAACAACTGCCGAAATCAAAACCAAGTGTTTGTTACCTTTTGGAGATTGCGGCTCTGCACCCCAAATGATCTCCGCGGCTCCAACGGGGGAACCCGAGTGTGACGTAGTCGGAAGTGTTCGTGGACTAATAGTAGTTCGCGAAGGTTGGTTTTCGGCGGGAAAGTTGAGCTGTAATGTTGACTCAGCGGTCTGCTGACGTTGTTCATGTTGTAACTGATGCTGTTGCTGAAATAAAATTGTTCTTTCCTTTTGAATAACGCGAAAGTGTAGTGGTTAATAGAGGTGAATAGTGGTTAACAGTTGTGAATGGTCGTTAACAATGGTGAACAATGGTCTCCTTAGAGAAAGCCCTCTCTGGCTGAAGGCATTGTACCTGAATCTGTTGAAGTATTGCTTGTTTTTGAAGATGTTGATAGTGTTGCTGGAGCAACTGTTGTTGCATAAACCGTTGTTGCATTTGCTGTTCGTTGATAACCTGCTGATGCTGAGAAAAATAAGGAAATCTAATGAATAAACCTGCAGAAATCCTGACCGTTTCCCAGCAAAATGACTTACCGTTAATGGCGGCGGACTAGGGCCTGGTACGAACGGCACCCGTTTCCACCTCTTGATTAAATCACCTGGTAACGAAATGATTTTATAAGCATTAAAATATCTATCAAATTAGTGCAACTCACTTTCATCCCAATCGACTTAAGTTTTTGTACCCAACAAACCAACTGGAAATAAAAAAAACGTCCGCAAAAGAAAAGCAAACTCGCGTACGGTGATACAGATCTAAATCTCAAGAAAGAAAAGAACGGCAACACACCAAGAGGTAGATATGCCGCATCACATTGTCTTCTCACTGAAAGCTGCATAGTGAAGTATCCATGATTGAACCATTCCACCATTTCATCATTGCTGAACGGACCTTGCTCTAGTCCCTGAGGATCGCGATAGAACCACTGTGTCTCACATGTTCTTTCTTGCTTCTCAGATGTACTACCGCACAATTTCTCTTCAGCTGGTAACTCTTCGTGCTGGAGAAAAATTGAAGAGCTTTTACCTCAGAACAAGATAAACACCACTTGTACAACACAGAAACAACATGAGCAAAAAAAGTAAACAATTTATAAAAACTAGATACCTCAACAACCAGGTTAGCAATGCAGCTTTCTGCTACTCTTTCTAAATCTGCTCCAACCTCATCATGTCGCACTGTGGATGAGGCATGCAAATTTTGCTCTGGAAATGGAAAAACATACATATTCAAATGCTAAATATCTTGCAAAATGTGGGTATTTTACTTTGGGCACTAATTTTTACACACACCTTCACTAGGACTTATCTCAAGGGATGGTTCTGATGCAATTCCTTTCTCGTCTATTCCAGACTGTGGATTGTCTTCTGTTGGAGTCTCTGCAGTCTTTTTTGCATTTTCTTGTTGTTCCAAATGCTTTGCATTGACTTCGGGATCTAGAAACCAACATGAATAAAGAATTTCAATTCTTCACAAGAGAAGTTTAATACATTTTGTTGTAATAATAAACACCTTTATGCTGCTGGTTTTGATGAGAGGTTTCTTGGTCTGTAGTTGCCACAATACTTTCAGGTCTCTGCAGTGAAAAAACAAGACATTGATCATGCAAATATTTCCATGTAGAACAGGAATAAATAATAACAAATTACATCATTTTCATCAGCTATTTCCAGATCCCAATCTTCTTTGGACCCACCACCAGAATCATCCGGTGGCCTTTTATCCTAGAAGACATTTCAGGAGTTCAATTATTAAACCCATAATCAAATTTCACATGCTAGAAGACAACATTTGGCAGCAGTACCTTGGTAACGCAAAAAGCACCAGAGGCGTCAAATGATCCTGAATCAGGTTCAAAGACATTGTCAGGTTTACTCCATTCAGGAATATCTTCAAAACTAGTTCTGTCTCGATCACTAAATCTTCGTTCTCTTGTATGCTCATCTTTGTGCCAATTGTCCCGAGGAGAAGCTGAACATAAAACAAACCTAATTCAAACCCCTTGATGAATATACTCAGCGAGCATCAAAGGAAATAAAATGCAAAATAAAACACCAAGCTAAGGTAACACTTAGCAGATAAGAAACAGCAAAATATTCATCCCAATGACATATGATTTTCATGCATATATGTTCTTACTTCTCCATCGTTCTGATCCCCGGGGTGTCACCCACCCACCCTGTTCATCGTCACCCTCCGAGGATCTCCAGTTGCCACTTGCCAAAGCTCGACTATGACGACCAGGTGGGGCTGTGGGTTCATAACCACGTGGTGATGTTTCTAAATCAGGAAATACCAGATTAGATCATGGATGATAATGCTGCAAAAAAGTGACAATGACAAATACCAGAATCTCGTCCAATATTTGCTCTATCACCAAATCCTCCTCTCCTAAAAACATAAAAAGTCTCATGGTTTCCTTGATATTTACTAGTGCAAATGTGATGAAATATGTGGCCTGATTTTACAAAGAATTTGTACCCAGCACTCTCTCCCCAGCTCTGTTTCCTGGAAAGACCTTCGCGCTGCCATCCGTCTTCCGTTTTAGTCGAACTTGACTCATCTTGAGAGAAACTACGGTAGTAACCCTGTTCACCTCTTCCACGACCTGAAGTAAAATTTCACTTGTTTCAAGATGCAGGACAAATGGATTAACTATATTTCCCACCAAGAAAAATCAATGAAATTTGATCAGTGATTTGTACCTACCTGACCCTCTACCACCTCTTGACATACCCCTTCCCCCTCTTTGTCCTCCTCTACCCATCATCTTCAACACAGCTAAACTGTTCAGTGATCCAAATGAATTCCGCTGTTTAAAAGCATAATCAAATGAGCTTTACAAGAGCTAATAAAATTGGGAATGAAAAAACAAGAATATATCCTACTTGCTCCTCTTCTGTCAAAGGCATCAGGGCCAAAGGGTTACAAGCATCAGTTTTCAAAATGAAATCTGCAACTTCCTTGCTTATTTTAGGTGGTTTTAGATCTTTTGAAAAGAGTGCTAGCATTTCTTCTTTACCATATCTGAACTGGGCTAGTTTACAACCAGGACCAGCTGAAGGAGGAGGTACGGAAACACTTGCTCCATTCGACAGATCACGGATCCTAAAGGTACAAAATGAAATATAAGAAATTACCACCCTGCACCCTACGTTAGGGTGTCAACCCCCCATGTAAGTCTCTGGAATGTGCACCCCAACCTGGGGACAAAGAACTTGTCCATTCTAACCGACAGTGCAACATTATGGACATGTAATACTTTTTATTGCTTAGATTCAACAAAGCACAATGAATATTCTGCAATATGATAACAAGCCCCCAATCTCAGGATTATGTATGGAAAAAGCAACTGAGGTGTAATATTACATTAAAATTGGATAAAAGGTTTTGTGGTTATTAGCAAACATTATGCAGTCATTATAAGTACCACAAGCCCATTCTAACATTAAATTTATTGCAATGACGATGTTGTAAATATATTCTATAAACATTTGCATCACAAAACAACTACTACTGCCTGGAACGAATTATTATTAGCCTACCATTGGGGTCCAAAATTCAGGGCTTCCGAGCTTTGTTCTGACATTTTCACCTACAATTCAAATGATATAAGACTATTATTTTCAACTACTTGTTCTACAATCAGCCATTAAAATATATAAACAAATATAAAACATATTAAAACCAGGAAAATATTTTGTTTTGGTAGGCAACTTATAGTAATAGAAACTGACACACAAATAAGAATATGCTCCAAACAAGCATTAACACTTTCTAAATCACATACTTTTGTAATTTTGCGTTCACAAAAATATAATCAAACAATATATCAGTTTGAAAATAATTTTTCTCGAGCAATATGGCGTCGTGTTTTTTTTGGTTTTCCACAAGCGATCACGTGTCACACGGTCCACGACACTTGTTGGGAAACTGGGTCGAGGTCTTCGAGGATACAATAAAGGCTGAAATATGAGCACCACTTCATTCATTTGGTGACAAAAAAGTTATCAATGGTTCATTTAGTACCAAATTTAGTGATTATGAATAACCTTGAATAGCGTTTTAATGATTGACGATCTTAATATAATGTACAGATGTAGACGTGCGCGTGCGTAAAACTATAGTGTAGTTGTATACTGCATGTTTTTCTACAGAGCTGTGAAGGAACGCTTTAATTAAATGTTAGAAGATGCGAAGAGCATACTTTCCGTCAAAAGAAGCAGAAACAAAACAAAGATGGCGGAGAAAATTACTGAAATAGGAGGAGCACTTTTACAGCTCAGTGGTTACTTCCATAAACTGCGCGCATTCAGAAATTGTTCTGCTTCAAACGTCCATGTTTAAATCCATTTTATTATTCTTGTGCTACAAGAAAAACACTGTACAAAGCGGGAATAGTAAGATAGTCGTACAAAAATTATATATTTCCAATAGTTTATATACACGCTTACTTCGGTCTCATCTTGTAAACATTTTACCAGAAAAGTAGAATCTTAAATAGCTTAGCCTAACAGACTTCCTGAAAAATGCAAGGAAAACTTCAGTTTCTTTGTATTTTTAGGCAGTTATAATTAAACTCTATTTAATCAAACCTGTCCGTTTTAAACCCCTGATCATGCAGGCTGAATTATCATTTAATATCCATATAAACCCATTAATATATACAGTTCCAGTGTCCCACAACTACCATGTTCTATAATGTTGCAACACGAAGCACTCAGCAGTCAAAAAGTGGTGTTCCAGATGGACTCTGAATACAATAGCTTCCTTTGGTGGACATCAAATACAAAACGAGGACCCCCAAACCTCCAAGTGCGAGAACTACAATAAATCCGACTACACACGCGCGGAAACTAGCACGGAACCTTGCCGGCCCGAAGATACTCAGCATTGCTATGGTAACAGTAAGGGTGTATAAGAGGGATATACCAGTATTGATGGTGACAATTAGACCAAATTTGGCGAACAGCTGTATTTGCGTGAGACATAACGGGATGGCAGCGAGAATTGTGGTTAGGGCTGAGCTGATGATAGACATACCAATATGAGACATTGCTGCTTTTGTTCGCCACTGACGAGCGTGCTATATTAAACATGAGAATAATATGAACACAGGTCCTACTAATAACAACCGTGGACAACCGACAACAACCGATCTTCCCATCTTTAACAAAATGAAAAGAATCTCACCTTGTTATTCAAATCTGAACTGACAGCATTTCCTGCAAGAATATATCCCTCAACAAGATGAAACGAATAATCAACTGATGTTCCAACAAGAATTGAAAGAGAGATGGCCTCCACTCCACCGATTTGCCAACCAGTCAGATAAAATATTGCAGTGACCATTAACAGGACACCTAAAACCCGATATGAAACACGATATGATTTTTTTCATGCGGTGTTTAAAAAAGAATGATAAACGTGAAAAAACTCACCAAGGATAGTCAGCAATAAAATGATAAACAGCAGCGCATGCCCAGTAAAGATAATAACAGCTGCTAGGCAGAGCAATAAGGAGACGGCAATTCCATATATGGCGCTATTTACCACAATCATACCACTGAACATCTTCACCCAAGTCTCACTTGTTTGAAAACCACTTTTCCATGAATGGGGAATGTCATTTTGGAATAAAACATCTTCTAATTGTTTCTCCCACAGGATATAATCCTTGTGTTGAGAACTGTAGCTGGAGAGCGTTTCCGTCGTCTAAAACAAAGCAATACGTACGGGTTAACAGCTTGATGTAATTTTCGTTTATCAAAGATCAATATATTTACCGATAAGAAAGCCATCGCTAGCCATCGAACTTCATAGCGCCGTTCAGTGTTTTCTTTAACCACGAGAGTACTCTTCTTAAACACAGTATTGTGCGTAGGCAATGGAAGATCGTTACAATCGTGCGGATATCTTTGCATTAAGACCTTAGCAACACTCGTGGGAAAACACTCAGAATCGTTCTTCGACCTAACAAGCTTCCTATTACTGCTAAACGTTTTACAAATTTTACAGGCAGCTTTGAGCATACGTTCAGTGTCACAACTGATGTCTTTTGAAAATGCCTCGTCGTAAAGTACCTTGCCCTGAAATAAAATAATAAATAGTTTGAGGTGCATGAGAGTGTATTCCCCACCTCACAACCTTGTTAAATCTCTGCAAGTAAATATATACCTCTGTCTGTTTTAAAACATGTCGTAGATCAACAGAAGTCTTGTCAACTCCCTCAATTCCAAAAACGAGATACACAAGGGCAGTTGCTTTATTTGACGGTGCTTTAACAGGTTTACATGCATTTGGTGGACACAAAGAAGTTGCGCAGCGCACGAGTTCACTACGAGATGAGATGTGACGCTGAATTCCACAATATTTTCCATCCCAACCATCCTCTTGTATGCACGTATAATACTCAATGTTATTGTACGTGAATGGAATGCTACAGCAACTCTTGTTTGGGGTATTAGTACGGAAGTGACAATCGTCTAAAAAATATTACATCTCATGAACTATTATGGCGATGTGTCTTGGCATAAGCTAGCATGCACATGCAGTGAAAGCTAGCTGATGGAGCTCCCATCCCATGAATTTCAAAGATTTAAGGGCACAGGCAAAAGTATTAGGCATGCATGAAGGATATTTCACCACCAAATAGAACGAAATACCTTGTTTTGGATTCCTCACCTGAGACAGTCGTGTTGCAATCTTCTCTATCTTCTTTCTTCTTATAAACTGGTTTTACTAAACACCAAGGTTTGCCAGTATTTTTATCAATCAAACAGCCTTGTTGCATTTTGCCTTTGTACTTGAAAGGTAAAAAGCAGCACTTTCCTTTTACCGTTTTTACTGGACAGTAATCTGCAAAATAATTACTGCGATTAGGGTCTGTTCGCAGAATTCATAGCAATTAAGAGTCAATTGTCATTCCAGAAATAAAGTCATTCTACAATTATATGTTTTAAAACCTTACGTGAACAAGTATCGCCAGTGTAGGGAAAGTAGCAATCACATTTTCCAGTCACGTTGTTGCATTTACCGTAGTTTTTACAAGAAGAAGGTGTACAACCTGAGAACGAAGAAGATAAGTGATAAAGGGACAATAACAAGGGGTACGAAACGACCCGACCTCAAATGCCTTACCCTGAGAATTGGAACTGTTAGTTGGTAAAGTCGTTACCAACCCAGGCGTTGTTCTTTCTTCGGAGTCTTTCGTTGGTATGCGGATAGTTGATGGCCGCTCTTTCGTCTCATAGACGGTGGAAGTTGTACGATCCTTTTCTGTTGTGCTTCTTTCTTTCTCTGTTGTGCTTTCTGTGGCAACTGTTGTGATGTGGGTTGATGGCTTCCTTGGCTCCGTAGTCGGACGTTTGAATCTAAAAAAGAGAGTCTTATGAAGAATGCTCGCCAACATGGCACAGCACAACACAGCACAGCAATGAAACGATGATGGGAAAAATACCTTGTTGTGGTTGACTTTGTAGCTGGTTTCCATGTTGATGGTGACTTCGTTGACCGAAACCAGGTTGATGGTAACCACGGTTTGGTAGAAGGTATAAATTCTGGATGACGGGTGGTACGTTCGCTGGTTCTTATTACTCTTCGTGTGTGTATTCTAGTCTTCTCAGTTGAAGGAGTCACTGTTGATTTCACGTGACTGAGGCGCTTCTCTATAAGCTCAATATCCTTTATCATTTGATCATTTTTTTGTTTCAAACTGACATCAGGAAGTTCAAGCCATCTTTGTAAATTACTGTCAGCCTTGAAAAACTTTGGTTGTTCTGTTGACACCTGGAAAAGTTGACAATGTTACTAATAAAACACTTTTCCTAATAAATACACCTACTACCATGCAAACTCTGGTGACAAGGGCAAAATGGTTCATCAGGCTGATCAGATATTAACTCATTTAGAAGACAAGAAGACATGCACGTACCTTTATTTTAGACATTAATAATGCAGAACCAATCAGAACAAATAAGTACACACAAAAAATGACAATCCGGCCTTTGATGACAGGCATAGCAAGGTAGTGATACAAAATACTTTGAAGTCGGAAACCAAGAGGGTCTCTATCATTGTAACTGGATGTTGCAATTGATTCATCATCAAGTACAAGCAATGGTTCATCATCATCATCTTCAAATCATTACCATCATCATTACCATCATTACCATCATCATCATTGTTAACCTCATCATTATTAGAATGAGTCACCAGAGGAATACTCTCAACCTCATGTCCAGAACTTTCAGTGCTTGCAATTCCAGAGAGGAACTGTCGAATGTCATCTATAATAAGATTTGGTCAGCACATACCACTTGTGGCAATCACTGTCTTCAACATAAAATACTGCTATTTGAATTAACCTAAAGAGCTTATTAAAAATGTTTGGCTTTTGTGTTTTATGAGGAAATATCAACATAATTTTCACAATACATTTGTCTACAAAACATGTCTGACTATTTACTTGAACAACTAAACATGCGAACAAACCCATGACATACAAGTGATAATACATTGTCACTAGGAGTCTTGTTTCTACCTAAACATACTGTCTCTAAATCTCTCTGTCTGCCATCTATTATTTACTTACCAGGCAATCTGAGTCTTTCACTTCTTCGGATCCCAATCGCTGACAAAGCTTTGTTACACATGGCCGACTCCAGATGCTCAATCCCAGAATGCCAAAGTGTTAGGCTTGGGGACATAATAAAGAGAACACTGACCCAGCAACTGGCTACCAGAATTGCCATGAACACACCAAAATCATGAATGGCTGGAATCTATGAAATGAATATATACTTTATCCTCTTCAACCAACATATTTATCAGCATGGCAAATGTTAGGGACAAAAAATGCTCAGTCACAGCCTATAGACATGCATTGAACTACTTTGACTATTGATTGGATCATATACAACAAAATATATACATACTGGGGACAAGGCATTTGCACCAAAAGCTGCTGCAGTTGTGAACGATGTAAAGAATGTTGCCTTTCCAGCAACATAAATTGTATGCATAATTCTGTTTCCTACATCTTTATTATCAACTGCTTGTCGGAATGTATTAATGAACACAAAGATGTCATCAACACCAATACCGATTATGACAAAAAGAGATACGCCGTTCAAAATTCCCATGTATTGGATACCAAAGACAACACGGTAAAAGAAATATGCAAAGGCAATACTTGAGACAATGCTAAACACTGCCATAAACGTCAACCACCATGAGAATGTCAAGATCAGTAGAAGAAGTATTATCAATCCAAGGCTGATGGCTGCAAGGCGAAGATCATCTAACAAGGCATGGTTCACAAGATAGTCGAATAGATCCCCTCCACCATAAAGAATTGTGACTTGGCTGAAATAAAATATTATGTAAAATAATGTAAATCATTATAGAATTTGAAAAACAAGAGGTATCAAGTGTTATTTACTCAGACTTCTGAAAAGTTGTTGATCATTAATACATTTCACATCATGCTAATTTCCCCAGAGGTTATGCATACACAACTTCTATTCAACATTTCTTTTAATTTCCTGTGAAATCATATATGGTGTTTTGCTCCATGTATTTCTAAATAATTCATTAACATGACTGAAAATACGGGGCAATTTTCATAGAGAATAAAAGTAACAAATATGTACAATTAATTCGCATGATAGCTGCTAGGTCAACTAGAAGGCATAATTACAATGACAATACAATGTATCAAATGTCACGAAGAGTTCCTTTAAATTTGTAACATGTATATATAGACATAGTGATCATCGGTAAGATAATAAAAGACATCGGTAAGATAATAAAATATGCGAGATTATTGTCACAACAAATTAAAGTTCAAAGGGTAAGAATCAGCCCACATTGTTAAAGAACTAATTAAAGACTCTGAGTTTTATTAAATTTTGGACTTACTTGTTATTATTTAACTTCTCCAAAGTGCTTACATATGTTGTTATGTATCGTTTGTATTCATCTTTCTGTGCTTTCGCCGTATTTTCTATCCCTTCTACTGGTTTGCCAAAGAGAATCTGCGCTCTCAAAATTTTGCTGACATTTTTCTTGCTATAATCGTTAGATACAAACGAATAGAAATACTCTTTACTTCTTAAAAAATGAATTGTCTTATCAATCCAAGACTTTGCGTCGTTCGTCTCATCAAATTTAAATTTGTTTTCGGGGCCAAAAAAGAAACGTGTCAAAGACTTAAGAGGAACACACTTGCCATATTTCCCTAACGTTTTGTCCTTTTCCATAGATGGTGGTAAAACTAAACAGTGTTTATCGTAATTCGCGTGGGTCATGAGAGTTGTCTCAATGTTATGAATCTCTTGTAATCTTTCAGCCGTAAAAATATTATCGCCATCCTTCGCAACGTACACCAAATCTAGTGTGCCTGAAGGTCGGATTTGAAGATCCGAAGGAGTGCTTCTCTTTAATCTTTTATGGTCTTCTTTTGGAGATGGATTTATTCCATTTCCAGTACATAACTTTCTTTTCATAAACGTAGCAAACGAGGTCGAATGATATGACTGTTCTTGATTCTTCGCTGCGTTAAAAGCAGCGAAATCGTTTGAGACTTTGATATCTGGTACCATAAACGAATTAAGTGACAAGTCTTTACGAAATTCGTGATACTTTCCAGTTAGAGCTATTGCTGTAAGGGCAATTGTTAAGCAGATATAGCAAATTAAGATCGATAAGGCGACCGGCCATTTCCCAAATGCAAATTTCAAAACAATGTGCAGTACCGCCATTAACTTTCGTCTCGTAAATTCACAACTTCTCTTTATTTGTCCGACGAAATTATCTTTAGGTTCAGCGAAGTCCAAGGAATAACCAGCAAGATCCTCATCTTCTTCATCGTTTTGGTTTATTTGTTCCATACCAAAATCTCCATCCGTTTCGGCACAGCCATATTTAGCTGTGGGCAATCGTCTATAAGCATTCCTTGCGAATGACATTTCGTGATTTTATTATAACTACAAAGATTTAGCAGAAACGTACTTCAGGAGGAAACCACGACTAAGTGTTAAGAAATTTACTCCCTATACCATTCTAAGCAGCGAAGACGCTCTTAAAATGATGTACTTGATGCATTACCAAAACACTGTGTTATGTTTCACGCAATTTTTTTTAATATTGTTTCATTGTTTTTAATTTTTATTCAGTCTCGTTTCCAGGTCTTCCGGTTGTTGTAATGTTGCAATGTTACATAATTAACCCGCTCATGCGCAGTAATCTCATTAAAGTTCAAGGGTGAACAATGAATGTAGATGGTTCTCTATGGTTTAATATAGCTCAGTGGTGCTGACTTAGTTGTTCCAATTCAATATGGTGGACAAAGTGCAATTCCATCTTCCAACAGCTTGGTAGTGGCGTGAATCTGGATTTGAAGGGAATAATTTCAGTATTTCAGATCTTATCCAACACCAATCGAAGTAAAGCTACAGACATGCACTTAACTGTTAAAGCCACAACCAATTTTGATGATTTGTTAATGTTGAATCTGTTTGCCTTGGTGAGCTTTATGTTTGCGCTCTTTATATCTTTTTAAATTGTCTTCGATAAGTCTCAAGAGGTCTGAAAACTTAACACGAGTTCCCGTAATAGATCTGAGCGTGAAGGATCAACAAATCACCAGGGGATTTATCCAGACTTTTGATTGACGGTTGTCGACAGAGTGACTGTCTGAATGTCTTTGTCGCTGTTTTACTGCTGTAAGGTTGATGAAGATGTTGATCTAATAAAACAAATGTTTGATGTTTATGGATGATCTCTAGTATTGTTTAATTCAGAAACTCAGCCATGCAAAGACTGGGGAGAGTATTCAGGGGTTAATTATGGTGGTTTTTGTCGATATAATTTTTTTTTCGAACCATATCCGTTGCATATATGTTTAATACCAGTATTTTTTTGTATGTAAAAGAAAAATTTGGAAAGCATGCCAAAAAAAAATTTTGGGAAAAACACCCAAAAGAGATCATCCAGCCTATGCCACAATCTAACCTGGTTATACAACCGGCTGCAATATTCAGCATAGTTACAACTACGAAAGGTGCAAGGCGGTTGCTATAGGAAGAACTCCCCCCCATAACTCACATCTTAACGGCCGTCAAAGGGGGAGATGCACTACGGCCCCCAGACCATGATGTATGTGCACCTAACCGTTACGTCTCAGTGAGAAACAGAGTATGCATCGCCACAAGCCTAGCGTCATAGACGAATCAGCTACAGTGGCTAGCCCTGAGAGCGAAGATAAATTTAACGTATTTAAGCTTTTCCTGGTCTCGAGGGGCGGTCCCTAACAAGTATATGCATAGAAAACGACAAATAAGGCACACGCTAGGAAATGTCAAGATTTAAACGCCTAAACGTTTTTTAAGTGTTTTTAGCGAGAAATTTTAGTGTTTTGATATTCTTTTAGAAATTTTAGTGTTTTGAAACAATCCTTGCTGATTTTTAACGTCAAAATAGTCATCATTCTCGAAAGGAAACTCAATATAAATGACTGAACGGCTTAGTTTGTTAAAATGTTTTGTTAATTTTTTGTTTAGTACAGCCGCTTGATTCCCCGGTACAATTTGGGCCTAAATTGTATGTATTTATTTCACAAGTTTTTATTTTTATCTTCGTTGATTCAGTTCTATTTTTCTATTTTATTCTTCTTTATTTCTTTTACTAACTATAATATGACGGTGTTGGTTTTGGTTGGGTCACTCCCTGGCCTGGCCTCCCCTCCCCTCCCAGCCTCCCCTCTAAAGGAAAAGTGCTGACCACTGGACTATATCAAAATTCTGGCGAAAGATGGCGGCGAAGTCTATCTATATTTGAACATTCCATGGTAGTTCTTGCTGCACATTGACCGTTCTTGCTCAAAATGGTACGTGTTCTTATGTGCCACAGTTTCAAAGATCAAAAGATATTTTCTGATGCATATGAGCCAAGCACGACAGGATATTCCATTGCAAAAGATATGGTATTTATCTGCACTGTCAAGGGTCATGTATATGTTTATTCAGTTTCAGAGGATGGTTTTCCTTTGCTTTGCCAATTTCCGTTGGTGTCTGTCGCAACAGACATGATTTTTAATGATATTGGAAATTTCGTATTTACTAGAGAAATTACAAGGAAGGATAAACCTAATAATTTTACAGCTAGAGTTTATTTTAATTGGTCTAAATGGAGGGAAGAGTTTGCAAACCATAAGACAAAAGTTCTACAGTGTGGCTTTTCACTTGCTCAAAGTTATTCATTGGAACCATATGCTTTGACTGTGGTTGAAATGCAAACCAGATCCTCAGTTAATACCCTCTCTAGTTGTCCAGTCACTACAAATATTGCAGTTGGTACTGAAACAACAGTATTAGTTTATAGCCGCTGTGTAGAGTGTCCATTTGATTTTCAAAAACTGTATATGGTTGAAGTAGGATTTTCCATATTTAAAGTGGTCATTTGTGAGCAATTTATAGCAATCACATCAGACTGTGAATTACGAGTTTTGCAAGTTACCTTGCCTGATGGTTTAAAACCACCTTTGGAAAATGTTGGGCGTGATAGGTGAGTTAGTTTTTTAGGAAATACATAGTTAAAAATCAGATGAAAAACATTTTATAGGATGATAAGAGTATTTAGTGAATGATTTAAGGAAATTTCTTTGTTATGCAGAGAAACGGAGCAGCATCTTTCACAAGAAATGTCATTACCAAGCAGTTGTCAAAGAGAAGTTTTTGATGAGAATTTTGTTGTATGGTCATTTGAAAACTATCAAAATACAAGTACGGAATTATCAATGTCATGGGAATCAATTTTGAGAACAGATGAGTGGAGTGAAGAAGACAAGGATGGCAAGTCATGTTGGATTGATCTTGCTTCTTTGAAAGATGAAGTTCCGTACATAGATTATTCTAAGGATGCCTGTGAGGTCTTGGGCCCAGTAAAAACAGTTCATGGTCACCCAATCAAAGTCCAAGCTCCATTCATTAGTGTTGAAAGTGTTACCATGTTGTATCGATATTTTGATTTGATGGAAAGTGATGCTGATTCTACAAAAGAACTTCACTCATTGCAATTGGTGCCTTTCTACACCAGTGGTAGGTTGGGTATTATAAGCAATAAGTAGTACGTAGGCAATCAAATAAACCTTTTGGGAAATTTATCTCTTATTTTCATTTTATAGTTTTTGATGAAAATAAAAAACCATTGCCTCAACTATCTGGAATGATTTGTTTTGTCTCCACATCTAAACAAGGTTTCATATACAACGTTTTTAGTAAAACAGAATTCCTGACAAATTGTACCTACACTGCTGAAATAACAAGTGCTACAATTTGTAATAATCTATTGTATACATCCACTAGCCAAGAGCTTACAACTTATGTCATCCCAATTTATTCTGCTGTTGCAAAACACCTTAGAACAATGCACCCATTAGAAATTGAAGATAAACTAAATATAGATGAGAGTGTTAGTAATGGAACAACAGATGGTGATCTTCTATCAACTGACAATACTAGTTTGGTTAGCAACCATGATGAAAATGTCAAATCTTTTAATGAAAATAAATTTACTCATTTTGGATTCCCTGTATATGACTTAGAAATTCTGCAAAAGGTTAGTGCAATGTATTCTATTTTTCTTTTCCACAGGAGGTTATGGACAAAAACTTGAGGCAAAATGTTCCTATTTTTTAGCCATGCCCGACACCCTCTGTTGATCTGTGTATGATTGGAGTTCATCAGTTTCCAGGACTGTTCTCCATGTTTGCAGCTGGTTCAAGAATATTGCTGTTAACTGATATAACTACAAGCTCATCTTATCAAAGACATAGGTTAGAAGTTTTTACAGAAGACACTTCTATGGTTGAATATCAAGGAAAGGTTAATCTTTGTTAATTTTTGACAGCAAAAAGTCAAAGAAAAAAGATGAGAATGCAACGAAGGATTGGACGTTGCATGCTCTTGAAGCAATGGATATGTGTGATCTTTATCATAAGATGGTAGGTTGTTGTTTTATAGAGATACTGCAGTCTAATAAACCCAGTGTCTTCCTGTATCCAAGAGTTTAACTATTTTGTTTATAGGAAAGTTTAACAGAAAGATCAGAAACTCTAACAGCAGATTTGAGATTGTTAAAAGAGAAACATTTCATATTAAGAAGTCAATTTCAAGTTGGTAACTCCTCTGATGTGGAACGGCAATCCTTGATGTTGATTTTGAAAAACTCTGTTAAAAGTATTGGACACTTCTATGCAAGGTCAGTCAAACCGTTCAACTCTGTGTCAGAAGATTTCGCTTCTCACTAAAGCAAATGTTCCCTCCATCAACAACGCGAAGTTTCAATATAGACAATAGTCCCGCAAACTCTGGTGTGATTAGGGGTAAACATTCGAATAAGCAAAGATACTCGCTGATCTTTTTTAGTCTTTTTCAACGCGTGGTAACAGCTTTCATAAAGCAAAATTTCCTTCCAGATATGCAGCTGATGACTTAGAAGATGTTGTTTTGTACTACAATATGGCGAATCTTTCCATTGAAGAAATTCTTGATGAGCTCGTGGATAATCCAGTTGATGTTGACAAGGTGATGTTTCACGTTTCTTATTACCTGGTATTTGAAGTATTCCTGACGACAATGTAAAGTCATCAATATTTAAATACTTTTCAATATAACCACGTATCTGTGAGTAAATACTTGAGAAAAAATGATTGAGAAAATGATCCCGTCGTTTGCACCTGGAGTCTTCATCCGGGATAAGGTATCATACTGACTCTCCTGACGAGGAACTTCTCAGGAAAGGGAATGTTCTTATAAGACGGATAATATATTTCTTCAGAAAGGTTTGTCTGTACGGAACATATATTTGATCAATGTTTTACGATTTTCACTTTAGTTAAAAGAGAAGACGTTTGGAAAAGGTCTCCTGTGTTACCTGAATTATTTCTTCTTCAAAAATAATCCAAATAAAACATGTCTTTCCTTACATCAGGTACGAATACCACAGATCCCGGGACTTTGAATCATGACGGACATTCAGTAAACGATTTCTATCTTATGATCCCATAGGCAACCGCAGATAAAGTGCTGTATATTTATAGCAATGCAGACTGTTCACGACTCTCAACCCTCATTCTGAGACCTCTCATTGAAGGATACACATCAGAGGTCGCCATCAAAATTTTGATAAAATTGAAGAAGACGAAGACATATAGGTTAGGTGATGATAGCTACTCTAGATAGCTATCTCAGTTATAATCCAAATAAAGGTATCTTTTTCACGATATCAATCATTTTAGTTTCAGTACAGAAGACCATTTAGCGTTAGCGATTGTATATTTGAAAACATGTTCATTAGATGAGGCAGTTGAAGAGCTGTTGAGTTTAACCAAGGTGAGATTTATGAACCATGTTTGCAATGTTATTGCTCACGAGGAAGAAATTAATGCATTCTATTCTTAACTGTCTTCTCTTTAGGAAAACTTAGCTGAGATTTGCGTGAAGCATCACTACATACTTTACTGTAAAGACGAATCATTGACTCCACTGGGACAGGTGAACAAACTTTCATAGAATTGTGTTGTGAGAGGAGCTTGCATGTTTGCTTGCTACCTGATTGAATGGAAAGTTTTCACAGCTTTAACGTTCGTGATTTTTCAGCTTCTTAGACGACGTCTTCCGGAGGTTTTCATCAAAGCATTGGTTTCTCTTCATCTCAGGAATTTGATCTTATTAAAAAACACGGTTGATCTACTTTTGGTAGGTGTAACCATGCTACAGAGCTCAGTACGGAACTCGTATTCATTGCTGGATACCTTGTCCTATATACCTTGAGATATTTTCATATTTCCTTGAACTGAGCTCTAAAACGTGCATTTCACCTGTCACCACAAACTTTTTGAATTTCAGGGTAAAGATGTTAAAAGACATAACAACAATCATCTGATACAATTCTTGGAGCTTTTACTGAATGGTACGGAAATTTATCGTTTTAGAAATGTTTCAAGCGATATTCAGACTAGATTCCTTCTCATTCTTTCAGACTCAAGAGGAACAAAGTCATTTAAAGAAGCTAGAGTGAGTACAATATTGAAATATACTGTTTCATTCAATTTAACCGCCATGATTATTTTATCAACCCTCCCAACAGGAATACCTCGTTGATATTTATTTAAAGAAACTTTCTCAAAAATCTTCAACCCAAGAACGGGGGTTAATAAGATTACCTCATTTTCATATTGTAAGTAAATGTATCTTCCTTCACGATGAACTCTTTTTTATGTATGAATTTTTCATTAAGTTATAACTTTTAAAATATTAATAGCCCAGAGGTTCAGGCCATTTTGCTAAACGTTTTTCTTGGTTGGACAAGCTTCCTCCATTCAATGGTAAGTTTTAACTCAGAGAGATAGGAAGCTCTTTAATAAAAAATTGTTTCTGCATGGGAACTAATACATATCATTGTACGCATTCACCAGGTAATATTGCAGAACCAAAGGACTGCCCGATTATGCGGGCAAACATGGTATCATCTACACCCTTGAAAGTAGGACGTAAGTTTCCAGGATTCTCAAGAGATCGTAGTAACCAGGTTATCGCAGCTGGGACTGGTACTGCATCATCTTGTACTTGCTGCTGTTGCTGGGAAATACTTCTTAAACTGCAGGTGAATGATTAGACTGACTACAGTTTCTTGTAGCTCAAGTGTGTAATGACATGGTTTTTAACCACTTTCTTTCAGTCAATATTATGTTCAAGATATTGTGATCGAGACTTGGGAAGTTCCATTATCAACAACTTGATTGGAAAATCTGTAGCCGGGGAAATATCAATAACATTATTATGTCTCCCTCTTATTGGTGAATATCAGAAGGTATTTGCCATTTCTTGCAAGAACAATCGTTTAAGAATCACGTTAGTAATATAAGAGAACTCCATCCATCTTCACTACAATGGACGGTCCTGGTCTAACAGAACTTTGACTGAAAACAGGGCGAAAAATTTTTTTATTAATTTTATTTTCTTGTCCAGGCTGTGGAGACATTGTTGTTAATAGATTCGTGGACTATACTGTCATATGCAAAACAATATTTTGGAGAGAGTTACACAAAGGTAGATGCTGTGAATATAGACTAAAGCTACTTAAAATTATCACCAAATGATGGCTACCCCGTTCTTCATTCATATGTAGAAATCATTTATCTATATTACTTGTTTTTAGTGGCGGTGCGTTCTGGACGTTCTTACACAAAAAATTTGTACTGAAAAAGAGGTTTCGAGCAACCATACTGAAAACTTGATAGAAATTTTAAAAGGTACAGTCTTCGCTCAATCAACGATAGAATTATCTTGTAGTTGTCTTTTTTTTAATATGGATCTTTCATACTATTTAGAGACCTTGGTAATTTTATCGAAGTGCACAACTCCCACCGTATTTTTGTCCCTACTACCGGAGGATGGTAACTTTGCATTTTTCCTCCCGTATCTTGTGAAGTGTTGTGAGAATGAGACGAGTAAAGGATTATCCAACCAAATCCATCCAAGGTAAGCTACGCCGTTTGTCTGTGTGCGTCAATGACAGATTACCGCTGTGAAGATGGTGGACTCTTTGTGGCCGTTAGTGTGAAGCACTGGGACGAGATTGATACTCGGAATGATTGCAGTAACTTATTGAGAGGAACTATTGATAAAATCGACCAACAGAACGATCTGTTTTAAATCAAGTTATTTTGAACTCGCTAAATCGTGTTAATGTTGAAAAGTAATTAAAATAATTGTTGTGAATTGAAGTTTAGTTTAAGTGGACTGAAACTTTCTGATCAAGCGATCCTAAGCAAACGCAATTGATGTAGACGGTTTGATCGTCAACGCAAATATAGGATGCTTTACTCTTGCATGCTCTTAATACGCGCTAAAGGAAAACCAGTTTCCAAATTCGGAATTTAACAAATTCATTGCAATATATAAATATCGCCATGAATTGGCAAAAAATGCATTCTATTTTTCACATTTCACAAAGATAACATACAAAAGGTATTCTCTTTGACGTGGGTATGAAAAACGTGACAGCTTCCTTCCCACATTGCGTGTGCGTATCAGTATATCATACCGTGTGCTAGCGAGATTTGCCCGTGATTTGATCGCTTGCAGAGTGTTACGTCGTTGCTATGTATAAAATATTTATTTCAACAATGGCTTTTCACATTTCCAAATGGCTAAAATGTTTTTGAGAGTGAAAGTTTTGGAGGTGATGACGTTGAAGCGTTACCATGGCTACTCTCCGGAATTAAGTCATACGATTATAAAAGAAATACCGGAGCTCGGCTTTGACAATCACTTCACATTCTATCGTGGCGGTGGAAAAGTTATCAAAGAATTTACATTGTGAGTTTGCAGTTATGTTGTCGCATTTTGTTCACTTGACTTGAATGTGGGATGTTCTTATAACCTTGCAAGGTATCCTCAATAATTTATATTGTATTTTTGTCTCGCTAGAAGTAGCGATAAAGATGATACCAAGACGCTATCACTGACCAAACTATGTTTTCTCTCTAGGTGGAATTTGAATACTACAAAGCCCGCGTTTCCAATATTATTAAAATTAAAATAAACAGTGATTTGGCAATCAGAAGTGAAACGTATTGACGTATTGGGCATATCAGACGTGTCTTTTATACTTTAGTATTAGGTGCTTGTTATAGTTAGGTCATTCGAAACTGATGGATTGCTTACTACAAGTTTAGAGTAATATGAGCCGCCGTCTTTCTGAACAATACGATCAGCTGGAGTCTAAAACGCGGGATATTGTTTTCAACATCTTAAGAATTCATTTGTCCGAGACACACTTCACTTAAAGATGGCAGAACGTGATTTGGAAGTGGATCTTTACGAGTTCCTGCAAAAGATTCAGTTGGAACAGTTCTTTGAGAAGATTGATAAAGTGTTGCATCTGACGAGAATCTCGCATTTTGATCATGTTACAGAAAATGATCTCTATGATATTAACATGTCTAAACCAGAGCAAAGAAGATTGTTTGATGCCGTTAAGAAACACAAGAAGGAACGAAAGAAAGCCAGCAAGACACGCTTCAGTTTAAGGGTATGTTATTCTTTAAACATTGTTTTTCATTCCTATATTGAACTGCTGTTATCTTATCCAAAATGTTGGCAACTTCAATGATTGATTGGATTTTTTTATTCTCGTGCAAAACTTTATCTTATCTTAAAATATTAACAGGAAACTGAATTGTCAACTTGACAAGGAAGTGTGAATACTATAATCACAATAGGCTGTCATCGCTTACGTCTGAACTTGGCGCAAAAGTGACCCTTAAAATATAACCATGCATGGAAATCTATGCATTGACATTGAAGTCCATGCATAGCTCGCTGTATCTTCATAAGGCATGGTGGTTATCCCTTTGATCTTTGATGAAGCAATGACTCGTGGTCGTGGAATTTTAGTCTTTCAATAAATAAACGATCCCAAGCGATAACCGCTCAAAGGTTATTCTCACGATAAAATAATCATCCTAAGATAAATGAATCAATATTTTATGATCTCGCCATGCCAACCAACGCAAGATAAGTAACGAGATTGTTTAGAACAAGTATTACAGCATGCCAAATGATTTTAGATCTAAAAGTTTCTTTCGTATAAGATGATATCTAACTCTATAAAACTTTATAAAACATTGTTTAAAAAAGATGAAATGCTTTTAATCCATGGTTTAGTTCTGTAATGCTAGTGGTTTCGTGTAGTAATTTAAAACATCGTTTGACCAACAACTCATATCAATAACAAAACTACTCAACTATTTCAAAACCCTCAATCTCTGTATCCTACAACCCCTCTTCATTTCGAGATGAACGCGCGTAATATCATTATAAAATGCCCTGAGATGTGTTTCCGAGAATGATATGTATTATATTTCATAAATGTAGCTACGAAATGAGAGTCAACAAAGTCATTACTAGTTAAACAAGATCACACAACCATGACTAACGACCAGAAACTATATGAAATGTTATAACAGTAGAACAAACGATCCTTCTACTCTCAACATAAACGTCGTTAAAGTACAACAATGATACGAGGAAAACTTCAGGCCAGCATTGCTTTATATCAAACAATGTCGCCTCAAGTACGTAAAAAAAAAGTGATATTCTTGATTAGGAATTTTTGTTATGAGTTTTTTCAGTTTTGTCTCTCGACTCCTAGGTGCCTACACTAGTTAAATCATGTTCGTTGTTGAGAAACTGCCCAATACGTATTGTTGAAAGGCGTCTAAACTAGGTATTATTCGTTTATGATGATAGATGATTTGAAATTAGGCTGCTTTGTCTATTCTGGAAGAATGACACGTGTGCCAACTTTTTTAAGCGTATATCATTTGTTGTTTTAGTGTGATCTTTAATCATTGCTTTTACATCAAAACTACGAGCGCGAAACTCATATATACATATGAGGATAATGCAGGATTGATTTAATCATTTTTTTAAATAACTAACATTTTTGTTCACAATAAAGATCCTGGGCCAAAATGTTAAACAATTTCCTGAAAATCCCATGTAGATCAATAATGATTCCACTATAAACACAGTCATATCGTTACCTAGACATCTCTAGGTAAGTCTAGGTAACGTATCACTGTGGTCAAAGCAGCAATCTTAGATAAAATAATTCATTTTGTTTCGTATGTAAAGGGTGTTAATGAGACAGGCTCCACCAGCATACTACCTCAGAGTGGTTGTATTGATACCCCCCCGGTCTTAACTTGTATATCGAAACAATAGAAGTTAATATTTAGCAATGACACGCTGGCATATATAGTCTTCCTGTAGACTATGCTATGCCAAGATATTACTATACTTCAAGTGTGTCTGTTAAACGCCAGAGCAAGTTGACAACCTGCCATATTCTCCCTACTTGAACATGTCACGATAACCTGACCCATTATTAGGACTTTTGAACCACTCTTTGCGTACCCGTTCGCGGGTCCTTCTCTTTAATTAGCATTTAGTTCTTATTCCAAGCTTAATTAATCACGGAAGCGTCCTTATGAGTTCGTTGTTTACGAGTATTTAACTATTTTTACCTCAGAATGCATAATTTCACTCACAAAAATTAAAATTGAGCATTTTTTACATATTTTCTAGATACATTTCATATTGTAGTTATTAAACGTCTTTGTTTTCATTTGATAAGGATCGTTGTTGATTTAGCGGCTCTGCCGAAAAGTCATTGAATGTGGAGATTTGAAATCTTGCCAATTGACATGTGTATCATCTTTCTTTACATTTCTTAACAATGCCGAAAAAGTAATAACTTCATGAAAACCGAACCATATTAGACCATCTCGTTTTCCGTTCTTAATGTCGGCATTGCTTTAGTCGAAGTTGGTAACAAACTGAAGTGCTTGCCGACAGAAAAATTTTTATTTATAAACAAATTGTAAGAAAAGCTTTATTTCTTTATTAAAGTCCGTAAAGTAAGTTAAATTTGGAAAAGAAGCGTAAAGTAAGTTAAATTTAGAAAAGGTTGGTGTCCATGTGTTATCTTCTGCCACATATTTCTTAATATTTCTGTTTGAAAATATGAAAGAGTGGATAGTGTGAAGTGAACATAGACCAAACTGATCAGAAGATTGGTACATTATTTTAGTGATTGTTGAAAGATTTTGATATAGTCTCGATATATTGTTCCATTGCAATAAGAAGCTGCATGACATCTTTTAGTGAAATTTGATACGCAATTAATTTTAGAATTCTCTAGAGAAATGTTTCTCACTGCAGGCAACGTAAACTCGTTCCCTTCAACGATATATAACGGCAGATATTAGCAAGTAATTAGATGAAGCATGTGTGCATATCACCTAACGGTTCATTGAAAATATCGTGCATGTCTAGAGCTGTGCTATATAGAAACTGATATATTGAAATTACTGGTTCCCGTGAGAAACTGTAATATCGTGTTTCAGTGGTTCAATATTTATGTGCATGATAGCACCCTTGGTAAACGCTGACGGAACCATTAAGACATATACATTTTGATATCAATATCAAGTCTTTGTGATGTAAATTACTACGGCATATGCAATAAAAAACGTATGTCCCGCCCATGAGGGGAAAAAATAAGCGAAACTGTCATATTTTACAGTTCTTGGAATATTAAGCTGGTGTTAATCACGGTTACACCCAGGTGTTAACGCTAGTTTTCCTAAAGAAACTTTGTTTCGTTTTAAGTGTTTATTTCAGTTAAGTTTCTTGCTCTTATATTGGGAGTGGTTCTTGCACGATCTCGTGATACAATATCCTCTAATAGGGTGTTATTAATCAATATTGGTATTATAATATAACCAGGGAGCAGCGTGGCAGCGTCTTCAAACAACTTAGCATCAAATGTAGTATAACAACTGTCTAAAATAGACAAAACACTTCTCGACGTTTCGACCTGAGGGCCTTCGTCAGGAGAGTTAGTATACAAGTATTTTGTTTATTTTAGGCAGTTGTTATACCAACATCTTGATGCTAAGTTGGTATTATAATATTCATGAATATAGACACAAATCTTTAAGGGCAGTTGATAATCTAATTCGTGTTTGTGGCTGTAGCTAGGAGAGGGACTTTGTAATCTGGTTATCATGTGAGAGTTGTCACTTTCCATATTAAGAAAGTCTATACGTCATACTAATTGTTTTACAAGTATCTTGTCAAGTGCTTCTTTCAAAACACATACTGTCGCTGTTTGCATAATTAATGTTGGCATTTTTTTCTAGTTAATCAGCTCCAAGTGAGCTGCAAGTAAAGTGTTTTTAATTGAGGTTAATTGAATCAAAACATTGGACGAAATCCACCGAATACAATCGTTTTTGGGCTTCCTCAATTATGATGACTGCCAATGTTTTGTTTTGTTTTATGCCTATGCACGTTCAAAAAAATATAGTAAACGACGCATTAGACAGTAATACAATACTTCTAACAACACAATAAGTCTAATGAGACAAGAATAAATCAATTGTTCTCATTTCCTACTTCTGTTGACACAGGTATCTCACTTATCTCTGTAGTTTATTTTTTAGATTTATCAAAAATGCATAGCGTAAAACCGAACCTGTCCTGGATTCAAAAGTATTACAAGTATATGAAATAGAAATCCAGATAGTGACAACCCCGGAGATGAACCATGATTTATGTGAATAATAGTGGTCTACAATAATGACAATAATCCTTGCAATAAAAACTGTTCAAAGAATGATAAATTAATTGCATTGTTTATTATTTTCGTAGAAATCAAAAAAGAAGGAAAGTTCTAATCAATCTGGTACCGTGAAGCATACACAAGGTAAATCATGTTTGATCAGCGAAAGCTCCCTTAAGTTGCTTGGAGAATTGGGTGATGGGGCTTTTGGTGTCGTCAGTAAAGGAGAGTGGACGCCAACTAAAGGATCTAAGGTAATCATTATTCTTCTTTGGCTCAATCTTTTCACGTTATGTCAGGGTTAAATTTCAACTCTCGGTAGGGTTCAATGATAATGTCATAAATAGGAAGATCCATTTAGTACTCTACAACCACTTTACTGGGGATAATCCTGGATGCATATCAATTGCGTGTTAAAATAATAAGAAGTGAAATCAGCCGTTCCTCGTAATCTAATTAATGTTGGATTGTTATCGCTTGCAATATATTTCCTTTTTTTATGTTAAGGTGATGACGTATTCGAGTATTTTTAAAAACGCCTCAAAAGGCTTCAATAAAAACTAATCATTGTTTTTTTTTAGATTCCCGTTGCCGTAAAGTGCCTCAAGTTTTCCGACAAGGACGCTTTTCTAAAGGAGCAAGATAATTTTATGCGTGAGGCGAGTGCTATGAGTGACCTGGATGATCCCAACGTGATCCGTTTGTATGGTATTGTCCTCGCTACCCCTATCAAGCTTGTTATGGAGTTGGCAATACTGGGATCTCTACAAGATAGGCTTAGAAATGAACCTAAGAAATTTCTTATTTCAATGCTATATGATTTTGTTTTGCAAATTGCATCTGGGATGAGTTACTTGGAGTCAAAGAGATATGTCCATCGTGATCTGGCATCAAGGAATATTTTACTTTCTTCTTATGATAAGGTAAGCTTGTCCATGATAATGGCAAAATGGAGAAATCGTTTCCGGTAAATTCGCACGCAGTTAGTTATAATTACAGATTATTTTTATAGGTAAAAATTGGTGACTTTGGATTAATGCGACCCTTGTCTTCAGAAGAAGATATTTATGTCATGAATCCCGCAGGGAAAGTGGCCGTAGCATGGTGTGTTAAATGAATCTTGTACATTTCATATCCATTGACTAGTTCAGATTTTAAATCTCATTTATTCCAACTGATATATTTCTTGTACAGGTGTGCACCAGAATGTCTTAAGAATCGTGAGTTTTCACACGCTAGCGATGTTTGGGCGTTTGGTATAACTGTGATTGAAATGTTTTCATATGGAAAACAGCCTTGGGATGGCTTGAGTGGTTCCCAGGTATCAACCAACATTTCACTGTATCAGGAATTGAGTGTATGAAATGTTATTCGGTAAATCCTGTGCAAATCCTCTGCGTCTTAATTCGCCGTTTATTTCTGAATGTTATAGATTCTTGATATCATTGATGAACCTGCCAATGGCCGACCAGGAAAACCTGATCATTGTCCAGACAAGTTGTATTCACTTCTTATTGAACATTGTTGGGATCCTAATCCAAAAGATCGCTCGAAATTCTCATGTATTAAGGAGAAATTGCAAAATGTAAGATGGTAGTTTATTGTTCTCAGTGAGATTATTGCATGGTGATCAATTGAGTTTTCTGACGTATTGCCTAAATAATAAATTGATTATAATGAGTTATTTTCTATACTTTCATTTTTCCAGGCGGCTCCTGAGGATGTGACGTTGTTTTTTGATTTGGATAGTGAGACAAATCCAAGCAATCTTGTGGCAAAATCTGGTGATATAGTAACCGTTGTTACGTGGAAGTAAGTACTGAGAGACTTCGTACGTTCTATAAACTCTGGCGAACGATTTATTCAAAATTTTCGTTGATTTCTCTAGGTCGAGGCTGGGAACTGAGTTTGGTAAAGGTCAGAACAAGAGAACAGCTGAGGTTGGCTATTTTCCAACTGCTCAAGGTAAACACTGTTAAAGAAATATCCAGGGTTCTTCCGGTGAAATGCCAGCCATAACTGATTGTATTTTTTATCATAGTTACTCGTGGTATTTCAAAGAACAGAGGTTCCTCACGTGCGAGGTAAAATTCTCTTCTTACCACAGCATAATTTTTCCGCAGAGTAAATTAGAGTAGAGAAATAATTTGAAGCAAGCTTGAACAATCGTTTTAATTTTGATCAGGATTCCCAAAGTGAAAGATATTAGTCCACCTCTGGGTAACTCATTCACACATTGTGCGCATCGTGGAAATGGCGAAACACCAAACTGGGGGACAATAATGTCTGATGGAAGGTACGTTGGGGAACTATAATGTGAAAGTTATTCAGAGGACAGTAACGTCTAATAGGAAGTATAAATGATACAGGAAAGTAAAGACATAGGAAGAAATTTCTTAAAATTCAAATATTGTATCATTTACTTTGTTAGACTGGCTCCTGGGAAGCATTACCCATTAAATTTACCAACGAAATTTATTTATCTCAATAATTCCGATGGTGAAAATCAAAGTAAGTGTTCACAACTCGAGCGAACGATACAGAAAGAAATGTAAGCCTACATTAATATTTATAATTTTTTGCAGTTGAAGCAGACACCGGTGAGATTGATACGTGTTCACTGATGAGTCATGACAGTTCAAACTATAGCAGTTCTTTATCACTTGGCCCAAGAAGTTGTGCAGACTCTGGTTATTACAGCAACCGTGATACGATGATGTCTCAAGATTACGAACAAATGGTTGGAAGTAATCCCATTGCAATCCCGGGCTGGAGCTCCCGACAAATGTTATCCCCGGGTGTAAATACCCCAGGAACATTCTTCCCTGGCCAACAACACTCACGACGTCTTTCTACCACAAGTAATCAGTTTGATCCTCATGGTCAGCGGTGCGGTCGCGAAGACGTGTGTGAATATAGTAATGGGTCCGAGATTCGACCCGCTCTCCCGGTCAAACAAGGAATGATTTCTAACAATGGCAACATGAGACGAAAGGTATCAGCTGGTTTTCATATGGAGAGCGCGTATGAAAATATTAATGAAGTACCTGGGACCAACTACGAGAACATGCAGGGACATTCAAGCGTATCAGGTCAAGAAGACCCTGAGGGACCTTTACTGTCCTCTTCTCCAGAATCTGTGTATATGAACCAACCGGATATAAAGAAACCTGACAGTTTAAATTTCATAAATATGAATTACCCAATAATATACGACCATCCCACGAGAGATTACGGATTCGATCTTCAAAGGTGTGGCCGTTGTCATAGCTTACCTGAAGTTGATTTGAAAAACAGAATTAAAAACAAAGAACACAAAAGAAACAGTCTTTCATTAGCGAAGGAAATTGCTTTGTCTTTGTTGAGTGAGAGCAAATCGGCTCCTATTTTGGATCAAGAATTTGGAAAAACTCCAGACCCTAGAAATTGGGAAACTAAAAATGCTGACGAGATCATGAACGAGGAAATTTACGAGAATATTGAAATTTATAATGTTCCACAAGCAATCATTTCTGATATTCCCCCGCCCTTGCCTGAGAAACGACGCAGTTCAGAGAAACGAATTTCTGTTCATCGATTTAGTGGATCGCACGATGTTGATATTTCCAAGAACCTCTCATCATCACCTCGACCATCACATGAGGTATTCGAGGAGGAACATTACTCATGTCCCATGTCGCAAGATATACCATCGAATTTTGACCCCCATTTGTACGCTGAGATTTCTGATCAATTTATTGAAAAGATAAATTTAGACGAGGAAGATACCTTGAAAGATGAAGATTCGATCTTAGAGGAAAGCAACAGTAAAGATTCCTTTGTGAATATTAGTAAAGACTACGCTGATTTAGATGCAATTTGTGCCAAGTTGCGCGACGATACAAGCTCAGAGAATGAACCATTTCCTGTCGTTGAGGCCACAAACAAAATAACAAAAGACGAGGATGTTTTGTGGAGAAGGTTTTCTCCTGATCAGCAGCGAAATGATCAACGTAATCGAAGAAGCAAACGTAGTTCAGTCAGCAATGATAGCTCAATAAAAAATCAATCCGATAAACATCAGCCATCTGAAGTCAACACTCGGTCGTTGTCCAACAATTCTATTAAACACCCTTGTAGTGAACTGGAAAGCGTGCCTTATACCTGTGCAACCCTGGTTACAACAGTTTAGATGACGCGATGAAGTTTCTGCCAACAGTAAGTGGTGTTACACATCGCAAATTCAAATTCAGATTATGAAAGATTTGATTGATAGCTTCCTTCACAATGTTCATTATCAGAAGTAAAAATAGGCATTTGGAAGAGATATGTAAATATTGTGTAAATAATGATTAAAGAAGACGAAACTGGAAACATTACCCTGAGGACTGGTAATGAGGCTAGTCATATGGCATGTGACATAGGTTTCTAAATGCGTAATGTATTAATTTTCAAAAACGTATGCTATCAAATAGATATATTTAATTATCGTTCAAATCATCATCGCTATTAATAAATTGTGTGCATTTTCGACGAAGTTCTTGTGATATTTCTTGAAATGTTTTTCCTTTAGTTTCAGGGAGATAGATGTATATCAGAATCCATAATATCACGATGAATACCATATACACAATGAACACGTATGGATATAATAAGTCCTAGAAAATAGTCAAATATAACGTTTTATGAGGTCGGAGAAAATAACCAAACATATTAACATAACGCTATCCTATGAATTATCGTTTTGACGTCAACACGGGATGCCAATGTCACACAAATTTTGATTGGCTTCACGAAACTAACGAGCCAATCAAACATCGTGTAACATCAGCCTTTCCGCGTTTGACGTCATTATGAGGTCTATTCCTTTGCTTTATCTAGTGCACAGAGGAGAGATGGACTCCATCTCTCTCCTCTGTGTCTAGTGTTTGCCGCATCATGTGTGTTAACTTTATAGTGTGTTTCACCTGGATCGAAGGAAACGTGACAGCCACAATAAAGTTTGAAAGCCAGTTTACTGATCCAGCAATGCTTGAAGCCGCAGGTCTCGGTCCTTGTGAAAATAATTCTGCCGTCATTAGCCATGGTATTGATCCTGCATGAGTAATGAGAAGGTAAAATTAATGACGTTGATTTTCCTATGTGAGTAGCACCAAGTTGCCAAGAAAACCGCTTGCGCTTTGTGACGTTAAATAAATATATTCAACAATGGTAATTCAATATATTATGCTCTATATATGAATTATAATTATCACAATTTTAAACAAAAACTAACCTGGTCCAATTTGGAAGAAGGACAGTACCACAAACGTACAAACAACTGCGACATATTTCAGGTCATCATGCTCGTCCTGATTTCGTAACGAAAACTATATTCAATTTATCTGAACAAAATTCAATTCAGCCAGTCTAGGCCAGGGTGTATGGCACAGTTCTAGTGTTTCTTATATAGTTAGATGCTGTTAAATGTATACTACCTCTAAGGCATAGCCAATGGTGATTACACCATAGGATAGAAACATTCCTCCTAAACCAGTAAGCATCAATGTCCGTCGCCCCACACGATCAATTATTAACACCTACATAGACACCAAATATAAAATATGAACAACTTGGTTCTACTTTAGTTTCAATGAGCAACCATTCTTTGTTAACTTACAGATATTGCAACCATAACTATGGAGACAACACCTGTTCCACAGGTTGCCTCGTCAGGATTAGAGATATTAGCTTTTCTAAATGTTGATGTGGAATAATACATAACCTGCAAATTCAATTAAATATTGAACTAGATAAGACACAAACCCTTCTTACTGTCCAGGTAGAATATATGAAAAATACAAGTAGGAAAGAATATATAATACATACGCTGTTAATTCCACTAAACTGTTGTGACATTTGAAGCAATATGCTCAAGAAAAGAGGATATCTTAATGACTTGGATTTGAGAAGCTGTAATATTGTCAGTGTCCCTTCTCTAGATTCTGAACTCTCTCTTTCTTGCTAAAAAGCAAACACAGATATTTGAAAAAGTGAATAAAATGCACATGGTGATTCATAATCAGTCGAAATAGGTATTAACTAACAACTATATCAGGTGTTGTAGATATTGAACAAACCTTCATTTCACTGATAGATTGCTCTATATTATATGTCCCTTGAAGTCTTCTCAACTCTAATACAAAGACAGATCAATTTGAATTGGAAGATAAGAAGAAATGAAATGCAATCTTTGCCATGCATTTTAATTAAATAATACCTTGTCTAGCAAGAGATTCTTTATTTAATTTAATTAAGAGGTAACGAGGACTCCGAGGGCAACAAGGAAGGATGACAAACTGAATTACAGCTGGTATGATACTTAGTGACAGTAAGTATGCCCAGCCTGTTGAATTTCCCAGTATCTAAAAATATACAATACATACTTTGTTATATTATTTAGCAAAAAATACATCTCAAAGATTTGAAGAAAAATATACCTGATGAAGGCCCAGTATGTATGCAATTAGCATGCCAAAAACAATACCAAACTGGTTCAATGTACCAATTGCCCCACGGAGATGTGTTGGTGAAATTTCTGACAAAAATATTGGCACAACCACAGTATTGATGCCTATAGTTTGAAAAATATATTTCCATCAATGTTAGATAATCTTACATGCCTCAATGATTTAATATTTTTTTTTACGCAAGCATTATGCTTACCATTATTAATTCCAATAATAAATCTTCCAATAATCAATAGTGCGGTTGAGGTTGCCGTACGACATAAGAACACAATTATGCAACCAATAATAATAATTATGTTATTCCAAAGAAGGGTGTTCTTTCTAAACAAAATTTTATAGAAAAAACAACTGTTGTATATATTTTACGGATAATCTTGTGCAAACTCTTGTGCGACATGTACCTCCCAAACATATCAGCCAAACCAGGCCCAACCATTGCTCCTATCAATCCACCAATAGCTGTAATTGATACCGCAGTTGACCAGACAAAGTCACTCATTGTCGTATTTTGACTTGAGAAATATTCTTTAACTACCTGCAAACGGACATTCAATTCATTTAAATATTTCTGAATAATGTATAACACGTATGTAATTTGATACAAGTATCTTTCGGAGAATGAGTAGAAAAACAGAAAAAGGAAACAAGTATCAAATAAATACTAAATCCACAACAAGTTTTCCCAACTTTATCATGTGTAAAAGCCCACACGATCATTAATATTTGTATTCTTAATATGAAAACATTTGCCAGAGCCCAGAGGGCAGAGGCTACACTTCAACCTTTCACCTTTGTTTACATGCCTCGGCCAGTCAAGCAAGTTTATATTATTGGTTTTTCTCGGGCAAAAAACCCTTGCTATAGTTGTGTGTGTGTTTAAAATTGTAATCGTGAAAGTATTTAATAATGTGGACAAAAATTCTAGCTAGAAAATGAAATATATTTTAAAATGACGTACATTTTCTGGGGCGTTAACAACTGCGATGTTGTAACCAAATTGGTAAGAAGATCCACAAACGCACACAAGTGTCGTTATGCATAGCCAAGGGGTAATCCCATAACAATCTTTTGACATTTTGCTCGCTAGTGGTGTTGTTTCGTCGTTTTCTTTGTATATATCATCTTCGTCTTCGCTCTCAACCTGAGAGTTCTCCATCTTTCTTCCCACAAACGCACTCCAGTTGCTGCTCCAGTCCAGTGTGGAACCAAATTTTCAATTAAAAGTCGGAAATTCCTTATATTTCCTTAAAATTCCTTACACTCGTAAAGACGTTTTTATATAGGTTATTTTGAGACGAGTGGATATGTGAAAAATAATTCATTTATTATAAACATACAATTATACAGGCCTTAAAGATCAAGGCATGCAATAAACAATATTTGCTTCAAATATGATTCTTTAAGAGTAATTGAAAATAATGCCATCAAAGGTTTATACATATTTATAAAATAAGTTATAGATCAGTCTCTATTTCCTGGGACGGTTAGGAAAGTATATTTTACTTCTTTTGACATCACTCCACCCAAATGGCCCTCCGTTGTATTCATCCATTGTCACACCAGGTTCCCTCTCTCCCCATTTGTAGTCATTCACCTTCTGATTCGTCCATCGAACGCCAAATTTGTCAACCCAACTTCTGGGGCTAATTTTCGTTCCAGGAATGCCTGATCGTCTTTGCCACTGTAAAAAATAAATTCATTTGCAACCCTCTATTAAACAATTTAGATTTGCATCTCTTGATAACGCAGCTCTTTCTACTCATCTCAAGAAACATACTAACTGCAGAGGCTTTGTTCCTCAGCTAGGAAGAGTTACCTCTGCCCTCTGTATATGACTCCTTTTCACATCATCAAAACCAAATGGTCCTCCTGCATACTCATCCATCATTATCCCAGGTTCCCGTTCACCCCATTTGTAGTCATTTACTTTTCTTGTAGTCCACGTAACACCCATTTTATCCACCCATGTTCTCTCTTGTGGTTGTTGTACTTGTGGTGCTTTCCTTTGTAAAGGTTTAGCCAGAGACTGTTGGGGGTATGTTGATGACGCATGACTTAGAGTATCTCGACTTTGTGCTGCCTGATAATTGTAAGGCTGTCGTGGAGACTGCACGTACGCTGCAGGTTGGTACGCTTGTTGTTGATATTGTTGGTTACCGTAGCTAGGTTGGTATAGGCTTCTTTTAAACGTGTTGTAACTGCAAAAACATGGATTAAGTTGGTATAATAGGATATTATATCATGCAATAAATATTGAGTCGACTGTTTTAGGAAGGCATGGGTGGACATTATATATTTTACCGCAAATGTTACATTTAAAGGTACCGTTTTATGCAATGGAAGAAGGCTGGACTGTTTCTGTGTTTTTGTCCCCAGATGGAGAGGAACGGGGGTCCAGTTTTATCCTGACTTGTCCTTACCTGTCAATGTTTCTTCTGCGTCGAGCAGGCCCCCAACCAAATGGACCATCTGTATACATGTTAAAGTTATAGGGTCTGCTGAATGGCGAGGAATATGGCAGAGCGTCTGTTTTTCCAAAGTTGAGACGATGACGGTGTTTTATACTTTTTCTGGCGTCATTGTGTTTGCCATTGTGGTGATGATGATGATGACTCTTTTCTTCTGTAAATTCTATAAACGGAAATTTTAGAGCACCCGTATAAAGAACTACAACCGTACCATTCAGGAATTATGTCTCGACTGATTTAGACTGATAGTATGACGTATTTCATATATAAAAAGGTCAGCTATTACCAAAAGCAAATCACTCGTACTTAAACTTCCAAATCAAAAGTACTCTCTCTCTCGAATCAATAGTGTAGATATTGTTTGATTTCCATGGTAATTCTATGGATTTTTGTGGGGTTTTTTTTTCATTTTTTCAGTAGGACTCTTCCCGAATTCACAAATTCGTGTTTAGTAAAGTCAATCAAAAGGAATTAACTCGAATAAGATGAAAACGTAATGCTAGTAAGATAATTCTTAAGACTTTCACCTTCAGTAGGAATTTCTTTCACTTTTCCTGCGTTTTTCTTAAAAACAACAACATTGGGATGTTTTAACCATTTTTTCTTCCTACCACAAACATCCGAGATGAGAAATATCAAGAGGAAAGCAGAAAGAACCCTCATTTTTGAGGGATTTCAGGAAGATAATTCTTCCTTGGAGATGATTTACTTCACGAATCAAGTACCTGTTCTTATAATGAGATCATGCAATTTGTCTACTCGTTTGGGAAGAGAAATATGGCAACAGAGTTTCATCTTATTCCTCTTGAGTAGCTGAAATGTTAGAATGCTTTGATATGATGATAATATATAGTCGTAAAATTAGGCTGTAATACAGTTCTGAATCATATTCTGTTAATGACCAGTGTCGGCTTGTAAATATATTAAAATTTACATATCAGACCAAGCCAAGCATGAGAGAATGAACGACGAATATGTTCTTAATTTTTTGAAAGATTTCTAGTTATAATAATAAAGGAATAGGTAAACAACAGACAACATCCACCGGGAATCTGGATTTGAAGAGAATAATTTCAATATTTCAGATTTTATCAGATATTGTTTATTTCATTGCCTCCTATATCATGCAAAGACTGGGGAGAGTATTCAGGGGTTAATTAAGGTGGTTTTTAGTCGATATAATTTTTTTTTCAAACCATATCCGTTCCATACATGTTTAATAACAGTGTTTTTTGTATGTAAAAGAAAAATTTGGAAAGCATGCCAAAAAAAAAAAATTGGGAAGGAATGTAAAAACACCCAAAAGAGATCATCCAGCCTATGCCACAATCTAACCTGGTTATACAACCGGCTGCAATATTCAGCATAGTTACAACTACGAAAGGTGCAAGGCGGTTGCTATAGGAAGAACTCCCCCCCATAACTCACATCTTAACGGCCGTCAAAGGGGGAGATGCACTACGGCCCCCAGACCATGATGTATGTGCACCTAACCGTTACGTCTCAGTGAGAAACAGAGTATGCATCGCCACAAGCCTAGCGTCATAGACGAATCAGCTACAGTGGCTAGCCCTGAGAGCGACGATAAATTTAACGTATTTAAGCTTTTCCTGGTCTCGGGAGGCGGTCCCTAACATGTATATGCATAGAAAACGACTAATAAGGCACACGCTAGGAAATGACAAGATTTAAACGCCTAAACGTGTTTTTAGCGAGAAATTTTAGTGTTTTGTATTCTTTTAGAAATTTTAGTGTTTTGAAACAACCCTTGTTAACATTTTCAAACTAAATGCGTTTGAGATATCTTTACTGTAAAAAAATTTAACTTGCTGTTCAGTCATTTATATTGAGTTTCCTTTTGAAAATGACGATTATTTTAACGTTAAAAACCAACAATGTTGGTTTTTAACGTTAAAATAATCGTCATTTTCAAAAGGAAACTCAATATAAATGACTGAACAGCAAGTTAAATTTTTTTACAGTAAAGATATCTCAAACGCATTTAGTTTGAAAATGTTGTTTTATAACTTTTATTAATATAGTAGTTCATCCTCGTCACAGTCCGTGCGCGGTTAAATTCAAAATGGCGGGTGAGAATTCAAGTGTGGATTTAGCTGCTTATGTGAAAATGCTGCAAGTTATCCAAGTTTAGAAATTCTTATAGAGTTTAACGAATGAACACTCGTTTATCCACTGTGATAGCATTTTACTTGCATTGTCGTTGTTGTATATGATGCCATGGACAACGATTTAACGTATGTATTAATTTGCATTTTGCAATAAATTCTCATGTTTTAAAAAAGACACACAAATTAGTCACACGAGCTCCAAAGTGCCTTTTGATTTACACAAGATGAAAGCTGTAGTTGAACCAGAGCCTTCTCTTGGGATTGAAATCATCAGAACCTTTCACATCTTGTGTAATAATTTACACAATGCAGGCTTATGCAGCTAGCTTTGCAGCCTACGTCCTTGAATCTGCTTTTTTGACAAGCAACATGTTCACACTTTTAGATCTTGTTATGAATTGTGGGAGATCTTAGAAAGTCAGTGTGATGTCAGAGATGAGGTAAGTTTGATGTGAGCGCGTGGGGGGGGAAGGGGGTGCAGGGGGGTACAAAACAAAGGTAAAGGTGTGCATTGAAAGTAAATATATTAGTCTGATGTCTCATACGCATTTGTGTAGTATTTTATGTCATATCTCTTGCATGATATTTTTTTGTCACAAGGAATATGTCAAGCAAAAATTACAAGAAAATCGGGATAGGCTACTAAATGGTTTGACCAGCTTCATTAAACCAAGGTATTGTAGTATGATGGGTGTATATATATTTATACTACTATAATATATTACTCTTCATGTCATTTCAGTACATGTTGCATCTTATATATTGATACTTTCCACATCACTTTAGTACTGCATCAAAAGAAAAGTTTGAGAAAGAGACTAACATCAAACCATTGAGGAAAGAGTTTGCATTAAAATTAAGCAAATTTCTTGTAAGTAGAGGCAGACACTGATAGTTTTCATTTTGCTTCCTACCAATATTTTATTCATTCTAATTGGTTTAGAACATTGAAGAGTTGCAAAGTCTGAAATTATTCCATGGTTATCTACAACATTCTTTCAGGGAATCCAAGGAACAGCTGCAGGTTAGAATTATGTTGTTTTCCAGTGGGGTTAGTGACTGGTCACTATTTTCTATTTTTCTATTTTAGGATGTTCTTAGAAATGAAATTCACACAGAAACTTTACTTATCAAGGTAATGTTCTATTGAAAGACAAACCAATGTTAATCCTTGCACATTTTTGTATAGCTAGGAAACAGTCATATATACCTTTCTAATGTATCTTTTTATTAAACTGTGTATAGGTTATGGAATATTATTTTGAAGAACGTATCTCAATTCTAAAATGTTTAGAGACTATCTTAAGTCTCTCACAAAGACCATCACACCCTTACCAAGTAAGCTTGGTTACATACCAATGTCTATCATAATTTTGAACATAATTTTTGAAGATAGTTGTTATCTTGTGGTTGTTGTTTTTATAGGAGACCTTCTCAACCTTTCTGGATGATTTGATGAAAGATGGTGAACTTTTAAGACAGGTTGGTTTAAAAATCAGTATACCATTATAGTATTTGCTGGACTTTAAGAGTCAGATGTTGGGAAAACAGGCATCATCAAAATCACCCATGCCCATATTGTTTAGCACTTTTTAATATAGTAAAAACCTAATTAGGTCTGGAGTCAATACAAGGTTTGTTGTAAGACAACCATTCATTTGCCAGTTGGTGATGAGTTAGATATGGTAAGTACCATATAGTGTGTATTAGTACCATATAGTACCATGAATGTGGTAAATGTATTGGTGGGTGCACACATTGCTTAGTACTCAAAGATTACAAACTTTTTTCAGGTTAAAAGACATTCACACAGATTTTCTCAACAACTTCTACAAGAGCAGGTATGATCAATGTTTTGAAGTACAGTATCTTTAAACAAAGCAAGGAATATATAATTACTTTTTATGTAATATCTATTTCTAGATCAGTGTGCTTCGGCTTATATTTCTGTTGTACAAAACATTTGAAAATTCCACAGAAACATTCTCAGAAGCAGTCAAGTTATTTCAGGTGCCAGTATATAATATAGGGATCATTATCATCCCAATATATCCTATAAGAACTTGAAGTGGGTTTGATTTGTTAGTTAGTTACTAAAGCTCTTTCGGTTTAGTCTCAAGGATTTGGAACACGCCAATTGAATAGACATTCATTTGATGGATTTACTAAACTTATGATTACCCAGATAGGGTGAGTGGTCTTATAGTCTGAAACATGGCTGCAAATTGCTATCAGACATCGAACAATAATTATGTTTTACTGGTGTAGATTTCTTCAGGTCATGATTCTGGTGGAAGGAATGAAGCTCAGCAGTTTAGTCAAGTGTGTGGAACAAGAACGGTAATAATTCTAATATGATCCATCTCTAATAGAAATAGGGTATACGTAACTGCAGCAGGGTGTTATTCAAAGCAGCCAGCAATTCCTGTGTCTGCAGAAGTGGCTATATCTGTCACAGTCAGTAACTGCTGTGTCTGCAGCAGTCTGTTCTACCTCTAAACAGTGGCTCTACATCCATCTGAAACGTGTTTGTTTAACTACGGACGAACAACAACATTGAATGATTTAGTAGTTCAACCAATCCAACTTGTTTATTGTTGCTTTGTAGCACGGAAGATCATTCATTGTTCAAACAACTTACTATCATGAAGGTATGGATGTAGATTGAGCTCTTCTTTGGGTATCTCCAAGAAAATATAGACAATACATGATTTTTATGTTAGGAGCTTGAAGAGATCTTCGTGAAATGGGGTGCCCTAGTTCACCATGGTCCAGTCATGTTAGCCTGGGCTGCAGTTAGATTTGTCTTGATGGGAGAAGATGGGGAGACGCCAACGGTTTGTCATCATTCGTTCATATCTTCTATCATCATTTCTAATTCAAATCATCGGAGTCTTTTACCCAGGTTAATCAGATATGAGTTAGACTACCTCAGCTCTAAACTGTAAGTGTTGGAACGAAATAACTTGGTTTCCCTCATATTCTTTTAAAATGATGTTAGGTTGTTCAGAGGATGGGCAGCAGAGCTTTACAATGTGGCGTGTTTCCGTATTTGCTGAATTTAATGAAGTCAGCGCCGTTTAATGAAGATACAGTAAGTCTTCCTGTGGTCATCCTGAATGACAATCCAGCAGAGAAGAATGATATGATATGATATGATATGTGAGAAGGATAATAAACTTTATATTTCTAGGTTTTGTTAAGCATCGCAAGGTCCACCATTTACGATTTACTTTCCGTTGTGTTGACGCTCTTTCATGAAAGTACTCTGGGTGATCCTTTGGTAGGAACACAAGCCAGTTCTCTGTTTTCATATATACCAAGATAAGCAACAAAATACATGAAATAATCGCGTTCATATTTCTAGATGCTGATTGCTGTCTTGAAGGAAACCTTGCAGAGTTCAGAACTTTGCGGAAAGTTTTGGAAAAGCGTAAGTTGTTTAGGAAAGCTTGTGAAAGTAATTTAAAAATTAAAGAATATTTCTGAGTCAACTTGTTACTCTCTTTTTAGGAATTGGAAAGCGGAATGGCAATGCTTTTGAAGTCGGCGAAAAGAAAGTAATTTTTTTAAACTAAGAGGTTTGCCGTATTTTAAAGATTTATTTACAACTTGTTTTAGTTTTCCATATCGTTTTACGCCTTTCACTCAAATAATGACCTCCTTGGCGAAAGACAAAACCAGCAGCGAGAATGTGAGTTGTTTCAAATTTCTCCGTAGTTTGATTAATTTTTTAGAAGGGAAGATCGCTTTCACCTTGACTCTGTAAGCTTCGTTCCTTTAATTACAAGTTCTAAACATTTTTTGTACTGCTTCAAAGGTTTTCAATTTCTTACGCAATATGAAAACGTACACTGAACTGTCAAAGGTGAATAGTCTTGATGATGTTGATTGCATTGACTCGGATGAAACATCGTGGAAACTACTTAATGCTAAAATACTCTATAAATCAGGTATGGCAAAGTTTTGTTGTGTCTGTGAACAATATTCCATGTAGACACTCGAGACGTCTGTTTGGGCTTTTTAGTTGTATCGACCGCAGATAAAATTGTGATCCCTACTGGTACATTGGGCAAGGTGTATGTGTCTAATGAAGGTTCGTATTAGCCGATGAATTAGAGAGGGAGGTAAATTAGAGAGAGAGATGAAGGGAAGGAGATAAATTAGAGAGGAAAGTAAATTAGAGAGAGAGGGAGATGAACTAGAGAGAGGGGGGGATAAAGAGAGGGGAGCTGAATTAGAGAGAGAGGGGGGGGGATAAAGAGGGGGGCTGAATTAGAGAGAGATGGATAAAGAGAGGGAGGTGAATTAGAGAGGACGGAAAAAGAATCATAAACGGTACACTTGATATTTTTAGGGGCTCACCTTCTTCGCTGGTCGTTCAATTATTCATGTTGGCAATTATTTTTATTGGAACTTGACGTTTTTCTTCAGTTTATGCCTCACAGTTCAGGTAAATTAACGATAAAGTTGTTTGGAAATACCGTGCAGTGTGCTTATCCTGTTAAAATAAATCTTTTATCAATACAAGATCGAGAAAGACAAAACATGGTGAACAAAGTGCTTGATATTGTTGAAATTTTAAACAACGTACTTCTTCACAACTGGAGTAAAGTATCTTCGCTGGTTAATTTGGTTGACAGAGTCTACTATATTGTACAGAAGTGAGTTGGTTATTTCTATTCAGTGGTCCTTAAAAGACTTTGTTAAAGCATTACATTGTGATATTACAAGGAGATTATCGTCTTCATCCGTCCTTTTCTTTAGGTTCTCTACAAACCCTAATTGTCCACCAGAGCTGATCACAACGTGTGTGAAATGTTTAACAACTGTCACACATCATGAGCCAGTACAGGTCAGCGTTTTTTTTATTTAAACCAGATTATTATTTTACATTTATCTTCGCCTGATTTGCGTTGAAACTTTGTTCAAATCTTATCATATTTTTTTAGTCTTGGTTAAGTTTACAACAGACTGGATATCTTCCATTTTGTGTTTCTTCATTAAAACCAAATGATAAGAAGATTGTGATTAGGTATCTGACAATCTTTATCGTTTAATTGTCGATTATACAAAATGAAGACGTTTTGAAACGAGTCAAATTAAGAAATTTTGCTTTTAGTTCTGTCACAGTCGACCCAGGCCATTTTGGTCATTTTATGTCACGTGAACGATCACATGGTTTCTTCCCGATCACCATAGCGACGTTAGATCTTATGAAAGAACTAGTTGCCATAGTCTCACCTGCGGAGACCAAAGGTGGTTCAGGTATTGATGACTTTGTAGCCTGTGTGGTGTTTGCATGTCGTGATGTATTCACTGGCTACCAGAAATGGCATTACGGTGACCTCAAAGAAAAGCAGGAAATTGGTAAGAATTATGTGTAGGACACCATTTTACCATTGCCGCGACGAACGATATCTGCCTTCAGCTTTCTCACAGTTCCTTTCCAACAATATGTGAAACAAGTTTCATCAGTTCATCGTTTGGTGCTACAAATTTTTAGGTCTGAAATGTCTTGAGATATTTCACGGGATCTTGAATTTAAAAGAAAGTCGAACAAAGATGAAGACTGGAGATGAAACTTTTGAATTGTCTTTTCACAACGAAAGCCAAGAGATAAGGTTTTGTATTGGAAAGAAATGAGAAGAACAGATTTATTCGTTCCTGGTGATGAAATTCGTAGCTAACAAAGATCTTGATTTGTCTTATATTAGCATAGTCACAAGACTTACTGAAATGTTGGTGGATGGACTCTTGTGCTCTGATGTGGGACAATCCTTGTTGAAAGTTGTCGGAATTGGTGTTGATGTTGTGGATAAAATGTTTCAAGTTAACAGCAGGTAAGATGAAAAAAATGGAGGTCATGAATGAAAATCTCTTTAACAATCAATATAACCCGCGCGCGCCTTTACTTCGTATTTCAGCTGCAACGACAGCCCTGCAGTTCTTGTGGTCGAATTAATCAAGTCCTCATTGAATGTTTTAAATGAAGTATTGGACCGTAAACCAAAGGTAGTAGAATTCAAGGCTCAGTCTAAGAACTCTTGTGTCAGGATTTTTGGTTCTTGGTAGTCCTATCATTTGGCGATGTCTGCGGTAAATGTTGAGATACAGTTTTATGTTTGATTGTTAAGAACTCGGACAGCCAGAGAATTACCCCGCTTGAGGAGACTCTGCTCACACACGTCAGTCGCAGGTTTAGCGGTGAAAGTTCTGGTAAGTGATATCACATCTACGACGCCGTGATCGAGTTTCACTCTCATAAACAACGATCTTTTATGTCCACCTAGAAGGCACTCATCTCATGGTGACAATATCCTCATATTTATACATTAAACAAGACAATGAAATTCCAGTCCTGGCTTTGGAATTACTTCGTAAATTATCAATTGTAAGTGAAATAGAGTAAGGTGTGGAACACGCTTTACTTTGAAGTATAGTTATGCGTTATATCGTATAATTATATTTATATTCATAGATAAAATCTTCTTTTAGTTATTTCCAATGTCAATGCACGGCAGTTTAGGATCAAAAGCAAAGAGTCTACGAGATGCATTTGTTGTTAGAATTACGTCCATCACTGAGGTAACAGAAGCGATATCCTGGTTCGTGTTGTTAGATTTTCTGTTGTTAGTCCAATTTATGTCATTTAAGTTTGTCTCTCTGCGATAACCGTATATTATCTTGTATAAAAGTAATAACAGCTGCCTCTGCACTTTTCAAGGATACAGTTTTAAAGGTGGGAATATTGGATTTCTTATCAGCGATAGTGGAAACACAGCCTGGTCTTGTTGAAGTTTTCTTCGACGTCAACGAAACATCTTTAGCAGAAATAAAGGTTCGTATATCTGTATAATTTGTTTCAGTCCTGAACGTATGAACCTTCTGTATAAACTAATCATTCAAAAATGTGATATTTTAGGAGTGCAAGTTTGGTTCAAACAGTTGCCTGACGCCAGTTTTAGCCAACTTGAGCAACAAGGTATGATATGAGTAAGTATAGCAGTTTTACAAGACACTAGTACACGTCAACTTCATATATGCAAGTCCTCATGTTTATTGTAGAGTCCAGTCCCAGTTATCGCTGCTTCGTGCAAATTTCTTCATTCACTCTGGAGAAATCGTCGAGACATGGCAATGACCAATGTTAAAAAATCGTAAGTTTTTGCTTCTTTTGTTTCTGAAAATGACCTCAGTCTCGAGGTTGAAACGAGCTTTGCTTACCTAGAGATAAGTTTTGGACTGTGTTATCAAAATACATCATGGATGATTTGCCTGAGGATCCAGAAGAGGTTCGTAATTTATCAGATCTTTTCTAAATTTACCTCCAGCAGAATATCGTTTAAAATCATGACCATCGTTCTTTTTCTAGATGTTTATATGCCACGTCCAGATTAGATCATTCGTATTTCAGATCATTGCTCTTGAACTGTACTATATAAAAAGGTATGAAACATCATTCATCATCTCTTGGGCTATCTTAGCTGTATAGTGTTGCGTCGAATGTAATGTTATATGTCTTCTGCTTCATTTCAGTGGTCAGTCTGATCCTGAGCTAAAGAATGTTTTAGAGTTGTTTGAAACAAAACAACGATACAATTACTGGGCTGACGAGGTGATTGTGCAATTGCGTTTATCCAGGATGAAAACCAAAACACTCGTTCTCTCAATATGGTTAAATTTATTCTCCTATTTCCCTAGGTCTCCAACTTAACTTTGGCTTCATGCAGTTCAACTACCAGTCCTGAATTGGAGGAAACTTCTCTAAATTTTCTCAGGTCATGGAGAACCTTCTTAATGGTCGTCGCCGAGGTAGAAGATTATCAATTTTTATTGTTCCAGGTGGTTTGGCGTCAAGAAGTAAGCTCAATCTTTAAGCCATCTCTTTAGGTTTCAGCTGATTCTGTTAACGATGAAAACGTCCAAATTATGATCTTGGAAAATACTGCGAAGTCCATAAAGCTTCAGGTAGGATTAGATAGCGGCATGCTTCGTTTGAGTTATGCTCCTAACACTTGACGATCTTGTAGTTTGAGGATGAAATCAACAGCCATGGAACAAGAATAGTTTTGGAGAAAAGTTCACTTTTTCTGATGTTAATAAAAAAATGGATAAAGTAAGTTGTTTCTTTAGGAAGATTGATTGTTCGGTGACACTTGTTGTATATTCTACCCCACGCTTTCGCTACCAGAATAACAGGGCTACATGCACCAGCACCACCGAGGCTAGTTAGCTGTAGCTGATGTGAAGAGTCTGGAATTTCATGCTGAAAATATCTGTATGTTGTTATTTCATTCTTGTTCGTATTATCTTCCAGAGCAGTCCAGTCACCTTTTTTGTTCATCCAGTCAGTAACCGACATTCTTTGGACTGCGCATAACGCTGATCCTAAAATGTTGGCTCGTCTCCGTACTCCGTTATTTTCGTCTCTAACCTTACTGTTACAACACACGAGGGCTGAAAGAATTGTGGGTAGGTAATATTTAGGATATTCGGGGCAGTCTGACAGCAGTAAACGTACTCACAGATTACAATTTTTTATAGAAGATGCTGAAGATGATTGTTTGATATCATTATTACTGTTGATATGTGAGCCTCTGCAATATCGCAATGACGGAATTGAATCAACAACACTGCAAAATAAAGTAAGTTCCCAACCACAGGAAAAGTATTTTTGTCAGTTGTCTGGATGTTTCTCGTACTGGTTTGTCGAGGAAGTGGAAGAGGAAGTCTTCTCCTGTATTCGAGTGTACTCTAAATTCTTTTTACTCGATATATTTTGTTTTTCAGTTGCTATCTGTGTCGCTGTGTCTTCTCAACGAAGTTGTCACGTACATTGATAAAGCAGTAAAGTGGATTCAGATTTTCAGTGAACATGTCATCTTTGCTAACATTATTCAAATTCTGGACATTAATTTGAAGGTATCATTGTGTATTTCTGGTCATGGAGTTTACATCAAAATGGGTTGGTTTGTTTCTACGCATATCTAAATTTATTTCCTCTTGTGTTTTTAGAAAATGGAGAATATTGGTGTAGTTGATGCCGTTCTTCACTTCATTTTGTCTTTATCGAAATATATCGAGGTAAAATTATTGAAACAAATACCGCGCGGAAAGAAATAATTTGAATGATATTTGCATCTTCTTCTCAAGGCCTCAGAAGCTCTTGTGCTAAACCATATTGTTCAACCTCTTTGCCTCGGAATGGCTGAATTACAAAAGAAATTGGAACAGAGCGCTAAACAGGTAGCTACATAATTAAATTATTTTGATGTCGAATCCTTAAAGAAATCCTATCTTAGGGCCGCGATTTTCGTTTGAAACGACGAAAGAAGTTTAATTTATCTTTGACAACAAACTACAGGATCCGGAAGGTCATATGACACGTGAGAAATGGCAAGAAATATGGTGTTTGGGTGTTGTTGTGATGGCAAAATTGCTTGGGAAACTACGATATCAGTTTCTGAAGGAATCCTTAGATTTTGTTGCTGTCCATCGTTTGAGGATCATTCAGGTATTTCACATTTCCCAGCCTTAAATAGAAATTGTTTTGGTGACTGACCTTTAGTTTTATATTCAGGCTATGGATTTGGTTCGTTTTAATCCAACGTCGCCCTGCCTTCGTGAGGCAGAACAAATCGCAATGTTCTTGGTTGAAATGTCTGTTTATCGAAAGGAATGGCAACTGGCTCTGCCTGATGACTATCAACAGATATTATTTTCCTCAACCGTCCTTCTAGAGACATGTGTATCTCTATTGATAAGACCTCGACTTTTGGCGTATGTGATTGAGGTAGGAGAATTCTCTATCATTGAGGTATAAAATCAAATATGCTCAATTCGTGAAACTCTCAGTTTATTATTTCTCTCTACAGAAACCTTCGGGCCGGGATTCTCCGGATTCATCCGAAACCAGTTCGGCCTCGAGTCGTAGTTTGTCACATAGTTTCTCGTCCACCAGTGAACTCTTACGTCCCTACTCAACCCCTGAAGAACCGTTGGAAAAACAAAATCCTAAAGTCGTTGAAACGCAGAAAACGTAAGTTTTGCAACTGTTCTGATGATGAATAGTTCACTGTTGTGATAATCATCTAAGCAAGGTAATCAGATGGATTACAAAGGACACGTTTCAACTTGTACTATGCAGTCAAGGATTCACTACCTGCTGAGGCATGTCTGACCAGTGTTAACAGTTAGGATCGAAGCCTTGCCATGACGATTATGTTATCCACCCCCGAGACCCGCCTCTTTTAGGAGGAGAAATCTAGGCAAAATTGATTCTTCAATTCATCTTTTTTTATAATTGGTAGGTTATTGCGAATAGCTTGCAATACACTTGGATTTCTGAAGAATTTCACTCCTAACATTTGTGAAATATTACTTGACGAAAGAATGGATATTGATGAATACACTCCGTTGTTTAGTCTGACATTTAGTGCTCCAGCTTTAGACAATGAAGGAACGCCCAGTTTTGGGACACTCCTATCATGTCTTAACCTCTGTCTCGGATACATGCAGGCAGTAAGAAATCATCGATAAAAGAACATTGAGCCCAATAATCATCGATCTGCTGAATGATAATATCATCTCTGTTGTTTTACCCCCAGGCTGATCCAAGACCATTATCTTCTCCCGACAAGTCTCCTTGGAAGTTTACAGCTTTAAGTTCTATTCTGCCAAAGTAAGTTGTAATCATTGTAATTATTTTTTGGCTTTCTATTTTTTAACAGCCTTGCATGATTCTGTTTTTTAGATCCTCGGTAAATTTCACGATGGAAAACTCTATAATTCTCGTATTATCTCAAGCTCTGCTGTATCTCAAAGACCCGCGTGTTGAACAAGCAAATAAACAACTTCTAAAACGAAAGCTTGCTAGTGAGTTGGTAAGTGCGTCTACTTCTTACTACACTAAAAACTCTATTCCATTGCTTCAACTATGTTACCTGGTTATAAATTCATAGGGAAAGATGAGATACTTACTGTACGCACAATGATCTCATGTTGTTTCTCTCTTTTTTAGGAGCCTTTTCTTCGCGGTGTAATGCGTCATTTTGGAAGACGTGGTTACACACCCTCCCCAGGCTCCACGCCAAAATCAGCAAGCTCGGCTCGTCGTTCTTTAGGTCGGGGGAGATCTGATCATTGGGAGACTGGAGACCACAAAGATGTGAAATTGATTAAATTGGTCGATGTGTTTCTCAAGACAATGATCCAGTGACACGGTGAGAGATAACCTTTGTGCCGTCTCGCGATCGTAATTTATGATAATTTACCCAGTCCAATAAAATCTCCTTTAATATATAGTAATCAAGGTTACCAAGTTAGTAATAACATGACCCAAACTATGTTTACACAATGCATTTTGTTACATTAATTTTTAATTTTTCATTTAATGAACATTTTGTATAAATTGGCGGATATCTAGACATAAATATGGATAAATGTGGACAAGTCTATATGTCTAAGGATCCTAACTTAAACCTAAGTGTTCATAGAAAACAACTTTTTTATTGCAATTATTTTCCTAAGCCGTTATTCTGGGGTATCTAAAACATCTGTAAACATCTTAAACATTCCACAAGAGAGTTTATTCCAACTGTGTGTTTCAGCAGGCTTTCTATTATCTATATGAACTTGCGCTCTGTCGCCTAAAACACATATTCGACGATGCAAAAATCTTACTATGGTATCAGTTGAGGTATTTACTCTCAATAAAAATGTATTTTCAGGCACAAGTGTCATAAACTTGCAATATTTACGTAATTTCTAGTAGACATGCATGATTCCAAAGACAATGAATTATTAATAGAAGATACCCACGCGCGTGCATATTAACACGGCCCGACCTCTTGCAAAGCCCAATTCCTCGCAGCTCATTAAAAATTCACTCGGCTAAAGTAAATATTTGGTTTTATGGTTGCGTCTGTGCAAAAAAGTGAAATATTTTAACTAAAATTTTGGAGTTAAACTTGTTGGCAATTAGATTTTCAGCTAGTGTAGTCATTTGAAAGAGTACAACTGTTCTTGGAGAGATGGTTGGAGCACAAAGGTTATTTTAATACATTTGGGAACACAAGAGTTCGGTATTTGTAGGCGTGACCTGTGATCTTCCAATATTCGCGCGCATCCCGTGTTTATCTACTTCGAGTTTGTTTCGAGGTCTGCTAACTCGATTGTTTCTTCGTCTTTGGTTTTCTCGTCATTTTCTCAGCGATCAAGGTTAGTTCTTCTTTCTTTTTGTTATTTTGCGTTACTGAAACATTTCGTTACTCAAAAGAAGTAAAAATATTGATGGAAGCTTCGTTCGAAAACATTTCTTATAACCACAGATATTTAACGTTGCGCGTCATTACGGTTTTCATAAATGATGCTTTTACTGTTAGATTGCGTGATTCCAAATTAACACAATAAACGTTTTGTAACACTAAGAGTATTTGTTGGTGTTCAGAGAAAGTTAGATCTTTTAACACATTTTTCTTTTATTTACTATTCGTTGCCATAGAATATTTTTTGTTGATATGCCGTACTCCAGAAGCTTCATGTATGAACTTAAAATGTGACTGATGTTTTGACGTTTTGCACACAGAACATTTCAAGCAGGTGTGGTTAGATAAATCGTAATAACTTGTAGTTTTATGTAGTTTTCAAGCCGATATTTCACAGTCTCGCGAGACGGCTGCAACTCAGATTAGTGGCAAAAGATAACGGTATTTCAATGATAGAATATCATTATTCAAAGTTCCTTATGACTTGTTTGTAACCTCAGAGATTTCGATTTTAAAAGTTCAATTCCTTGTATACTAAAAAGGTTTTTTTCTATTGTCACTGCCATGACAACATGCCGTTTATGCCTGTGATGGGATATATACCAGATAAATTGATAAATCCCAGTTAATACTGTATTGACGTTCAACTTTGTTGAAAAGTGCACAGGATTAATGCGGTTAAATACTTTAATTGTACTTTGACGTATAACAGTCATACTTACTTCAATATTCATTTTAAGATATAATTCTGAAGATGAGACAAAAATGAGGTAATTTGTGTTGTATATAAGCACATTTTTGTTTAGCATTAAAATCTACATTTTGTACTTGGGGTAACTAGAAGATTAACGAGAAGTGCGTTGTTAAAATCACACGGGCATCACTTAGTAGTAAAAGGTGTTTGAATCTTCTAGACTGGGGTTAGGATAATACCAAAAACAAGGTTAATTACCATGTGTTAAATCTCTGTCTGTATATTCCCTTTTAAAAATTCTTTAAAAAACACGAACTATTGATAGAATAAAAGACTATATATTCAAATAGTTGTCTTGGTTTTCAAATAAAATTTTCATTAATTTGCAAAAGCTTTGCCTAAAACAGATTTCTTGTTTGAATCATATCGATAACGACTGTATTGAATTTTAATCATCTCTCACTAGTCACCGAAATATTTAATTGAAGATGACATCGGCATTGTACGCCACAGGACATCGGTAGCTATCGGAGGGTTTCGTCGTCGGCCGTAGTGCGCTGTATGATTGCAGCTGTGGTTAGCTGAATTAGTTGTATTAAACTTAGCATGTAGTGCTGCTGAAACCGAATTCCGTCTCTTGTTCTATCGTAAATTTTCTGTTAAAAGTGTCGCATTTACCTAAGAGAAAGTGAAATATCCCTTATAACGTATTATTTGCTCATGTCAAAACCAGCTTAGTTTAATTGGGATACGTAATTGATTTAGCCGTTACACTAATCCAAACATCAATACTAAAATGACAGTATATTTTTACGAAGCTTTCGCGTCTAAAACTCCTGTCTTTAGCTGTATTTAATTGTTTGAACATTATATCAATGGTGATACTTTAGTATAAATTACCAGACGTTCCTCCTTTTCATTGGTTGTAAGTCTTGTTCTTTGTTCATGATGCAAGACGCATAGTTTTTGAATAATTTAAGCCCGTCGCACACAAGAGCTATCTGTTGAGTTAACGACCTCGCGAGGCAGTTAGCTTAGTTCGAAAACCGTCCGCACACGTGAAAACTGCCTCGAGGCGAATTCCTCACGACTGAAAACAATCCGCACACGACAGAAACTTGCTGAGCTAACAGCCTCGCGAGGTCTTCATTTAGTTCAGCTGATAGCTCTCGTGTGCGGTGTGCGTTATCTGCCTCTTCACTCTTGCATTATTTAAGAGTTTTTGATCGAACTTTTGCGTACATTATCTACCACACCTGCTTCGTGTGCCTCAAAATCTGTCAATTTCGAACGACTTGCATGAATTAGCTTGTCTTTTTTTTCAATATTTGGCATCTTCATCTTCATTGTATTTTGTGTTTTTTAACTCAATACTTGAATCCTTTTTTCAACTATGTATAAAGATTGGTATACTTTGTTCAAGCATTCATTCAGCCACTATGTCTGGAGAGGACGTGAAATGCGGGTCCCACTTAAAGAGTATCGATGAATTGACTGGGTTCCCGCTTTTTCCAGAGGGGACAAAATCCTCAGTGGCTCGCTTTAACACCCGCGAGATCTGGAAAAAATATCACGACAAAAAAGACGCCTATGGTGTCTCCTACAAGCTCTGCGTCTTCTCCGGAATCCAGAATGTCGATTCGGGCATCGGCGTGTACGCTGGCTCTCACGATAGTTACCGAACCTTTTCCGATCTCATGGATAAGGTAATTGAGGATTATCACAAACACAAGCCTGATGATAAACACGTGTCAGACATGGACGCAAGCAAGCTCAAATGTCCACCACTCCCCCCTGATGAAGCCAAGATGATTGTGTCTACACGTATCAGAGTTGGTCGAAATCTGGAGGGTTATCCACTTGCCCCGGGGGTAACAAAGGAACAGCGAGATGAAATTATGGAAAAGGTACGTGAGATGCTTAACTTACTTAGAATCAAGATACAGGAACGATGTAATAAGTAGAAAAATATCAGAGTAACGAGGATGGTTGGAGTATTTTTATTACCTACACGACACTCACTACGGCCTTACCAAAATTTAAACTTGTCATTAAGGTGGTTCGTGCGTGCAACACGTTCACAGGAGATCTGAAGGGAACTTTTTATCCTTTGCAAGGAATGGATGAAAACACACAAAAGCAGTTGATCGCTGACCATTTTCTCTTCAAGTAAGTTTTTCCTGATAAGGATGCAAAAGCTCTTCCTCGATGATTGAATCCCTGTGCGTTCTGTAAATCATAGATAGCCAATAGAACATGTACTACTTCTACTTAATCAATTGAACGATTTGGTTTGCAAAATCCAATAATAGACGACATTACTTTCTAGGGAAGGTGACAGGTTTCTGGAGGCTTGTGGATGCAACAGGGACTGGCCATCAGGGCGAGGCATCTTCCACAATGCTGAGAAAACATTTTTGGTTTGGGTGAATGAAGAAGATCAACTTCGTATCATCTCGATGCAACAGGGAGCTGACATTGGTGCTGTGTTTGAACGCCTTAGCCGAGCAGCCAATCATATTGAGTCAGTGGCCAAGTTCTCTCATGATGACCATCTTGGTTACATTACTTCATGTCCTACAAACCTTGGAACCGCACTCCGAGCCTCGGTTCATATCAAGCTGCCCAAGCTATCGGCGCGCAAAGATGAGTTCCAAGCCATTGCTGACAAGTTCTACGTTCAAATTCGTGGAATACACGGGGAGCACTCGGAGAGCGTCGGAGGTATTTATGATATCTCAAACAAACGTCGTTTGGGAAGATCTGAAGTACAGCTGGTTCAAGATATGTACAACGGAGTTAAAGCAATGATCACACGAGAGAAAGAATTGTGAATACTTTGTTCGAACTGTAAACCAATGTTCCTGTATTTTAGTTCGTAACATTGTGTGATTTTACATATTGGTTATAAAGTTGGTTAATCCAAATAAAGACGTTTTACTACCTTCAGTTTGTTGTTACCTGATAATATGATCCAAGTCTTGTTGTAGGATACACATTCACCATGAATATATTTAAAATATTGTCTTTTACATATCAATATATGATTTCTTATATACATTTTATACATACACAAAACTACATTTATGAGTAACGGTAAAATATGTTGTGACCTAGGACGAGCTTACTCTTCAAGCTTTTTAAAGGCTTAGTCCTTTATACAATGGAAAGAAATTATTTTAGTTGTGATTTTTTAGGTCTTAAATGCTCGATAATATCCAAACTTCGATGGCCTGATTTAGCAGCAAATCGATATATTTTACATGAAATTTTTTTAGGAAGAGTCCGTCTTCTTGTGGTTTTTACGTGACGATTTCTGTACGAGTTTAACATCATGATTGTCAGTATACCATACGAACATTGTTTGTGACGTCAAATCCACGGCAGCGATGATAAACCTGACGCGTACACGCGTTCTCAACGCGGGACTTCCACGATCAGTGGCGACAATCTTGTACTCAAATCTTTTCAATGGAGAACTGCTACTCTCATTACAAAACTCACGAAGTCCTTGCAAAACTTTCACCTTACCGCTGTGCCTCTGCACTGTGAAATAGGGATTCTCGGGCTCAAGTTTGAATGTCACTTGTGCATTTTTGCCTTCATCTTGGTCGTATGCGTCGATACGATACAAGGTAATCCCGGGTCTTACATTACAGGGGACAGTTATCGTATAAGCTGGATAACTAAACATAGGAGCATTGTCATTTACGTCGAGTATTCGTACTACGACAAAACTTCGTGCCTTCTTCGACCTTCTACTGTTTCTTGGATTTAAATGCTTTGCCTCAATCTCCAGTAAATATTCAGAGACAGTTTCTCTGTCTAAAGATGAATTCACTGTTAATTCACCACTTGTAATGTTCATTTTAAATGTTGGATGTTCCCGTTTCAAGTTTTCAGCCACAATAGAGAAGAGCAAATTTTCGCCATTTCTTTTCGCCAACTTTGCCTTCACTGTAGTTACCAGGGTCCCAATGGCCGCATCTTCTTTGACGTAATAAATCTTTTGGTAATCGTAGAATATTTCTAAAATAAAATAAGAAGGACTCGATTCAAGGTAAATCTCTTCATGTATTGCAACATATGAACATATTTAGGTTCGGTTAAACAATCTGTTTAAAATGGTGAAGTTCAAAATGTACGCACCCAACTAACCTTTACGACAGGTTTTTCCCTTCGAGTCTAATTTGTATCCAGTTGGACAGAGGCATGCATACGACCCCCTCGAGTTACGACACTGATGACTGCAACCTCCATTGTTTCTGAGACATTCATTCTCGTCTAAGAAATACAATTGCTCAATATTAATGAACCAATTAGAACAAAGAAAGACAAATTAGGAGTTAATTAGAGAAAATGGAATACACTTTAGAATGTTAGAACATACTCTTGTCTACTTACCTCGACAACTTTTCTCGTTGTAAGCTAATCTGAATCCTTTTGGACAAACACAATGATAACTACCAGCCGTATTCACACATTTGAACTCGCATTTCACCTGGCTGCTTGAACACTCGTCTATATCTGAAAAAATACCATTTTAGGTTTGTCTTTAATCCTTTCCATGCCCTTTAAATAACCCTAATAAATACGTTCTAATCCTGGTTCTAATTAGTAATATTGAGAATTCTTACCCACACATCTGCCAGAGTTCTTTCTTCCTCGCAATCGATACCCATCAGGGCAATCACACATGTAACTACCCACTGTATTTCTGCACAGACTTGGGAATTTACACACTTCTTTCCTGCATTCATTCACGTCTAAAAGGAAAGATCAGTGGTTAAGCTCTGGTCAAAAACAAAACTTGGTCCCTTTTTTGGTTTTCGAAATACATTTTCATACTGTAATACGCAATTTCGTACCAACAGCACTGTAAGTTGCATAGAATCCTTTTCCAGTTCCGTCGTCATCAGTTCGAAATATCAACCATAATTCATTCGATGATGACGTCACACCTCTCTGTCTTCTCTTTCCACAGTATAACCTGGTGTTTCTCTGAGCTTTATCAAAAGCAACAACAAGTGCATCTTTGTGGCATAGCGTTGAATCTTCGATGTGAAATCTGCGAAATTTAAGCTTAATTCGATATCCTTTTGGTACACGAATGTGCCAACTGCTTTGTATATTATTCGTGTAGTTTCTTGGGTAGCCTGGTGAACGAAGGTCGCCAAAACTCTTTGTCAAAACGGCTGATGTGCGACATTTTCCTGGGGGGAAAATAAATTACAATCATGACTTATGAAAGGGAGACAATAATCTGAGCGAAGAGTGGTGATTATTGTCTACAGAAAAGCTCTTTAAATCGGTGTTGATCAAAACGTCCATGATCCATGCATGGCTTGAAGTTGATCACAATGTGCTGCAGGCATTTTGAATCGCTTCTTTAGATGAGTTTCTACGTATACAATTAGTGTGTCTTCCGTGCGATCATAACACGCGTGCAATTCTTAACACATTCACACCCAATAGCGGACAGCATTCTCCTGTAATTTATAACATTGCGACAACATGTCTCGACATTCCTCCTGTTGGCGCGGCCATAAGACGCGGGGTTTTGACAATCTTAAGATTTATGGTTCCTTCAAGTGTCTGAGTAGATAACGTGGTAACAACGATATTCCCTTATTGATGAATTCCGACACGTGCATTTGCGTGAAATATTCCTCAATAATTTCCAATGTTAATAGGACTGAAAGCAATATGAAGAAAGATAAAAACGATACTTGGCCACCCATGATGGCATCGTAACGCCAGAGCTTGTAGTATTAGCTCAATAATTAGGTTAGATAGCAATTAATGTCCTCGGGAAAACAAGGAAAACAAAAGACCAGGACAAAGAAAACAAAAGCGAGGTATGACGGTGTTTGGTCCAATTATTCAGCCAATCTTTCAACGTAAATGATAAGATATGGCGCGCTCAATGATGTTTTTTATGTATGAAAGTCACAATGTTGATCAACAAAGTAGCAATTTGAATCAGTGCAAAACATACATATGAGTTGTGCGCAAATTTTACTGACATGTTTTATTGCGTGTGAAGTGTTCAAACACCGTCTAGCAGCTTTTTGACTCCTCTGAATTAATTTTCAGTAGAATTTTTGACACTTTCACAGTCTATTTTCTAAATACTTCAGTTGAAAAGATGAAAGAAATCACACCCAAAGAGTACAGAGTTTTTAAACGATCCAACAGATATGTCTTCACTTTAAGCATTTATTGTAATTGCATAAACACCTCCCCCCCGTATTCTCGATAGTTTTTGTCGCTAGTTTCCCGTGCATACAAGAATTTTCCCGCCAATCTGATGATGGCGTTATGTAATAGAGCTTGAAGCAGTCGTATTATGTTTGAATTAATCGGTGTTGTCAAAAACGAAACAATTTGTCATGTTGACGTAAACTATGATTTATGATTTGAGGGTAAGTTTAATTTAAATGCCTGGTAAGACACGCGCCTCTAGCAATAAGCCGCAATCGTTAATGTAAACATAGAGACGCTTTTCGGCCGAAAAAAACGAGAGTGTAATCCGATTCTAAAGTTCGGTGTTTTCATGTAAAAACCTGTATGGAAGTTGTTATATAAACTTTCAACGGAACAATTTGTTGAAGTTGACAGAAATCACGCCTCATTCTTTAACAGCAGCGGAAACGACCAGAGTCGCGGAAATCGTGATTTATGAACCTGCTTTTCTAAAATTGCAAAAAGCGTTATCTTTTTTGAAAACGTTTATTGCTTTTTGGCGCTCTACTGTTGTTCAAAACAAAGTTTTTTAATTGTGTGTTATAATCCCACGCACATTCCTGACCTGCTGGACATAGCGTCGACATATCCTAGACAAGTTTCACAACAATGTTTAAGACTAAAGGGAAAATGTTTAAGACTAGAGGGAAAATTTAATATAAAACCCTCCCTTTAATGTTTAGCATTGAATAATATTTCAACTTGCATGCTTTACACGAATCCACGTTCTTTGATATTTTGCCTTTCAGAAAAAAAACACGAAAAAATCGCCCGCTATTCTATGAACTTAGTTTGAACGTAAAAATACCATCAATTCTATGCTGGAATTTCATTCATCACATTCATACCAGAATATTCCTCTTATGCATTAAGCATACAAGTGGGTTTAAGACTTTAAATGGTAAAATATGGATAATGTCGATTTTAATCTTGATTGTGTGATTGTCAATATGTACACGAGCCAGAGAAACGCAATCTCTTAAAAAAATAATCCTTTAATAAGCACGTTGGCGTACGCAATAACTATACGTGTGTCGAGTATCTGGTGGTATTGAAGCACAGAACAGCTAGTTCCAATATTTATACCCGCTGTAAGCTGTCAAGAGTCATAAACGACCGTCACATTTCCATTTTACGTTTGTTTTTACAAAAGATTGTCCTTATTTTAATTCTTTGTGGACTTAGAAGGTCAATAGTCTTGTTGACTCCATATCTTACAAAGGTTTGACACCTTTGGCTGAATCCACTCATTCCTTCAGACACCTCAGAAATCCCTTAAAGACTGTATGAAAGCCCTCTCTTCGAGTCAAATTTTTTTATATAAAATTCAGATTTAAATCATTTCAAACATTCTAAGAAAGCGCACTTATATAACACGCATATTCAGTTCATCTTTGAGAGAAGTTTTTCCTTCGAGAGAGCAAAATTTCAACAGTAGACCATCATCGAACTATTAAGAAGGATATAAAATATTGTCGAGCGACAATGATGGAAGAGAAAATAAGCTATTCTTCATGAAAAAGTGTACGTACGTTACTTTTTTATGGCATCGCGATTTTGAGATTCCCAGGATTTATCAATGAAACGACAAAGTATATTAGTCTATATAGCTAATATTGGTTGGCAACTATATCCCACCGGAACAAAACCGCAATATGATTTAAGTGTGAGATAGCTTCATACTCGACTCTTTAAGCTGCAGAGAAGGTAACGTTATCGCAAGAGCATAATAGTCCCCTGCATGTAGCTCCTGCTAAGCTTATTATATATTCAAACCATATTATTATATATTATTCTTGTTCTTTACCTCGTCTTTTTACACCTTTTTGACATCTCTTGTCTCGTCTTGTATCTGCTGTGTTCAGCCTGAAATTAGTCAAAAATTTGTTCGTGGAAACCTTTTAATTTTCATCTCAACTCGAGTTGAAAACGGACTTGAATATATCCGAAATTACGATAGACTTACAATGTAAATATACCAGCAAAATGTAACCGCTTACTAAATATCAATGAAAACACTTACAAAGCCAACCATAGAATGAGGAATGCACAACACTTTCTTACAGAAATCATCCTTATACTTTACGCGAAGTCAAATGATATTTGAAGCGTCCCTTCTTTTAATCTGTGTTGATCTTGGCTTTGCTTTAGACTAAGTCTTTAACCAGTGATAATAATCCTTGCTATTTATATTCCTCAAACCTTGTCGAAATCCTGCAGTTATAACGAGCGGTTTTCAGGATGTGTGCTCATATGGAACAACGTAGTTCCGTGCGATTTTGATCAAAGTGATTACACGATCGGTAAAGTTTGATAAATAGCGTTTTATTTCACACCTGGGTTTTAGGACAATATGACGACGCTCTGGATAATGATTTATGGCTGTGTGTGGTTGGCCGCAATATTGCGCGGATGCACGTTGGAGGCACGGACCTGACCACGCGGTACGCATGCCAAGACTCCGTTAAATAATATTACATATCTCTAGACATTTCTGCTTCGAACGCTAATTTTGCAAATTTGTACTAGAAAGCAGTTGTTAGCAGGAAGTTTTTTCAATCCTTTATTTTGCCTGCTCACTAAGATTATTAACCTCTTATCCACCCAATAACATAAAGATGATCTATTTCATAGACCATTCTTATTGTACTTTAATACCGGCCATAAAAGAGCTCTTATTCAAATTAATTATTGCATCCTCCGCACTACCATTATGCAATTTTTTATTGTATCAGAGTAATAAGATAACATAAAGAAAGGCGACATTTTAAGACACTATCATTAAAACCGTAATGAACAGGATTGTGGTTGAATTGTCAACTTTATTATTTTGTTAAACGAAGTTAAATATCAGTGAGGTTTTAGACCTTATCGACTGTTATTCTAAGTTAAGTTATTCCATAGAAATTTTCTTCTTTAGTCTTTCTTGTTTGGCGGATAAGTTTTCTAGTTTTGTCTCAAGGCTGTCTACAGAAAATAATACAAATATTCAACGTCAAAATTGAATTTGTTTTCGTGATCGCTTCTTAATCAACTTCGGTCTCGTATCCCAGTTATTCCAAGAACGAGATCAAATACTTTACCACATAACGCTCTGTCGAGGATCTTTTTATAAGACTTGACATAATGACCAGGAATTAGACACATTCCTGCTACTTTGTCACCTTTTTTACAGGAAAAATTATCTAAAGTTTGCGTAGAAAATATGTTTTGATAACAGTTAAAAATTTGATAACAGTTAAAAAGGGTAAATTATCAGCTTATTTCTGCATGTACCCTCAGTTGTATCCGTATGTTCACCATTTAGTAATTCTCGCATCATTGTTGTCCTTAGGGGAAATAAATTATAGATATATATCATTATACAATCCGCTGTCTCTTCAGGGGTTTGTAAATATTGTTCATTCTAGATACAGAGTGGTTAGTAGCCTGCAGTTATAGCAGTGTCGTTATTCTACTATCAATTACTTTATACTGCTTGTTGTCCAGAGTTTCTGATAGGAGTCTCGAATCCTCGTCACTTCATCTACAACAAAAATTCGGCTTCTTTTGAAAAGAACTTGTTTCTGCGAAGTAGTTTAGTGTATATACACTAGTCTTACCTTTGGCATATTGCCAGTTTATGTCATTATATTCACAGTGAAATAAGACCAAAGGAATTTCTAGAAATAACAAAACTGAAAGTATGATAACTATTTCACCTTCCTGGCAGTGACATGAAGTTCGCTCACATACCAGATGCCATACTGTATTGAGGTCGACGAGGACATTTTGTTATGTCCAACATATGATCGATTATCTGAAGAAAAAATCATTCACCTTTGATAAACGTCTAGAAAATTTTGAACGTCTTCACTAATAGCGTTCATGAGATGGCTAACCTCTGGTTTTTCTAGATTTTGACCAACTAGAAACAAGATTGCGACCATACATCTGATTTGATGCCATAGAAATGCCATTCCTTTCACAGTTACCACACACATATCATACTCACTCTGACTACAAGATTACATTCACAAAACATTGTGAACTATGTCGCGATGAGAAAAAATAAGATTCAAATTCCTTGCATATCATACTTTCACTCTTATCTCACCTACAATTATTCATTCTTTGAACATCAACCGATAGAATATTTCTACGAAACGACGTTACATTATTCGCGACATCCATCTACAAAAAATCCAGAAGCCATAACGTTGTTATAATTATCACTAATTCTTGCACGAACTAAAATCAAACTTTGCTCTATACCTTACAAAAGTTCCGAAAATCATGTTCACCAATAAACCTCTTTCCTGCCTTATTCATTAGCTGAAATTTAAACGAACTTCAGTGTGAACCAAGGAGGTTGCTTGAACTTCCGCGTGCAAATTTGAAACCATTCTAAACTTTATTATTTATTTTTATGCGTTGTTTTTTTAATAATGCGTTGTTTTCTCAAAATCTAATGTACCTCAATATCAAAATCTCCAGCTGGGAAATAGTATTTGTACATTCGGTAGACACAACTAAACCTACAAAAATATAGAGTGAGTCTATACACAAATAATGCTTCGGGCAGGTCTAGGCTATAAATACCTAGCTTTAAAGTCTAGTGCAACTGGTATCCATGCCAACACTCGTATTTCATCTGGTAAAAGTTTATTCAAAACATAAACATAATTTATTTCTTCTTTGAAAGAATTTTTGTTTGTTGAATTATCTTGTTGTGTGTTTGACTCCTTCTTCTGGATAACTCCATCACCCTCATCAAGATTGCTTCTAATTTCCAGAGAGATGACCTGTATTGGAGATTGACAAATGTCCAGTACATGAAATGTTAACCAGGGTTTAGGCAGCTCATGAAACAAATCATAATTACCTGAGCAAAAGCACTGACTCCTTTGTCAGTTCTACCACATCTTGAGTAATTACATGTTGATCTATCTTTGATTAGACAGGCTTTTTGTAGGGCATTAAAGAGGTGTCCCTTAAAACATGAAGATCATTTGTGTTTAAGAGAAGCTGATACTAGTATAGCTCATGCAATTTCTAATAAGGCTCTAGTTTAGCTGGTACCTCAATTGTATTTTCATTGTTCTCTTGACTTGCAAAACCATGGTAATCCCAACCCAGATATGCAATCTTCAATGCAACATAGCGAACATTGTACCTAATGTAGGTATAAATAAGTAATACTTCCATAAATAGGAAGGATGATGCAAAGGTAAGTCCACTTCAATCATAGTTTGATCTTCAACCAAATATCCAGTTTCGCCCCTGCCTGTTTATCTGAACTATACCTGGAGAAATCAAAGACTTTTCTTTTCTTCAGCTTTGGTTCTTTTTCATTCTTTTGCTTTTTATTTATGGATTGTGATGAAATGCTAGACTGGTTTTGTTGAACTCTAGAGAGCTGTTCCTCCAGATCCCTGTTCCGATTTTCAAGTTCTGTTAATCTGGCCAGAAGTTCCTGTTGATTAAAACATTGTACTGTCAGGAATAAAGATTACACAGCGATACATCACTTTGCGATGTGCCTAAATGATGCCCGAGTATTTTACCCTGTCTGATGACTTTGTACCATCGTGAAGACTGAAGAGGTTCCTTCTAATCATTTCGTCCTCAAATAGACGCCTACCATATTACCACATATTTCCAGGAAATATTGGGGCGATTATCGAAAGAACGACGGGTTTAAGCCTTCTCTAAATGCAGAAGAACTTTCATATGAAATATTACCTCTCTCTCTACCGAATTGCTTTGGTCATCCTCTCGTTTTCTTTTTCCATCTTCCATGTTTTGTTTACAAACATCCAGTTTCTGAAAGTTTTTTGGATACTTCATGTAATCAAAAAGTAGAAATTTAAAAATGGCGGCAAGTGATGATGAACTGGAAGAAATAAACTATTACGCAGTTCTCAACGTAAGCAGAGAGGTAAGAGACCTAAAGTCTTTTATTACGATACAAGAGTATTGCGTGCGACAGTTGAAGTACGTTCAGGTGAAATTTCAGTGGAATTGTGTTGGAGAATATGGTAGTGAACTCTGTGTTCTAAATTCATATATTGATATTTACTGTAATATTCATAGTACTTTCACTTCTTTGTCTGGTATAATGATGTATGTAAATAAGATGATATTATTTTCCAGGCAAGCACTGACGAAATCAAGTCCTCATATCGCAGACTTTGTAAATTTTACCACCCAGACAGGCATGTGGACCCAGCCAAAAAAGAGGTGTGCAATACAGTATATAGTCAATCGTCACCATTATCTTAATTCCTATATTAATGTTTTACTGTCAACAAATAAGCTCAAATTTTATTAAATATTTGTATTTTTAAGCATGCTGTCAAGTTGTTCAATGAACTACAAATAGCATATGAAGGTTTGAAATGTTAAAATGCAAGTTTATAAAGATCCAGTAAATCAAAACATGATAAACCTCAAAAGAATATCTCATCTTCATCTGTTCTAGTGCTCAATGATCCAGATAAAAGAGCCATTTATGATATTTATGGACAGAAAGGACTGGATGCAAACTGGGAGGTAATTTGTATTATTTATAATTATTAGAAAAGCATTTGAAATTATTTCAAGAGAATTAGAAAATTAAATATGTCTTCAACAAGAGCTGAAATTTATATTTCTTTGTCACAGGTGATTGCAAGGCAGCGCACCCCAGCAGAGGTAGGTTATTGAAGAAAACTAATTCTAAACAGTGTCCACCAGAGTATACCACCAGTGAATGAGTTGCCTGTCATTTATTGTATTATAAAATCATTATTTAGATTCAAGAAGAGTATGAACGACTTCAAAGACAAAAAGAAGAAGAAAGACTACATAGAAGAACAAACCCAAAGGTTTCTCATGCACTTGTGTTTCTTGAAACCAGTGAAGACCAGTGTTCACTGGTGAAGACCATCTATAGAAAGTGTTAACTCGCCAGGAATTTTTTTTTTATTTTAGGGAGATATAATAATTGGTGTTGATGGAACAGAGTTGTTTGAACCTTATGATGAATATGAACCTGAAGAAAGGTAATTAGTGTGTTTAAACTTACTCCTGTTAGACAAATATTCTTTCATTTAATATTGACCATGGCATAGAAGAGAAAAATTGCATTTCATCATTGCTCCAACAATACCTTTTGTCTCTTTGTATTTCCAGGGGATTGCCAAACATTGAAGTTACGAGAATGACCATCAATCAATCAATAGAGGTCATAAAACACGATGCTTTGTATATTCCACTCATTTTCTTCAGTATTAATTCAACTAGTTGACACATTTATTAATATTTAGGCACCGTTGACAACCAGTGACACGGTTACATTAAGTGGCAATTTGACGGTTCAAAATGGCAATGGTAATGGTCACGTGTCAGCCGCATGGAGACGAGTTCTTTCATCGTTCTCTTGGGCTGAGGTAATGTCAGCAGCAGAAAAATCTAGTAAAACCCACCTTAAGACCGTCTCGTTAAAATATACTATCCGTGATCGTAATAAATATTTTTATATTTCCTCGTCTACGCCGTTATCATCACCTCTCAGAGCCAGCTCGAGTTTGTTTAATATCGTTCAAATGCGGCCGTATTTAATAAGAGGATTACATTTTCTGTAAAACAAGATGTATTAGAGTGAATATAAGCTTCAATTGATCTGAATATGATATTTGATATTATTGACTGTATGATTTAGCGAATTGTTTATTCTTAGGTTGAGTTTGCGGCAGGTAATGGTCCTATGCTGCAGTTGAGGGCATTTCGTAATCTAACACAGCGCAGGTTGGTTGTGTTGGTGTTAATTCATTGAGATTAATAATGAATCTTCATTCTAAACTATCAATATTGTCTCTTCCTCTATTAAGTTATGGTAGTTTAGGGATCGCCTTGCATATGCATAACCGTGGCATTGGTGCTGGATTTCAAGCAAGTATGTTCGTTTTTTACGTTAGAACAGTCTAGTAGAAGCATGATGGAATATTTCTCCACGTTATCATCCATAATGTCGAACTCTCCGGTGAGTAAATGCTGTCATCTTGATTCGTTTTTCTTCCATTTCAGTGGTTGCCAGACAACTAGGCAGCCACACGAATGGTTACATCACCTGGAAGGCTGGTTCAGGTTCCTCAATGGAATCCTCTCTTGTCACAGAGTATGATAATTCAAGACTGCAAGTTGGGATTCAGGTTAGCAATCAGAACCAGAGTTTTTTAATCGCCAAACCTCCCTATTCCCAGTGTAGTATTACCAATAATAACCAGTTGTGTTTTCTTCTCTGCAGCTGGGGGTGAGGAACTGTTTTGCTTCCCTCTCCTATCATTACAATCTAAACGTTGATACAAAATTACGCACTGGAATAAAGTAAGCCTTATCTTAGAGAACACTCTGTATGTGATTCCTGCACATTGATCATGGCTAGGTTCCTCTCTTAGCGCAGGTTTCCCTTTTATTCCAAACGAATGTTTCCATTTTTCTATACGACGTAGATTGTCACGATTAATGCGATCACGGATATTAACATCTTGCGATTGTGAGCTGGCTTAGTTTCTCTTTGCATGATTTTCTCTTCTTAATTTTCTTGATCAAAGAATTGGCTTTCTTGGATCCCATTTGAGCTATGGAGTTGATCAAAAGATATCTGAACACAGTTACCTGGGCGCTAGCATGTCTATAGACAGTATGACTGGTGTTAGCTTAAAACTCAGGTATGATTTAAGAGTTTCTCATGCTGATTCTGTCATTCCTCACAATTCGTGTCGATCATAATAGTTTCTTTCTTGTATTTTCAGGTTGAATCGCTCCAACCAGACTTTTATTTTTCCCCTGTTCCTCTCTGAGTCAATATCACCTATGGCTATCTTTTATGGAACTGTTACACCATTACTTATTTACTATTCCATCACGACACTTCTTGTTAAACCATTCTTGGCGAAAGCAAAAGAAAAGTATATCAATATAAATGTTTCTAAAAATATTCGTCATTCCTAAACGTCGCTAGTTTATTATAAATTTCTAGGATTGAGAAAATATCATCGTAGTGACTTCATGATTGCTTTACAGAGAGTCGAAAGACAAACAAGAGCAATATGCTGAAAAATTGGCTGCAATGAAGAAGAGCGCTGAGGAATATGTGAGTAAATATCAAATAATCAGATCACAGTGTGTTCACGTGGTCTTCAGGTGGTCTTCACGTGTTTATCAAGATCACCATTATATTAATTATTTTGTTTTCTAGATAGAAATGACGACGCATGCGTAGAATGTGAACGAAAGAGACATGGTTAGAGCTTGACGTATCTCGTGTTTTGGTTCCGCGACATCTTCGGCAACACTTTGTGTGTTATATATGATTTCATATTTTCATATTTTAGGTCTTGTAATATTGATTGCTTGGTATGGAAATTTCAACTCCTTCAATGAAAAGTAAGCAAATAAACGACGGCGAATCAGTACTTATTAAATACATGAAGGAATCTTGGCTCATAAAAAAAAACTAACGTTCTGTTTTTCAGCGATCTAAACAATCCCTACCGAGTAAACAAAGTAATTGATGTAACGACAGCACTTCAGTGTCAAGTCAAAGACTCTAAATTATTTTTAACGGAAGGATGCAAGGTCTGTGTTTCTCATCATGTGTTGAAATCTTCAATTATTCACTTTTATAACGAATTTCATTATTGTTTTTCAGTCACAGATAAGCGGCTTTTACGACCCTTGTATCGGAGAAGAAAAATCACTTCGGGTGAGGTATCTCTTTCGAGACACCTTACATGAAGTTACTGTTGAAGAAAATGAAGCACTCAGGATTCCAAAACAATGTAAGTTCGTCATCAGTGCTTTGTTTTTTATAGAGTGGTTTGGTATTTTCATGCATGATTTATGATCCCTGCAGCGCGTGAATCCTGCTTTCATTTCATCTCATACAAAACTTGAACTGAAGATCACCAATTTTTCCAACCACAGTTCTTGACTTGTAGCTACTTCTGCACTTGGTTTCCACACAAGGTTTAAGATAGCTAATAGTTGATCAATAATTCTCTTATGTCTACAGCTCATCGTCTGCAAGCACAAACGACGTGACAAAGGAAAGTGTACTGTAAACTTCATAAATAAATTGACATCCGAGATAAGATCTTTACTTTCCGATTTTTTAAGGTTTATAATAAGTAAATGATTTTTAAGATGTGTAGCTTTAGTGTTCCATTAGAGCTAAGATCATTCATTACTTGGGACAAACAGATGAAATTTTGGTCATATCTATCAATTTTACCCTGCTATTTCAGCAACAACCGCTGTACGACTGTGACTTTTTTCTACGCGTGATTGTCACGTGATCTCTGTCTTGACAATCGCTCATGTAGATTGATAAATGCTATAGCAACGCTAAGCCATAATATTATTTCGCCACGTTTTCTGGTCAGATCTTTAATTAAATTTTAATTTATTTTCGCAGTTTTTTATTACCCCCTGCAAAAGAATCATAAGATAAACGTTTCTTTCTGGCAAAGGGAATATATTCTGATTGAATCTAATATAGAAAGTTTTGAAATATATCCATATGCTACACTCTGTCGTTTATTCATCTTGCACAATCCACATTGAAGATTAATACAACACATTATCTCATCATACTTCACTCGATGATTTTTTGCAACATATGATCATTTCGCGACATTCAAGAAAGTGCGCTGATGATTAATCATCAAAGATATCATGCATGGAAGGACGAAACGACAGACCAGACGTGATAGCGTTCCCTCCGTAGCTACATACAACAGCCGCGCGAGAATTATGCATGGCTACGTATTCAAGTCATTCAAAATCATTTCTTAAGATAATTGGTTTTAGCGTAGAAAGATCTTTAAGTAAATAACTTATTAATACGATTTTCCTTGGTCCTAGAGTATCAAATAATTCAGAAAATGGTGGAGTGATGATTACTAATGATTTTCCTCCATTTCATCAAGAAACCAACGCCGAAAGCGTGAAATTCTCAACACTAAATACTCAATTAAGAGTTGGATTAAAGGTGTTTTCTTTGGATAAGTGTCTAAATCCTCGTCTCTTTCATAACTTCCTGTTCATTCGGTCTTTGCATACTGCGCATTGCAAATGAGCTGCCTGACTCAAAACTCTTTTCATTAAGCTAGACTTGAAGAAGTTATTTTCTGCCTCATAATAATATATCATATTCGGCAATCCCCTCAACAACTGCCTTGAGTCATAACTCCTTTGACGCATTGTTTGATCGCAATAATAATAAGATATCAAATATTTCGGCGTAGCCAAGACAATGTGCAAGTACAGATTTTAATAAAAAAATAGAAAAGACTGTCTTGTTTGTATTCGGTTATTAATTTTTTCATCGAGATCTGTGTACAAACATTAGAATCCCTTAAAGTTTAGCGGGTGTCCACATTCTGGCCGAGATTATTAAAACAGCATCATCCCAAGCGGGAAGCTAGATCAAATTAAAAATTCAATTTCGTTGAATTTGTTGTCGATGTTGAAAAAGCCTCACACGGAGGAATATCGCTGTCTTAATATTTTAAATAAATGTTAGCATACTTGTCGGAGAAACGAAAACGACCGTTGTTTATGCTATTTTCAAATAAGTTACGTGGATTTGTATTAATGGAAATTGTATGTTCCTGGCTAGACTTTGTTGTTAGGGGATATACTGCGTTTTTTGAAAAGTAGCGAGATAACAGGCAGAGATTTCTTCAATTATACTCAAGTCGTGTTGTATTAAACGCAAAACAACGAAAACTCAGGTATTATATTCTGTTTCACAACTCTCGATTATTTTGTTTGTACTGAAGTTTGCCTTTGTTTAAAATCGTTTAAATCAGTTTGCTATATTTTCTTTCATAAGAAGCTATCTCTTTTGCCCTGGTCATTTTTATTTTTCAATCAGAGCAAAGATTTCCATATGAATGAATGTTCCATTTTTCATGTAAATATATTTTCTAATAACTGTTGTATTTCAGTGTGATGATAGATTTTAACATAGAGAATAAATATGTATATACTAATCTAGTTTAATTGTCGTTTATCTTGTTTTTGATGAAAAGCTGGCGACTCGAAAGGTTTAAATTTTATCTTGCTTATTTACTTTCATGGTAAATCTTTTATCTTGTTTGTGACTTTGTTTCAGTCAACCTGATTGCGGTTTTTGGTGTATTCTCTCAAGTGATCCGCTCTGAAAGGAACTCGTTTTGGGTAAGTCAGATGAAATGTTTTATAGAAAGGCTCTCGTGATTTTATTTAAACGCAAAACACTCGAAATACGAAAGTAAAAATATAATTAAATTTGAGGGTCAAGTGAATGTTAATTATCATATAATATAATCCCTCGCGCTTTATTGTGTAAAATGCCAGAAAAAGATCTCGAATGTTTGTCCAGTGTATAAAGCCTACAGATGATGGTTTATATCTGAATCGAGATATTAGAATCGTTGATTGTATTTCGTTTGTTGCTGTTTCTCTGACTCTGCAAAAATAGCGACTCACAACAGACAGCATGTTATAAGGCTGCTCCACCGTTCAAGAGACAGGAAACTAACTTGTTGCATTCTGCGTTGGTAAGTCAGTATTGCTAAGATTTTTAAAAATCTTGTTTGTTTTGTGTAATTCAACAATTTTTAACGATGAGTTAATGTGACAACTGAATAAACTAGTGGCTGACTTTATCCCCAACATCGCTATTGGAAACGTGTGTTTACACAACGGGGAATTTGTGAACAAAATATTTGTACAGTGCAGAAAACTGAAAAAATCCATATGCGAAATAATTTCTAATCTTGGCCGTCTTCGTTAATACTTCAAAACGGTTTAATTTTATGTCCGCTGTGGGCACACTGTTTATACATCTTGCAGACATTTAATTCCTGTTGTGGTTTACGAGCTAAATCTAATTTACTGTCTCTGTTCTGTCTCTGTGGTTTGACGTCAAATGCTGTTGTCACTCTCGTACTCAGGTCTTTCTGCACTCGCATCTGGCGATTCTGAGAGGCCTGTGAGAGAGGATTCCTGGGGAGATAATTCCGTGTGACGTCATTTTTGAAAAACAGAAAGAGAGTTGCAATTAAGTAGTTGCCGAGTCCCAGCATGATAACGCTCTCTTTGTACGAGATGACAGCCACTTAACAACATCAAGGACTCGCTAGGAAAGGAGAATGTTACCTGTTGTAGGAGATTCCTCTTGATTCTTCACTTCGAAACATCTCCTGTATTATCCGTTTGTTATGTTTTGTATGTCGCGTGAAGAGTTCAGTGAAGTGTTCTTGAAATGAAACCATTGAGGAAAAGTGTTTTCTGATTCAGACAGTCGACTACTGAAAAGCAATGGCCCAGTGGGTGGGTTAGAGCCATTAGTAAGGTCTGGTTGTTTACTTTGAATATCGTATAATATTGACAGCGTGGGTTTCTTCACATCTGAAGTCGAAATTGATGAGGATATTGCCAAATCGTTTGAGTGTTCATGATTTCTCGTAACAGCTGATAATTAATGTGTTCATTTTAGGATTTTCTCAACAGATAATGTCAACATGGAAGTTCTAAAAATGCTTCACGAATCGTTAGAATTTACTCTGTAGAGCTGTCAGTATTGTTTATATTAAAATAATTCGGGGTTTTGATAAACATCGCTTTAATGATAAACGTCGCGTGATAAGATTAAAAAATAAATTATTTTTTAGTTGAAATCTAGGTTTCTATGTCCATTTTCAAACGTATTTTCATTATTTAGCGTTGCTTGGTTTCCTGTGATATCAATATGATGTTACCGAAACTCGAAGAAAGATAAGAGTACTATTCGTGACTTTTTTTCTCAAAATATTTCAAAAAAAACACGCTGCTTGTATGAAACATAAGTGTACCTGTCATTCGCCCCCACACAAGAACTCTCACTCTCGTCAGTGCTTTTACAAAAATAGGATTTCAATATTAAAGTGTTTTTGTTCAAAATCACTGAGCAAGCGTTGCTCAAACCTACGGCTAAAGCGTTCACCAAATGACAGGTTGTCTTTCAATGACAATGAATATATCTGGTCAGGTTTTGAGCGTTCATAAGTTTTAACGCGGATATTCTCTTGACTGCTCGAATGCCAGATATATGCAATTTATTCGGATAGTTGAGTTGTGAAATGTATGAAAATTCTGTGGTTTTTATGTTGGGTAGACAAGATGATATCTCGTGGGCAGAATAAAGGAGTTGAACTAGACTTACTGGAGGATATATTTAGACAGAAAGAAAGAGATCTGGAAAAGGGGATTTTGAATTTTACTTTGAGAGATAAAGGTTCGTATTGCTTGTTATGCAAGAGTTTAAAAAAAAAGGGTGAATTTTACGATACCTGATGATAATTTCTCGCTAGACAATCACACCCTCAGTCTGTGTGATCGCCATAATAGGAAAATACATGTCCTTAATTACGTGGATATTGGACAAGGAAACCTTTTTCATAGAAATCTGTCGCATTGTGTAAACATTAGGAAGAGAAAAGTAAACTTAATGGAGAACTTGTGTTTAGATTGTGATCCTGTACTACGTACCAAAGCTGAAGAGGATCGTATGTTGACTGAGATGCATCTTACTGTAAGTTTTTTTAATGGATAACCAAACGTGATTCTGTGCTTCAGTATTCCAATAAGAATAATTCGTAATCAGCACAAAGTTTTCACTCGCAGGGGAGCCCGCGAGGAAATAACTCACGTCATCAGACTTAGGTTTACCAAAGTTTCTTAGTTATTACGTGTGTTTTCGACAATACTCAGATATATTTTCTTTTAGAGTAATATTATTCACGTGAAAATATCTCGTTGTAACTCATTTGATGAGGACGCTGACGTGTGTGATGTCACACTAGCCCCCAAGTCCCCAACATTGCTGAGCGCTCCACTTCCGAGTCTCACTTACATACGCAGTAAATATCATCCTCCGATGCAAGATGAAATGTTTGTGTCTGGAATCGAGGCTGAAAGACAGCAAATTGAAACCAAAACACTTGGGAACGATACTGCGCATGCTCTGGCAGATCGTCGGGCAAGTTACACGAGAAAGTTACGAGCGCACGCCGAAGACGAAACGAATTTTGTTGAGGTGTGTATTTCTACTTATGTACGGTATAGTATATTGTATAAAAGACTAGTTAACTTTTAACTATAGTTAAGGAGAGAATTGGCTAATCAGAGTCGTGTATATCTCAGTTAACTATTGACAGCGTATTATTATTTACTATTGCACAATTTCATCTTTTTTCAACAGAGGTACGTTGAAATAGCTAAGGAAGAGAAAAGAAGTCAGCTGCAGTTATCAGAAAATATTGAAAGTTCGGGCACGGAAGCCTCCGTAAGACGAGCGACATTATGGCGACGATGTGCGGCAATGGCCGACGTTTTAGCGAAGGAAGAAGCGGAACGCTTGCTGTGGAAGAAGATGTTCTGTGTTGCTGCGCATCATGTTTATGGAAATAAAGGGTTCTATTGAAGTAAAGTGATTTTTATCTTTGAAGAATATGGTGTCTTTTACGAGATCTTTCCACAACACAATCCAGTCCGCTATTTTGGAAGGGATGCATGATGGACTATGTGACGTGACTCCATGCCATGACGTCATGATACGTCTCTCTGATGGCGCTAAACTCGACAACAATTCAGGACCGCGTGAAAAAGTGCTTGAAATGTTTCTCACTTTTTATGCTTGGGTAGATCCTCCAGTGGTGAGACGGTCATGATAACGGATTTCAAACGATTTCAAGACTCCACTATACTATGTCCTACATACACCCTGATAAAGAATAGACAATTGGTCCGATTTATTATTAGAAACCTCTTAGGTTTTAACATATGTACAGTAATTATTTAAAATAAAGTAAATATTTTCATCGACTGATTTTAAATCTGAAAATGATTTAAAAGAATTCATTTTAGAAGACCGCCTGCGGAATGTTTTGTTACGAAAACTTCTTAGTTTCCTGCGTTCGACAATATCGTCTGCCTCTCAAGACGCCATCACGACTGCTGACTGAATACTCCTTCACGATCATCCGTGTCCTGACATGAGCAAGATTTTCTCTTCGACAACATCCAGCAAGGATTGAAATCAGGAAATACAACAAGTACTCGAACTCGACGGTTCTCTTGTGTCTTCCTGAAGTCGTGGTATGTCATCCAGCACTTGTAGGCTTGGTATTAGCTCAAATACTCTACGAAACAGAAGAGAAAACTCAATAATATTGTGATGTTGTGAAGGTGTCTGGCTTCCTAGCCTGAGTTGTGCTGAAGATATGAACAGATGAGGTTGTAATGACCGTGTAGATGATGATAAAAGGTGAAGCTGTAATAGTAGACGAAGAAGGTGGAAGAAAATGATAGAATATGATAGAAGATGGTGTTAAAAAATTGAGATCATAAAAAGAAAGAGGATGGTTAAAAAGAGGGTAGAAGATGAAGAAGTTGAATGCCTCATAGTGAAGATGAAGGTAAGAAACACATCGTAATATCTTACCTTATTCTATAGGCTGGATCCAATTCAATTGGATTATCGCGTAGTGTTAGTGAAATTATTGTTGTTCTGCGAAGAATGCTCAAACCCTCCAAGGATGTGATATTATTTTGTTGTAAGGACAGATGTTCTAGCATTGGTGCTTTTGGAAGTTTCTGTATGTTAAAAAACGTAGTTACTGAAGGGCAACTAAAGGACAACTATAACAACTATAAATGACAACTAAAAGACAACTATAAAGGACAACTAAAGTACTTAGAATGAAACCAACCTTAAGATTGGATATATAATTCCGCTGGAGGAATAGAAACTTACACCTAAAAGAAAAATTATTTTGATTATAAAACAATTTTCATTATACAAACATTTCTTACAAACAAAAACGAACCAACCTTGGTAAATAAATAGTACTCAGATCAGTTAATCCATTGTCCATCAATTGAATGCTTTCACATCGAATAAGTTTTTGAAGAACAGAAAGAAATTGCTTCAATTGAAAAGAGTGTCCCAACTCTTGGAACGAAAGATTCACAGCCTAGAAATTATAAATTACATTTCAGAAACAGGTAGTTCAGTTAGGCAATACCCACCCATAGTATGCCTTATATATACCTCACATGTTTCCCAACATTCAAGTTTATTTTGATAGCTCAGTCTTTTCTGTCTTTTCCATTTATCTCGCGAAGATCCTGACGTGTCTTCATCTTTTTCAAGCTCAGTCAGCGTGGACTCGTTGTAACCTTTAGGTGCTGAAAAATACAGCAAGCATTAGGTTGGTCTTTTATTTGATCAATCCAGACCAAACAATCTGGGCCCACCCATCTGGGAAAAAGTTATATTCAAAGGTACCACTAGATTTGGGGTAGACAAGCTTATACTTACCTCTTCTAATTCTCGGGGATCTTAGCATATTTCCCTTGACTTCCATGAGAGTAATGTCATGCCATTTCGTATAACGATATTTAGATGACGGTAGCTAGCATAGAGAGAGAAAGCAACAATAATTTTTATGTTTTTTATAATATGTCATACAAACAAACGCAGTTGAGTTTCACTTACAGGAAGAAACTGTTTGCCATCTTTCGTGGGAAATCTGGATTTACTGGATGCATCATTTGGTACAGTCAAAACAAGAGAAGGAACCTCTCTGCCATCTCTGTTATCTCCAACTGTTTGTCTCTCAACATCTACTTCTCGTCGTCTGAAAAAGAGAAAACATTTGTTGTGTCGCAGGAGGGTAAAGTTGTATACCGGCCCTGTACTTCTAAAGTTTCAACTGCCCCATGCCTTGATCCAACCTGGTCCTGTTTGGAAAATGTACAAAAATGTTCGTTCCTCCGTATCTGAGATCGAGCACGATCCTCGATCTCAGATTTTCAATCCTTTGTGCTGCGTTTCAGAATTTGAGTTTCTCTTTTTGGTCGTAAACGACACACGCTTACAAACATGTGGAAATTTATTGGGGGAAGGTTTTGGAATCACCTGCCGATCCAACAGACGTAGTGTCATACTCTAAGAACAATGATTCGCGAAGCGCGAGGACAGAGCAAAGTATAAAGTCGATGCTTTGCAATGGCCTGTCCTAACTGGAAATTTACGCGTCGCATTCGTGACGCAATAGATAACGAAGACATCTTGATTCAGCTTTGACATCTTGTCGAATGTGGTGACAACGCGAGGCCGGGGATGACATTTATTATGTCCATCACTACACAAAACTCTGGAAAATAAGCTGAGGTTTTTGCCTTAGCATAATAATAATTTTGCGACAATTATTCTGTGGTTTGAGAGGTGATTCAGCCTGAGCCAAGGAATATTCTTCATATTTGAGATTGATATCGCTTGTATTCCCAAACAAATCAATATCATCAATAATTTAATATCGTCTACCTTTGCAGATAAAATCAAACGTAGTCATGTATTATTTTCTATAGCATTGCGCCAGGAATCAGGAATCTTACCGATTTTCGATCATTTCTTGTAGAGCTAGCGGTGGCATCATCCACTATCATTCTTCCATCAAACTATACATTGCATATCACGATATTTTTCTTCAATACACAGCCGACAATCCGGTTGAAATATATCCGTATGTAAAGAGTTAAAAAAGATCTATCAGTCTCAGGTTTGGTTTCAAATTATCTAAATATATTTTGCTGTTGGAGAAGATTACATAAAATACCATGGAAAAATCCCATCTGTTGTTACAAATTTCGATGTCGGATCAAATTCCAAGGAAACTAGACATTTCATATGAACTTGTTTTGAACATGACGTGGGTAGTAGCTAAGCAACTGTTGTAATGTTTATTAAACGTTGTTTGGTCAGCCATGTAATATGATAAAACCGGATTCAGAGTTAGTTGTGGGCGTTCCAACGTGACGTTCTTTTGGAAGTAATTGAGCGAACACTGAATTCTTAAAATCTAAACGAGTAGTGTTCTGTGTTCGTCCTTCTGTCTAAGTACATTTGCCATTCAGAAATTTCTCACTCCTAACAGGCAAAATATATATATCTCATGTCATGAAATTTTAAAGAAAATTTATCATTTAACGTATCTGCAGCTGCATCTGCCTGTTCTGCAAAGTTCGAAGCGTTTTTGGAATACACCGGGAAAATGGTATATTCGAGTTCGACCTCGTTAATGTTCAATCTCTTTAACCCCTCGTTTTTTAGCGGATTTAGCTAGTGGTAGCCACAAATTTGCCGGTCTGCCCAGTCATGAAGACCTTGGTAAGGTCGAATATACCGGCATATGCATGGCCGTATGGTATATTCCTGATATTCGACCTTAGAAGGGTACTGACACCTCGTTACCTCTTCAATTCTTTGTAGTCAACCCCCTTCAAAATTCCAAACTCACCACCCCCTTCAAAATTCCAAATTCACCACCCCCTCATCTAGTCAGCAGGGGGGTGAGATATTCAATAAATGATGGCTCAGAGTACGTAATTTCGGTTGTATAATTGCTAGTGCGAAATACAAAATATTTTCATGATGAACTGGAGAAATAACTTTAACGATAACTTATCAAAATAGATCAGTAAAAACAAAATGATGCAAAGAATCGATGGGAGGTTTGGGTACGTTTGAACCAGAATTTTTGTATTTGAAAATGTTTTGTATGAGATCAAGATGGACAATATGAAGGTCGTTTTATTCGACTTTTGTATGTCAGTATGTAAGATTCCTCTGCAAAGCATTTGCATATTTCATTTTATGACAACACTCACGTATATAGCTATAGAAGCATTCAATTTAGTGTAAATTTCCATATCCTGCTCCATAGCTTTGTAGCAAAAATCAAAACATGAAATATGTACAATCCCTTTGTATGTCAGCGTACAAAACAGCGCCTTGCTTAATATATGTATTTATGTTTTATTAAATAACTCCCTATTTTTGTTATGAAATGGACTTGAATAATAGAAAATCAAATTCATTAAGATGAACAGGAAAAATCTGTTTATATTTAAATATGGGTGGAACCTCTTTATGAAATATGCAGTTGCAATATTATAAAATTGTCATATTTCATGTTAGAGGAATGAAAATAGGTATATTTGATATACTTGCCTATTTGTGAAGTTGTTTCCATATTTTTCCACTTCCCATTGTATTTTTGTTTTCAAACCTTTAGAGCATATTGTATGTTATGTGGCATAAGAAGTTTTTCAAGCATACCAGAAAATATTTTGAAAGCAAAACTTACTTCAATTTCCAAACCTCAGTGTCATAAACGAGTGAATAGTTATCAAGAATATAAACAAATCATTTCTATCCGCGAATTTCGAACTTTACATAAGACTTGGCGAAGAAGACTACTCATAGATCAAGCTTGGTACCGTAAACAATGTTATGCCACTGGAATTTTTCGAACTGTATCCAATTTCCTGAGGTTGCGTTATATACTTCTTGGCACAGCTGGTGTTGGTGTTCTTGGCACGAAAATGGTAAGTTTGAAGTATTTTTTGTATTGTGTTTTATTTTAATGTTTTGCAATTCCCAATTTTTTATTATATCTTCAGATGTATGATTCATATAAAGAGAAATGGAATGAACTTGTGGGAAATTTGCCTGAACTTCCTAACATGGAATGGCTGAGAAATTTCTTCTCAACAGAAAATTTACCCCAGCTACCAGATCTGCCTGATATCTCTTTGAATAAAGGTGAGCTTTTGTAGTCTGCAAATCCTCGATATAATTTAGAATTATCCAAACTAATAAAAGTCTGATATCTTTAGACCTAAAAGACTTCTTGTCTGTGGCTCAAGAGTATCTCCAAGAGTCCTTAGAATCAGGTAGATATGTTTGTTTTTGTTTATTTTTTCTTCCAAGTATTTGTAATTGATGATCTATGTCTCTTAGAAGCAGGTCCATCCATTGTTTCTGCTGCAGTCCAACCAAGCAATGTTAAAGCTGATAATGGAGAAAAGGAAAAGGTGAAAATGTTCTTCTGAATTTATTGTGATATATTTGATGTAGATGGAAGAGGGTATCAGGTTTTATTCTTAAGTTTATGATTCTGTAGGATTTTGTTTCATATGTTTCCTTCCATCAGCTCTCCCCCATGCCTCCCACTCCCCCATCAGCTCTCCCCCATGCCTCCCACTCCCCCATCAGCTCTCCCCCATGCCTCCCACTCCCCCATCAGCTCTCCCCAATGCCCCCACTCCCCTATCAGCCCCCCCCAACCCCCGTATACTCCCTGATCAGATCTCCCGATCTTGTCAGCTCTCCAGTACAAGACCTCCTGTCTTCATTCTAATGTGTTGGATGTTAAAATGCCAAAATTGTATCACTTGTATATAGTTGCAAAGAAGACTAGAGAAATCCAGTGAAGAACTGCTGGATCTGCAGGTATTTGAAGAGATACCATACAAAATTCACTCAGAACATAGATGAAAGCCATGCTAAGTGAAATGTCATAACCAGTTCTATGAAATTATACAAACCATTTCTCTGCAGCAAAGATACCAACACGAAGTAGACAAGCTGGCGCAGGAAAATAAGAATTTGCGTAAAGAAATTCTCCTGTTAAAAGGCGAACCTGTCGTTTCTAGCAGACATATTAAGGTAATTGTAATAACCAGAACAAACACCACATTATAACAAGGAGTAATCCATCCGTAGTTCTACGAGCAGTGTTTGTTTTTAGAAATCATTGATTGATATGTATTCTGATGTCTTGGACTTGCTCTCAGAATACGACGCAAACTATAATACCACAGATAATCTACCTCGGGTAAGTTGCTCTAATCAAAGAAATTTCAAAAGTTCTGAATGATTAAAATCCAGTGATTTATGAAAACGTAAGTTATGATTCTTCTACTGTAGGTTGTTGTTGTTGGAGATCAAAGTTCTGGAAAGACGAGCGTCTTAGAGATGATTGCGCAAGCCAGAATATTCCCAAGGTAACCTTACTCTGCGAGTTTTATCGTTTTGTCTCCTATTTACCTTTCGTTTGTATATTCTACAGAGGTTCTGGTGAAATGATGACCCGAGCTCCAGTTATGGTACGTGAATATTCGAAATAACCCAGTTTTTTGATGAAGTATCTTGCTGTCTCTGTGGAGTGTGTGTCGAGTCCAGTGTCAGCTGAATATCTTCTCTGTTTCAGGTAACGTTAAGTGAAGGTCCTAATCATATGGCGTACTTCAAGGGAAGTTCACGTGAATACGACCTGACACAAGAGACTGAGGTAGGTTACTATGACGACAATCTCAAATATCGCCAGCAGCTTGCTTGAGAATTCAGTTTCTTTGTAGTTGCAATCTCTGAGGCAAGAAGTTGAACGAAGAATGAAGAATAGTGTGAAAGAAGGAATGACTGTCAGCCAAGAGGTATCCATCTTATCCCTCTCATTTTATCAACTGATATCCTTGATATCCCTTGCTATCTCCCCATTGGAGATATTTGCAATGATTCCCGCCATCGCATCTCTCTTCATTGTCTTCTCTGACACGCCCAACAGCCTCTTCACTCCTGTTTCATCTTGGACAAGACTGCAAGAATAAGCCTTATTTTACAGGTGATTTCTATGAATGTGAAAGGACCTGGTCTTCAGCGCATGGTATTAGTGGATCTACCTGGGATAATTGGGGTATGTTTTGTATCGTCCGAAGAACACTGGGCCGTGAATCAAGCGATGGAACTGCTTTAGAATGAGCTTCCTTTCGTTTCTTACCTCAAAAATAAAATTTTGTAGACACGAACGTCTGGAATGGCAGCAGACACAAAGGATTCAATTTACAATATGAGCAAGTTAGTATTTGCAATATTCCTGTGTGTTTTTCATTAATATACCGCCATTCTGATGTAAGTTATTTTTCAGGTTATACATGAAGAATCCAAATGCTATAATACTGTGTATTCAAGGTAATTAACTTCTAAACAAATTACCTAGTCTTGTTACTGGCAGAATTTACTAAAGATGTATCGTGTTTTGAAGAGTTTGCTGAACATGATAAAAACCAAAATTTCATGTTTTCAGATGGCTCAATTGACGCTGAAAGAAGCAATGTGACAGAACTAGCAAATATCATGGATCCTCAAGGTAATAAAAACGAGCAAAGTTATTATTATTAAACTTTATTTATTTACACACGGTATTCTCAATCAGGATTTTCATGCTGACAAATGACAAGATTATGAATTACAAAATAAGACTACAAAAATATTTACAATGATAAATCAAACTAATAATTAATATACCTGCTTTTCATGAGAGCCGTGTAAGGAATATATACAAGAAATATAATATAATACAAATGTGAATGTAGATTAAAATAATTTGGAACAGCCCGCTTTAAAATTTGATAGGTTATTTGCTAGCCGTAGCCCAATCGGTAGGCTGTTCCATAGCATCGCACCACTATAACTAAAACTATTCTTCAGATAGTTTGTGCGAGGCTTAGGAACAGCCAGCTTACTATTTGTGTTTCTCAACGAATAAGGATTGACACTGTCACGGTTTACAAACATGGAACCCATGTATTGTGGAGCAAGTCCATTGAGTGATTTATAAACCATGACAGCCTTTTGAAACTGGCGTTGGGAAGATAACTTTTTCCAGCCAAGTCTATCGAGTAAGATGTCGGCATTAGTGTCATAGCTTGAAAAGGTCAAAACTCTCGCTGCGCGATTTTGTAGTTTTTGAAGTTTATCTGCCAAGGTTTTTTGCAATTGTCCCAAACTGTACAGCAATAATTGAAATATGGCTGGACAAGGGAATTAAAAATTAAATACAATGTTGCAACTGGGACAAATGAACGAACGAGTTTTAAAGCGCCAATACCAGAAGCAATTTTTTTTGTTAATTCCTTGATCTGTATATTCCAAGATAGATTTTCATCAAGGTGAACTCCTAGAGATTTTGTATGTGAAACCTTGTCTATAGGAATTCCGTCTATTTTAAAACATGGGTCTGATTGGAAAGTAGCTATTCTTTGTCGTGAGCCAATTAGCATAAATTCAGTTTTGGATTGATTCAATGTAAGCCTATTGGCGATAAGCCATTTATTAACATTTTCAAGATCTTGATTAAAGTAATAATCTATATCTTCAATTTTATTGCTTGCAAATGTTAAATTGGTGTCGTCTGCATACATTCGTGCTTGGGAGTGCTCAAGACAATTTGGCAAGTCATTTATATACAATAAAAATAGCAATGGTCCCAAAATAGTTCCCTGTGGAATACCACAAAGTAACGTACGGTTGGTAGAAAGATGGCCATTGACATAACATTTTTGACTGCGGTTACTTAAATAAGACCTAAACCAGTTAGCCACAGCACCCCCAAGACCATATGCTGACAGTTTTGACAACAAAATTCCATGGTCAACTGTATCAAAGGCTTTCTTAAGATCTAGGAAAACGACAGCATTGACCAGTCCTTGGTCAATATTGTAGGCCCAGCTATTAGTAGATTCTAGAAGTGCAGTAACAGTTGAATGCAAACGTCGAAATCCAGACTGGTATTACATAGTAAATTGTTCTCAGTAAGAAAACCGTAAATTTGATCATAAATAATTCGTTCGAAAACTTTCGCCACAACCGGTATTATCGAAATTGGGCGATAATTATTTAAGTCTCTACGCTCGCCCTGTTTGAATAATGGAATGACTTTTGAGCATTTCCATTCTTCAGGAAAGATACCGGTAATGATAGAGCAGTTAAAAATTACGGCAAGGGATTCCGAAAGCAAGTCAGGACAATGACGAAGAAGCTTGGCAGATATTTTGTCTAGCCCAATTGCTTTGGACTTACAAAGTTTGTTTAAGAAGCGAATAAACTGATGATGGGGTTATTGACTTAAACTCTATATTATTGTTACTATTGTGGCAAGTAAGATATTCTAAATACGAGCGATTGTTTTCTTCGTCAGGTATTTTTTCCTTAAGCTTAGGTCCAATAGTAGCAAAATGAGTATTAAACGTCTCAGATAGGTCCGAGGGGTCAGTAATAGAAACCCCGTTTATTTTGATTTCATTTACTCGTGAACTCATCTGTTTTCTTGAGGTCAATTCATTGATGATACCCCAAGTTTTTTTAACATTATTCTCGTTTTCATGAAAAGCGTTCATATAATAGGTTTTCTTAACAAGTTTAATTTCATTGTTTACAGAATTTCGAGCTTTCTTAAAAACAGTCCAATCACAAATATCTTTGGATCGAATAGCTTTTATTTTCAAAACATCTCTTTCATGCATTTGCCTTTTTAATTCAGGCGTGATCCACGGCGCCTTAGAAGATCTTACTCGCCTAGTTCGTAAAGGGGCATGCTTTTCCACTACGTTGTTAAAGGTCGTTTTCCATATACGCCACATATCATTCGGATTATTATAAATCCTTATCACGTCCCAATTCTGTAAAGAAATATCTCGTCGAAAATATTCAGAGTTGAAATTTTTAAGTTTTCTATAACTTATTGTAGAATGGCCTTTGTTGCGTGGACTGATAGAAAGCTTACGGAATGCGTAAATTAAGCTATGATCACTGATACCGACATGAGAAACACCAGAGGAAACAATATTATCTGGTGTATTGGTAAAAATATGATCGATCATAGTTGATGAAGTTTCGGTAATTCGGTTGGTTCATTTATTAATTGATGTAAACCATAGAGTTCAGTGATGCCAATTAAAGATCTCGAATTGCAATCTAAAGTAGGCGATCCAAGGTCACAATTTAGGTCGCCCAATAGGTAATACTCGACATTTTCTGCGTCAAGCATATCAATAAACGTTTCGAAATGATTAAATTTATCAGTATTCGAATTAGGTGGTCTATACCATGTTGTAACGAGAAAGGGCTTAGAATTTGGTTTTTGAATTTGAATACATAAATTTTCCAAGTCATCGATAAACAGGTCCTTGCGAAGTATAAAATTTACGCAGGAGCGCACATAAAAGCAAACACCTCCATACGTTTTTCCATCGGCACTACTACATGCTCTGTCCCGACGTATAATTTCATATCCAGGTATGTAAACATCGTTATCGCTTATTGTAGAATTAAGCCATGTCTCGTTAATTGCTAGAACATCGATTGGGCTAGTAGCAAGCAAAACTCGCAGCTCATCAATGTGATTTACTATGCTTCTCACATTAAGGGCTGCTAACTTAAACCCGCGTGAGGTAGGAATAACGGATTTGGGAAATTGTCAATCTGAGATAGATTTAGCAAAATCTAAAAAGTTTTGTTGTAAAGCTAAGCTACCTTGTCTATTTAAATGAAGGCCCTTCGTGTTTAGGTGGCTTTCATTCATATTTGAATTACTTAAGAAGGGAATTTTATTGCGAATACAATAGCCTTTAAGAATGTTATTAACCTGAGTAGCTTTAACAGTTAAGTCATGATTATCAGACCTTACCAGAATGGCTGATATTCCAACATCTGTACCTGGTGAATCTTCTTTTACTTGCGTTACAATGTTGACGATAGAGTCAGCTATTACTTTTGGCGTGCAATGACTTCTCAGGTCGTTTGTTCCAACATGTAAAATCATCTTGTCCGGTGTTCTTCTTGTAAGTGGCTTGACAAAGTCCTCCATGTCTGTGACTGTTGCTCCAGGGAACGGCTTTACAATAAAATAATGATTAGGATCTTCAGCATTCATCTTCGGACCGATAATATTTTTTAACAATTGAGTCTCCTGCAATCAACTGATTGCTTTCTGCGAGTTCTGGCCCTGTCTCGTTGTTTCAATGTTGGAGGTATTTGAAATCCCGCCAGAGCCAGGTATTTGCATCCGGAGCATTTAGTTGACTGGTTATGAGCTGATGGTTTAGACTTGGTTTTCTTATCTTCTTTTTTACTCTTTTTTGTAGACTTTCTTTGGCGTTGGGCTGATATAGATTACAGGCTGATCAGATTCATGATTCAGTTGAGTGACTTCATTATTATGTATGATTTCACAGGCCGGTTCAATGTTATTTCTCCGTCTTTTGAAATCACAGTGTTAGTCATGGACGTATGTTGAGAGTCATTTTGAATAACTTAAGAGCAGTCAAAAGGCTGCTCTTTTCGTTTTCCAATTTTTATTTGCCATTTTCAAATCAGATATAGAACAGGACTGTTCATATTTTGTGCCTAGATCATCATTCATTCTGATTAGCTCAAGCTTGTCTTTCTTTAGGTCATTAACTACGTTTTCCAAAACCAGAATCGAGTAGGGTTACTTTCTTTTATTGTTTATCTCAACTGTAATATCCTGTAGTTTGTTTGCCACATTTTCGGAAAATCTCTCAAGTTTCGAATTCAATCTTGCTATTGACTCGGAGTCGCAGTTATAGCTGGAGTTGCTTCCAGGGATTATGCCAATTTGTTAAGTTTGCGTGCATACCGATTGGGCCTTCATGCAAATTTTTGACTTCGCATTCAACTCATCTACTTTACACCGATTTCAGAATCTATTTTCGCTTGATTTTCGTCTTGGTATTCCAATTTCTTTTCAACATCAGGTTGATAACTAAACGAATGTTCAAGTGCATCATCATTGACATCGTCAGGTTCGACAGCTAGCAAATTTTCAATTGATTGATTTAGATGTAGTTCGGCATGGCTATCGATTTCAGAAGCACTGTCCAGATCTTGATTTAAAAGCGAATGTATTCTTGCCGTTATGTCACTACCTTTCTCACCAGTTTTATTTTGGCTTTTTGTTAGCCAAGTAACTGATAACAGCTTACTTTCAAATAACCATTTACCGCCACTGGGGGAACGCCATGTTGTTGCTTCGGCAGTCTCCTCGTCAATTTCGGTTAGTACAAGCGCTTTCAGGGTTTCAAGAGATCCCGTCCAAATAAGTTTACTTTTCTTAATGTTGAAATAACTGTATAACACATTTAAAACAGTTGAGGAATTCATTTTAACTCAACAGAACTTGAGAAACAACAGAGCTCCAAAATACACGTCCGCCTCGGTCTGTGTCTCGGGTTTGCTTTGAATTGGTTGGAGAGTTCGTTACCTTTATCTTTTATTGATGCTAAACTACGTATTAATTTTACTCTTTTATCCTCGATCAGGTAAAAGGACAATTTTCGTGTTAACAAAAGTGGATCTTGCCGAACAGAACGAGGCTAGTCCAAGCAGGGTAAGCAATATTTTCCTTATCTTTCATATTTCACTTTTAGACAATCACTTTTCCTTTCTTTCTAGATTAAACAAATTCTTGAAGGTCGTCTGTTCCCGATGAAAGCCTTGGGTTATTTTGCTGTTATCACTGGCACAGGTCAGCTCATAAAATGTATTATTCTTGACCTAATGAACTTCGCTATATATTTATCCTCAATACACTATATGAAACGTTATTTTACAGGCAACCCAAGCGACAGTATTGAGTCTATAAAGAGTTATGAGGAGGAGATGTTTCGGCATTCAAAACTCTTTAAGTAAGTCTGTAGTTGGTTGGTTCAAGTATGTTTTTAAAATCATCAAAATACGCTCAAAAGCAGCATACACTATTGGTAAACTTTATCATTTCTCTTGACCAGGTCCGGCGTATTCAAAGCTAGTCAAATGACCACACAAAACCTAAGTTTCGCTGTATCCAATTGTTTTTGGAAGATGGTACGAGAATCCATTGAACAACAGGCTGATCTCTTCAAAGGTTTGAAGGTGTTTAATGGCAAGTTTTCACAAGTTTTAATGTCACTGAGTTACAAATATATTTTTCCCTAGCCAAAAAATTCAATTTGGAGGCGGAATGGAAGAATCAGTTTCCAAAGATCAGAGAATTGGATCGTGTAAGTTCATTGTTGTTTAGTAATGATTATGCATCTTATTTCGTACCAACCTGAAAGATCTGTTTTGAAATATGTTGTGGGAATCATTAAAGTTCTCGTTTTCATTTGGGTCCTGTAAATTTACTGCGTATTTACCGAAGAGTTTGTTTAGTTCAGGTTCTTTCTGTGGTAACAATGAATCCATAAATGATGATCATTTTCTAAGAAGAACATTCTGGAACTAACAAAGCTCTCCGTCGTGTTTTTTCTGCTAATAGGACGAGCTGTTTGAGAAAGGTCGTGCTGAAATTCTCGATGATGTTCTTAGTCTACATGATATCACACCGAAAGACTGGGAGAAAAAGCTTTACGACAGAATGTGGCAGACCATCTCACCTCGTGTTGTTGAAGATATCTACATTTCTGCAGCGCAGAATACCAACCCGGGAAAATTTAACACCATTGTTGATATCAAACTGAAACATTGGGCAGAGAAAAGCTTAGCAAGCACCTCTATTCAGGTAGAAATAAGGTCACGAAAAGAAACTAGAAAGAAGTGAGGAAATCAGCTATGTCGTCATCTCCCCTTATGCTACTTTATTTCTCCTTCAGGTTGGCTGGGACACGTTATTTGGCGAAGTATCGAAAGCTTTGGAGGTGAAGTTTTTCATATGTAAACAACACTTCTCAAATGAGACTTATCTGATGACGAAGTCGCCAAAGATTTTAAGGATCTTTTATTTCATTTCAGACTTCCAATGAAGCCAACAGGCGAGATAGTCACAGTTCGCTGTTTGAGAATTTGAAATCTGCAGTAAAAGATCACTGCATTACAAATCATCAATGGTTGCATAAAGCCGAGGAAAGCTTGGTGGGTAACTGAAACTCTGCTATTCAATGAAGGATTTTATCCATGAAGGATGGTTGAAGATAAACCTTGAACTTTATAGAAAGTGATGCAAATGACTGCATTAGAAGATTGGTCAGTGAGGGATAAACTGGAGTGGGATGCAGCCACGAAATTTCTCGAAGCTACGTTGCAAAATCAGTTGAATGAAGGTAAAGAATTTTAGTAGTATGGAATATTGTATCATCCTCTACCGTATTAAAACCTTACATTGTATTCATATTCATTTCTAGCAACAAAAAAACTAAATGAATTGACAGGACCTGGAAGAACTGAACGTTGGTTATACTGGAAGTATAGAACAAAGGAACAGGTTTTGTATTCTTCAATATTTACATGTTCTAGTAAAATCACTCAAACAACATTCCTTGCTGCTAACTCTCCCCATCTTCTTCCAGGAGCTGTCCTCTTATGCTCGTGATGAACTTCAAAAGCTTCTACAGATTGACGAGGTAATTTTTGTCGAAAGCAGGGCTTTTACATGTCGAAATCCATCTGACAGTCGTATTTTTATATGTTGAAGAAACATGGCCCAGAACTGGCTGAGGATGAACTTACAACTGTTCGCAAGAACTTAGAAGCACTCAATGTAGCTGTTGATCATGATCTGGTAAGAAATGAATGAACGTCTTTTTCTAAGTATTTTCTAACCGGTTGAGTGCAGTTCTCTGTGGTTTTATCATTCCAATAATCGTTATTCAGATAAAGCGAACTTGGCAACATATGCATCGTGAACAGTTTATTCAACGTGCTATTAACGATGCTCAGGAATGTCGGAAAGGTTTTTATCATAAAGAAGCAATAAAAACTGATGTAAGTGCTCAATTCCTTCAATCGAGTTCTTGAAATTTCAAACTAATTCCTAGAAATATCGCTTTAGCTCCAGTGTAACGATGTCGTGTTATTCTGGCGTATTCAAAAAATGTTGCAAATTACTAGTAATTCTTTACGACAGCAGATAATGAATTATGAAGGTAAACATATTGTATATATGCTTTCTTTTATTCTAATGAATGATACAGCGAAATCATGGTATGATAATTACTGATACTTTAGCTCGAAGACTAGAAAAAGACGTGAAGCTTGTTCTTGATGAAATTTACTCGGATTCTGCTAAAAAAATAGCATTGATTACAGGAAGACAAGTTGAACTGGCTGAAGAACTAAGTAAGTAAATCATTTTATATTTCCTTTTTTAAAGTCATTTTCCATATTGAAGTTATATAATGTATCTGCAGAACGCGTAAGACACATACAAGAAAGTTTAGAGCAGTTCATCGATGCATTGAGCCGGGAAAAATAAAAATAAAAAGGGAGTGTTGATGGTGCTCTGTGAAGAAGTGAACTTGATAGACACGATGTAGAGGAACACTGCAAGACGTTTAAACCTTGATATCGAATTAGGATTGTAACATAACGTTTACTACATTTCCCAAATCTATGCATATATATTGGAACTTATTTTAAATGAAGTAAAATATGTTGATTGGTGGATTTGCCATAACTACTAGCTTATTTTCCAATCAAATTTTCCCACAAAGAGCCGGTCCCACCCAAGCCAAGTAAACGTAAATCAATCGTTTTAAAAATTTTAAATTCAATTCATTTCAATTCTGATTTCCCATACATTGATATACTTTGAATCCCCATTTTAAATTACATCTTTGCCCTTTTCGCAATGTCTGCATCGTCTAAATTAGTGTGTATATGTCTCCGTGATTTTGTTCGACGTTTTCTTGCTGGTTTACTGCCGTTTGCTGAAGGAAGTTCTAAATTTGTTAAAGATCCAGGCGATGGTGAGGGTGGTCTACTGTCGCGGGAATAATTGTTTTGTGAAATTACATTCCTGCAGTCTGCCGGTGGTAATTTTACTACAGTCGATCTGCAGTTATTTTGTGGTTGACTTGTGAGAGAATTTCTCGAGTTTCCGTCAATTTTTGGCAAAAATGACGCCCTAGTATTTCCATTTTGTTTTCTTGTATCTTCACTTGCATCTTGATCATGTTTTTCCTTGGCAAGAGCCGGTATTTTAGACCCTCGCTTGCTTTGTCTTGCCTCCATGCTGTAGAGACTCGATTGGGAGGACGGAGGGGAACTTGTCTCGGGTGTTCTGATAGATTTTCTTGTCCGAATATCGTCGTAAGGCGTCGGTGGTCTTTCTGAGTTCCTTTTAATAGCAATCAAAGATGGATGACTTGGCTCTTTCAGAACTTGTGGTCGGCCGAAATCAACTAACGGTGCAAGAACAAGCTTTGTTTTTGAACTCTTCTTTGCACCTTGTGATGTTCTGTTTTTTGGCAGTTTTTTCATAGTTTAAGAAGTACAAAACGATCCTTGCGTTGCGATATCCAGTGTTTTTTTCCGTAAAACGAAGGTAAATCTTGTTCAAACAATGAGCAGTGAAAATGCTGCTTATGACGTCACAATTATTATGGATTAGGAGGAATAATTAAGGATAATTGAGCGTATACTCCTAACCTATCCTAAACGTCCTAGCATGTCCTATAAATACCCCGTAAAATATGGCTGCCTATCATGGATTTTTAAAAAAGAATACAAAATTATGTTTTTTGGTGCTAGAAATAAAAAGAAAAATAGCTCGGATAAAAAAACTAACTGGGAGGGCCTTATGTTGCAGTTTGCTGCAAAAGTAACCTTCCGTGCAAGTTATAAAGAAGCACTTTTTCAAGTAATAAATTTTTAATATGGTGTGGTTAAAAAGATTTCTATTTCACAATTATTTTACATTTATTTTTGAAACATTATTATACAAAATGTTCAATGAATTGTATTGAATGTTTTTCATTTTGAGTACATACATATTTACTGTGAACAAATTTAATTACAATATTCCGCCAATATGCAAACCATCTGAGATAAATGTTCTAAAAAAACTCAGTGGATATTTGGCTGATCTTTGTCACATTGTGCTAAAGTGTTGTATATTTAGTGTATTTAGTATTATTTTTATCTGAAAAGAATTTAAACATGGCGTCGTGTATATACAAGTAGTTTATCGACCATAATTTCTTCTGCAATCCTTACATTTGCACTCCAAAATAATTTCAACCAATTTCTCAACTACTTTGCCTTCTCCGCAATTCAATTGAACTTTTTGCCAAGTTTTCTTGGTTGGCTGGCAGCTGTCACAGTATCTCAAACGTAAATCAGATTCCCTTGGCATGATGTCTGGAGATGAATAACTGAAACACTGACCAATGCAAAATTTATTCTGAATTTTCTTTGATGTACAACCTTCATGATCAATCATATGACTGATATCCTGTGCTCGACACCAACTGCTTGCTTTGGGAAACAAAATGATACTCTTTAAAGACGTAGATGCTTTCCTATCGGTTGGTATGTCCAGTATGCTTGGTCGAGCCTCCGTGTGCATTACGAAGAACGCTAATATGGTTGAGATCATTTGCAAGGATACTGAAAACTTCATTTTCTTTTCTAAAAGCAATGAAAGAAATGATCAAACTTACGCTTGTCCAATGGAACATGCATTTTGATGGGAAGTGGATAAATAACGTCTGGATGCATATTACACCTGAGTTACATCCTCCTGTCTTTGTACAAATATTATTTCAATCACTATATTTGTGTGCATGCAAGATTACAGTTTTTATAGCGTAAACAGAGATGAGCGTCTGCGCACTTTGAAGTTAGCTTTGCTGCCGTTACCACAATGACGTAAACAACATGATTGCAAACCCAAACATGGACGACGCGGCTTTTTTATTTGTGGCCAGTTACCATTGACCTAACGCCGCCGATCTCAATAGTAACTATAGTGTTGTTGTTTTTATCATTTCTATTTTTACAAATCAAACTCTTCTCTCTGCCAGAGTTCCTGGGAAGCCACATCAATCAATACAAGGCAGTTCTTAACATGTTCATATATAAAATATACTATAAGACACAATTGTTAACAGTTCAGGTGTGCGGCAATGTAATGCGGTCAGCTAGCCTCGCTGCCACTGAGTATCAACGCGTTTTCCTGTTGACGCTTGGATGAAAATTATTTTATCCATTACTCCAACAGTAAAAAAGTAGCTCGAACCTCATGCATACCTAATTGTTGATATATAATTATTCATCCTTAAATATTTAAGATTTATTGCCGGTCTTTGGTGCAATGAATATTTTGCTTTTATTTTTATGCTCAGTCAAGATCCTCTTTTACAGAGTTTTTTTAAAATACTTGATAGATATAGGAATTTGCCTTAAGTTCAGTCAATGGCCATGCAGCGCCGTACAGTCCCGATTCAATATTGACTCAAGTTATTTCAATTGTGATTTTATTAAACTAATTGTTCACAGGAAGAATGATAATGCGTATATATTATTATAACCAATATGTATACCATATTACCATATCACATGTGCATGGTATAGTAGTTCCCCATAGTAAACATAATCAAGAAAGTAGTTACGTGATAACATTATAGTTACATGCGATATTTTTCATTCATGTTCTATAGCTCATAAATATTCTCACCGCATCATATATATGGAAAATATTAAACCTATATCCAAAGTTAGGAGATTCTCAGCGTGATTTAGTGCATTAAAGGTTAAAGATGAGGTTTCATCCATCCTCATCGATTGAGAGCCGCAAATTCTGCAGCCATGAGCTGAATGAACATCACAGATTGTAAATCTCAAAATTTTTTGATAACAGAATGCACATGCATGCAAAAGAAATAACTTATCTTAGATATTGTAGCAAGTAACTTACCAACTTGAAAAACGCGAGCGTCAATTCTGTGTAAATATATCGCAATGCGTTCAAAGTTGCTTCAATAGCGATGTGTTTACCCTTTCTTAAAAGAAGGTGCGTATAACGTCCTGTTTATTGCGCTTCTTTTGGAGAGGTTACCGTGAGGTTTAATCCCACTCATTTTATAATTTAAGTGGCGTCGTTCTGGAGAAGCGACCCGTTTTGTTTCACTAAGTTGCCAAGGCATTGAGCGTGGGATGAGATATTGTTCAGAATGCGAAAATTCCGCAATTTATGAACCTTGATTTCTCCATCATGAGGTCCAAATGTTTTGCTCAATTCATGCCAGCGAACAAGTTACCATGGTTTTTATAACACTTTTTCGGAGGATTTTTGCCTTTGGCTAATTCTCACGTTAACATGTTTATTCAGGTCTTATATATCGGTAATCCAATCAACTGATTTTTCCTGACTTATGAAAGTTTATCGTGTTTCCCATGCAGTATTCCCGCCCATCAAGAGTATAGCACAGTTGTCATTTTCAATAATAATTTAGTAATAACTTCTAGCAGTTTATTTTTCCTGCTTGTAAATCAATTCACTGAATGCATGGGTAAGGAGAACGTCTCTAAAGACCTTCCCGATATCCAAATTATCTTCTAATTTCACACAATGCAAATTTCCAAACACAAACAATATTCTTAATATTCATAAACAATTTCGTTCAAAATAATGAGAGAATAATATTCCAAAGAGTGCGTATTTGTGATATAGACATGATAATATGTAACAAAGCCCTCAAATGAATGTGAAATTACTGCAAAGGTTTAACTATTTGGCTACTTAGAATAACTACTTGAAGGAAACTTGAGCAATATGTCTAAAAATACGGCAAGAAAGAAGAAACCATTGATTCGTTTGTTTTCAGATGTGGTCGTTAACATCGGTATGTGCTGTTATATGTGAAAGAAAACGTATATTTAGAGAACAGGTCGTTTAAAATGAAAGCTTTTATCCAATAATATTTGACCATTATATGCAGACAACCTAAGCTGCGACGTTTAGTTAAAGTCGTATAGTATCATGCAGCATTCGCGTGAGTTGTAATGAGACGAGTGTCTGATCTTAGTTGTTGAAGGAAACAATTAGGAAGAAAAGCATGCATCAAGCAATAAAAAAGAAAGAAATATTGTTGAAATTTTTAATTACTTATATCTTTGTTCAAGATTAAGTACAGTACTCAAAACTTAAACTATCATTAAGGTTAAGTTTTTAAACATATAGTAAAATATGTTTCAGAGGTATCCTTAATTCCTTCATACATTTCCTCTTTAGAACTCATGTGTAAACATTCAAGCATTTATATACATGTTCAAGCAAAATTCAAATTTTCACATGACTCAAAGTTTTGCTTTCAACTTTCGGACAGTTATTGATAACTATTACCTTGTCCAATAGGCTCAAGTGCTCACCTAGTATTCGGAGTAGTTTCGATCAGTACAGAGCCATACAGAAAAAATTATGTAACTTAAATTTTCGATCACTCATGCCAGATTATTATAGAAGATTTTTGTACGAACCACCATATGCTACAACTAACTGCATGGGCAAGAATGATCTCATAAATAAATTTTTATATCTCATAGTCTAATAATCTGTTCAAATATTGCTAATATGTTTTCTTGAATACATTATGTATTATTAATGAAAGAAGAAGCATTTTACCTGAACTCTTCTTTGAAAGGAACTTTTAAAATCTTTCCCTCGTATCAGTTTGGAAGACAGTGTTAATCTGGCTTCTGTAGCGCAATGCGAGAGGATTTTATACTCAGTGTCAGTTACCGCGTTAATTACTTCCGAGATTCAATATAAAATATTGAACGACG